AAGTTGGCAGTCGCGGACTTCCATTTCGGAGCTGTCGTCGCTTCTCCGGAAATGCTCGAAGACGAATGTACGCTCTTCGTCGATGTCCAGTCCGACACCTCCCCAATCCAAGACTTCAACCACCTCGTTCTACTGCTACACGACGACAAAGCAGGCAAACTGGTCTACATCTGGCAGCTCGCTGGCTTCCAAAGCCGCTTGAATGCTAACCATGATCCCATGACAGAGGAGACCTGGACAATGTCCGTTGATAACCCTCGACCTTATAACCCAGTCTGGACCGATATGTCTCGCACGGACGCCCTTCAGGTTCATCTCCTTAATCAATTCAACAACCTGTCAACCACGGTCTCATCTACCGGCGTGCCAATCGCTAACGCAAATGCCGAAATGAAGCGCCATTGGCAATGGCAACATGATATCAGAGACAGTGGCAGGGAGCAGGGACCTGGAAACAAAGAACCTGGACGAATATGACTTGCCCGGTTGGGTTGAGACGAACTTCTCTCTCAACACGAATCCCGGAGTCCCGCCGATGCACGTCTTCGCGACATATACAAACTGGATGCTCAACTTGCCAACAAGCGGCATCTAGAAGAGCAAGATGGTTCAGGACGAGCAGAGAAGAAAATGAAGGACCAGAAAACGGAACACAACATCGACATTGCGGAAGGGATGGGATCAACAAACCAATGCCTGATGTATACAGACTGGATGCTAGGGCCAGATTCATTTGCTTTAGCGTTACATAGCAAAGAATTGATACAAAACATGATAAAAAGCATAATACGTCCATGGATGTGATGTCAACATTTGAAAGTGGCCTGCTTCTCAAGCTTCAGCTCTTCTGGTATACTAATTTCTGTGCGAACTCTAGAGCTCTAGTATTACCACCCCAATTAGAGGGCTCCTAGTATATATATGTCGAGACTCGGGGATGGCGGCTCGCTTATGGAACCCGCAGGGAAGTCGAGCTGATTTCATTTTCCATTTCACCCATCTTCTCCTCTCTTCCTCGTTCAAATTGAGCAGATCAAATTTCCCCCCTGAGCTGTTTGCATAACCTGCGAGGAAATCCTTCAGTCCTTGAGTAGTTGTTTTTCAAATGGCGCCGCTCAACAACGACGGCCATGGTCCGCTTCAGGTCCCAGGATTCAACTCCATCCCCCTGGAATTCCAACTGCCCCTGGAGGCCCGCTTTGCCCATGGGTTGATTGGCTTTCGACACCCGCATCGGCTGACCAAGCGAGAGATGGCCATGCTCCGACTCATGTTACATATCACGGAGCAGCCTGAGTGGGATTGTGCGATCCTGGATCCAGATGAGGCTCGGTTAGCGCAGTGGTACCAAGACGCCAAGGAAGGGACTGAAGGGTTTCTTATCAGTCCCGCTACATGGGATTGGTGTCTCGCGGAACTACGCGATAAAGCGGAGACGTGGCAGAGAACAGGCCATCTCTTGGTTTTCGACAGCTCCTCTGCTTTATGCCAGGCCGATTTGTCAAAATTGGTGGGAGAATTGCAGACGGAGATTGCCCGGCTAGGGTCACAACAGGATCATGATTCCCCTCTTGTCGACCCATCTCTTTATCCACTAGTGTATGACCGCTCATATGTACTAGTCCAGGGTGGAGATGTTTCCTTGGAAAACTTATGGAAACTACCTGGCCAGGTTGCTAAGGATCTACCGATCCGCCGGCCTTTCAGCAGAATAACACCGGGGCTGGAGGAGTCCCGTTACATTCAATGGAGTGAATACGAAAGTTGCTGGTCCAGTCGTTTTCAATGGCTTCCCTGCGAAGTACAGTTCGAGCCCGAGCCGCTAAATGACATCAGTGTTCGGATTAAATCCTATGTGAACAATCTCCACCCATGGCACCAAAAGGGCCTGTACACACAGCTTGAGCGTCTCATCGGAAGCGCGGTCCCTTCTTGGAACGACATTCTATTCTACGGCAACACCCGTGGACGCCGTGCACCACGTATCTTGACATATGGCTGCGAGGTCCACAACCAGAACGAAGATCATCAAGTATTCGATCTGGTACATAGGTGGCTCACCTGGAATGTGCAGTGTGCTACTTATGAAGAGTGGCAGGAGCGTTGCGATATTGCTCGTGAATACCTCGCAGGGCCCGAGCCACCAAGATGGAAGCAGGCCTGTATGAGCTACGGAGCTCGATGGGAAGACATGACCCAGGCAATGTGGGACATTCCTAAACACGTGAAGATTGCTATCAACGCGAAAAGAAGACGAAAAGCTTGGTTCGACCATCCCGAGCCCGGTGTCTCATTTTCCTACGAGCAATGGAGAAAAGGACAATGCACCGGAAGCGCCATCCATCCGCAGCGCCTTGGAAAGCACCCGGATCCACAAGACCATCATCATGTTCCAGTGAGACTTGAACAGCAATTTCGGCAAGAAGGTCTCCAAGTGGTGGTGGAAATTACTCGCATTGACCTCACGCCCGAGAATCCCGTTTATTCCGGAGAAAGCCACTTCCACGTTGAGGGCCTCCGCAACGACCATATTGTTGCCACTAGTTTATACGCAGTGGAATGCAAGAATGTAACCCAGGCCCGCGTGGCGTTCCAGCACGAGGATAGAATTGATTCGGATGAGCTTGATTGCAAGGTCCCGGAGGCACTATCGCTTGTTCTGGATGTTGGAGCCTGGGCAAATTACGAAGAGCCCCCTGACGCACTACATACTTTTGGATCTGTCGGGACTACAGAGGGCCATCTTTTAAGCTGGCCTAATACTTATCGGTCAAAGCTAGAGTCATTTCAACTAAGGGATACCAGTCAGTCCGGCCATATGACCCTTGTCAAGCTTCGCCTGGTGGACCCTCACTACCGGGTTTGCTCTACACGGAATGTTCCGCCCCAGCAGCATGAGTGGTGGGCCGCGGCGGCGGAGCAAGCATCAAATCTGGATAAGCGCTTGCCACGAGAGTTGATACTCTCGGTGATGAATCAAACGGACTGCTGGCCTATGTCTGATCTCGAGGCACGGCACTTACGGGAGGAGTTCCACGGTGATCATGAGCGCGCTCGAACGGCGATCGACAAATGTGTGTGGTTCAATAATGCTCTTATACTAGACGGCCAGGATTGGTGAAAGAAATGTGCTCTAAATGCCTCACATCGAATTATCCTGTACATATATCCTTTTTCTGGTATTACATGTATATCTACTACCATCTTAAAGTTGTAGATGTGTACACCTCTTTATAAAACAGAGAGAAAAAGACAATGGCCTAAAACAAATCCCTCGCATACAAAAAATCCTTGAAACATAAATGAAATGCAAAAAAGAAATGCTCACACTCGGAGTCGAACCGAGGATCTCATCATTACTAGTGATGCGCTTTACCACTAAGCCATGCGAGCATGCTGATTGGTGGAGGACTTCATAATATGGCAATATAACCCTAAACATTTTGGAGCCTAGAAAAATACTCTCAGATGGACCCAAAAGTCCTTCCCATCGCCCATTTCAAAATCCGAAGATGTACATTGAAAGTTCAATTTCAAAGAATGATTCATAGCCACCATCTTATGTTCTACCGACCTTGAACAAAAGGGATAAAAAGTCCATTGTGTAGATAGAAAGGTAGTATGTATAGATTTTTACAAACTAACACATGCGTTCCAAGGCTCCGGCATCTCAAATTGGTAGAAAATAAAAATAAGAAACCATTATAGCATTATCTCCAGGGCTGCTCTGTGTACCGATTGATAGCCACTCATGCACTCTTTAAGTTCTGTCTTGGCTTGGTAGCAAATCTCGATTTTTCCTCCAAGATTTCCCTCTTCCTTCTGAACTGGGAACCACCTCCAGGACTGGGATGTCTGCCTCTGTGCTATCAGCACCAGCTACTGTTTTTATTGCCTACTAGTAAGTCACTTTCCAAGATCACCGAAACTCCACTCTTTTCAATTGACCTGTAAGTAGTTCTAATGCCTTGCTTGCATAGTCTGCTTGACCTGTTTGATCTATATTTTTAATCTGTCTACCGAGTGAGGTTGATTTGTTGGATACCTATATAGGAGCTTCTAAAGTTGGTAGATCAGATTAATATCAATAGAACAAGATTTATACCGGGGCATTGAAAATCAATTTTAAATTACAGTATCCCCAAACCTAGAACTTGCTCACAGAGGAAGGTTGCATGTAACCTTAGTTCGCCGCCGATGGTTCCAAGGCGCAGACTTACTCTGATTATGCACATGGCCCAGCGACGAGGACATGGAACAAACTATATCAAAGCTGCCTTCTGAATCATTCTCAAGTATATAGGAATTAACAACTTCGCAAATAGAAAAATGTTGACAATCCCATGGTCTTGATTCACTGGATTTGCGTGGTGGTGACTGATCATAGATTACTTTTTTTTAGTAACAGAATCATATGTCAAAAAAGCGCTGCATGTCTTCATCAATTGCTCGCATGGCTTAGTGGTAAAGCGCATCACTAGTAATGATGAGATCCTCGGTTCGACTCCGAGTGTGAGCATTTCTTTTTTGCATTTTTGCATTTTGGCTACCCGTTTCTTGACCACCGGCAAGGCAAGCAAGGGCCTGCGAGTGGCGAGCCGAGAGTGCTGGGTTTCGATTGAGAAGCAAAGTGAAAGGCAGGTCGATGATATATGGTCGTACATCCGTTTGAGACTGTCAATGTTTTCTTTTGAGTCTAGAAATTGATTCGAACTACAAATGCTGGCATCGGATTGACCCGGTGGGGAACTCCAATTGAAAATGAGTACGGAGTATTGCAACCTTGGAATATTTGAATTTTGTAGAGGTTATGTGTAATCTGATATCATACGGGAACGAAGGAGAAATTGAGAATAAACGTTGAATTTGTAAGAAATAAATATCATGAACCACGCCGAAACACACGAACAAAAGAAAGACCATTACTATCATAATATGGATACACGTGAAAATCACGACCATGCAGAAATATCCAAACCAAAACCAAAATTTACAAAGGCTTAACCAGAGCACATCAGGCAGTCCTCCTTGTTATCGATGCTGCACTGCAGCACGGCATCAGAGTAGATATCAGCCTCAGTCTTAGCATCCTCACTCTTCACCTCAGGCTCGGCGGGAATAGTAGCCTCAACGACAATGGCGCGAGGAGCTTCCTGGGCAGGGGTGGGGACAGATGCCTCAGCACGAGGAACGGCCGAGTAAGAAGCAGCAGCGTTGCCGGGGACACGCTTCTTGGATCGGGCGACGTTGGTGTCTTCGACCTTGAGCTGTTCTTGGTCGACGGTGAACTGGATGGGGGCTGAAGCGGCCATGGTGCGGAGGTAGTACATTCCGGTCTTCAGACCCATCTTCCAGCCTGCGAAGTGCATGCTGGTGAGCTTGCCCATGGTTGGCTCCTTCAAGTGGATGTTGAGGGATTGGGACTGGTCAATGAAGGCACCACGGTCGGCGGCCATCTGCAGGATATTGCGCTGGGAGATTTCCCAAACGGTCTTGTAGAGGGCCTTGATGTCAGCGGGGATGTTGGGGATGTTCTGGACAGAGCCACCATCGGCGATGATGCGGTTCTTCATGTTGTCGGACCAGAGGCCGAGGTCGACGAGGTCCTTCAGGAGCCAGGGGTTGACGACCTGGAACTCACCGGCGAGGACACGACGGGAGTAGATGTTGGAGGTATAGGGCTCGAAGCACTCGTTGAAACCGAGGATCTGGGAGGTACTGGCAGTAGGCATGGGAGCAACCAGGAGAGAGTTGCGAACACCAGTCTCGGCGATCTTGGCCTTCAAGGAGGCCCAGTCCCAGAGGTCGGTAGGGGTACGGTCCCACATGTCGTACTGCAGGATACCCTGAGAGACAGGGGAGCCGGGGTAGGTCTCGTAGGTACCGAGCTTCTTGGCGAGGTCAGAAGAGGCAGTCAGAGCACCGTGGTAGATGGTCTCGAAGATCTGGGTGTTCAGCTGTCTGGCCTCGGGGGAGTCGAAGGGCAGACGCAGAGCCAAGAAGGCATCGGCAAGACCATTGACACCGAGGGCAATGGGGCGGTGACGGAAGTTGCTCTTCTTCGCCTCAGGGACGGGGTAGTAGTTGACATCGATGATCTTGTTCAGGTTGTGCACGAGAACCTGAACGACCTCGTGGAGCTTACCGAAGTCAAACTCACCACGGGCAGCATCGACGTAAGTGGGAAGGGCCAGGGAGGCCAAGTTACAGACAGCCACCTCATCGGGAGCACTGTACTCAATGATCTCAGTGCACAGGTTGGAGCTGCGGATGGTACCCAAGTTCTTCTGGTTGCTCTTCTTGTTGCAGGCATCCTTGTACAGCATGAAGGGGTTACCAGTCTCAGTCTGGGCCTCGAGGATGGCATACCAAAGCTTCTGAGCCTTGATGGTCTTGCGACCACGGCCCTCGCGCTCGTAGCGCTCGTAGAGAGCCTCGAACTCCTCGCCGTAGACATCAGCCATACCAGGGGCCTCGTTAGGACAGAAGAGAGTCCAGTCACCGTTGGCCTCAACACGCTTCATGAAGAGATCGGGGGTCCACAGAGCGTAGAAGAGATCACGGGCACGAACTTCTTCCTTACCGTGGTTCTTACGGAGGTCGAGGAACTCGAAGACATCCGCGTGCCAAGGCTCGAGGTAGATGGCAAACGCACCAGGACGCTTGTTACCACCCTGGTCAACGTAACGAGCAGTGTTGTTGTACACACGCAGCATGGGAACGATACCGTTGGAGGAGCCGTTAGTTCCACCGATGTAAGAGCCGGTAGCACGGATACGGTGAACGTTAAGACCGATACCACCAGCGGTCTTGGAGATCATGGCACAGGTTTTGAGAGTATCGTAGATACCCTCAATGCTGTCCGCGCTCATGTCGACCAGGAAGCAAGAGGCAAGTTGAGGGGAAGGAGTGGCGGCATTGAAGAGAGTGGGGGAGGCGTGAGTGAAGTACTTCTGGGACATCAAGTGGTAGGTCTCAATGGCCTTCTCGATGTCCTCGCCGTGGATACCCACAGCAACACGCATGAGCAGGTGCTGAGGACGCTCGGCCACAGCACCATTGATGCGGAGGAGGTATGAACGCTCGAGGGTCTTGAAACCAAAGAAGTTGTAGTTGAAATCACGGTCATACACAATAGCCGAGTTGAGCTCTTCGGCGTGCTTCATGACAATCTCATAATGTTGCTGTGAGATCATAGGAGCAGGCTTGTTGTTCTTGGGGTTGACATAGTGGTAGAGGTCGGAGATGACCATGGAAAATTGCTTTTTGGTCTGCTTGTGGAGGTTGGAAACGGCAATACGGGCAGCCAGAATGGCGTAGTCGGGGTGTGTGACGGTCATGTAGGCCGCAGTCTCAGCAGCCTAGAGGTCTCGTGTTAGTGGCGGTCTGATGCTTGCAGTTGAAACCACATACCAAGTTATCCAATTCAATGGTGCCAACACCCTGGTAGACACCGGAGATCACCTTCTGGGTGATGGCTGCAGCATCCACGTGCTCTGGGTCGAGGCCATAACAGAGTCTTGAGACACGTGCAGTGATCTTGTCGAACTGCACACGTTCTTTGCGGCCATCTGTCATCTTGTGTTAGTTCTCTTCTGTGGCAAGGCAAGGTGGTAAGGTGGTGGCAAGAGGGATGAAGTATTGCTATACTTGGAAGTATAGTGATACCTGCATGCCAATTCCTTCCACTGTCGAAAGTGTCAAAGTGTCCAACGTACCTCTCTTGTAGACAAACATCTTGAATATGTAGGGGATCAAGGATTAAAAAAAAGAAGATGCAAGTATCACAGTCACAAATGCAACAATGAAGTGGGATGAGAGGGGTATTTTGGGACAATTGTAGAATGCCCGTACAGTGAGAGGGGTGTGAGAAGAAGAAAAGACCAGAGGGGCAGAGGAAATGGGTTACCGAGACGCGTTGCTAGGTCGCGTTGCCCGCGTTTTTCTTAGCTTACCAACCGTGGATCCACTCCTTTGTCTTGTTCTGCCCTGCAGAAAAAAATGCCTATTTGACCACATTGGGGTGAACCAGTCGGTGGGAGGGGCTGAACGCGGGTGCAATTGGTGCAATTGGCGTACCTGGGTGACTCGAGAAAGCGGTGAACTGGAAAAAAAAAGAGGCGGTGAGGCCTTGTACATAGTCATGTGACTACGTGTGACCGCGGAGCGGCTGAAGGGATTCCGGACTCAGATGATCTTTGATATGATTCACTACTGTGTACAGAGTATGGAGCAGGGAGTATGGAGCGGTATGGAGTACTGCAGACATATACTTTCTAAAGTTCATCCCTTGGCCAACCTCAATTGCAACAGAGACTTGACCGCAAAGCCCTTGCTGCAGCGTTGTAACGCATTGATATGATATATCAACCCAGCACGGGCCAATGTCCATGACACTGTGATAGGCCTCAGGATCGATCTACAACCATTGACTCTTTTCTACTCGTATGTACATACAGATGTATGTACGAAATGCTCCATGCGGAACACGCAGTTTGCATGCTCAATGGAATGCGGGGAAGTCTCAATGACAGGTCCCCTCGAGTGTGGCGGAGCTTGGATCGGCGCTTGGAATGCTGAAGAAACTCTACTCGTACATCACTGGTATACACCTGGAGTAGCTGGATAGCTCAGAGATCAATAAGATTTGGGCAATTCAACTAAAGTAATAGGGATCGAACAATTATCGGGATGAAATGAGTAAGACATATTAGAAGCGTCGAACGGATCACCGAGCAGTGGATCAAATCAGATCGAAAGCAGCGATATCAATGCCAATAAGTGATGCTCATATCCGATTTCACACGGGCCGAGGGCATGTTACAGCAAAGCGGCCGCACCGATGAAGACCGCGGCAGCGAAAGTGGTGGCATCGAACTTGCGATCAGAGGCAGCGGCGTTGAAGGTAGGCGAAGGAGACGAACCAGCGGAGCCAGTGCCAGAGGCAGAGGACGAACCAGTGCTAGAGCCAGAACCAGAGCTGGAGCCGGAGCCGGAGCTGGAGGTACCAGTAGCTTGAGCCGAGGAACCAGTCTGGGTAGCAGGGTGACCGGAGGAGGCAGCGGTGACGAAACCAGAGGCAGTGGCGGCGCCAGAGGTGCCGGTGGCAGTGTGCTCTCCGGTGGTGCTAACGGTCTCTGAGATGGCGATGATCAGTAACCAAGATGATGCCAAGGAGATGGCGCATCCTTACCAACTTTGTGGCCGAGCTGGGCGCAGTTGTTGACGAAGAACTTCACATCCTTGTCGCCGCATTCCTTGGCGATCTGCGCCTGGATCTTGCTGGCGTCGGCGCCACAGATAGCCTTGGAGTCGCCGGGGTTGTCGGTGCCACTATTGGCGATCAGTGGAATTCACCGCACATTCCTGCAAGTTCTTCCAATCCTTCACTTACCCAATGATCTCGAGGACACAAGCGGGGGTCTGGAGGGTGCCGGTACCAGCAGCCACGACGTTGGCCAGGGCCATGACGGCGAAGGCGATGATGGACTTGTTGAACAGCATGATATGCGATTTGAGTGGTTGTAAAGGATTGGAAAGATCGCGCAGCGAGTCAGATGTTTAACGAGAGTGTGAGTGTAAAGAGTGAAAGACAAAGAGTGACGAAGTTGAGAAAGATAAGCTCTGGACCTAAACAGAAGGAACTTCAGTTTTGGTTCCCCCCGATTTTGGAAGCCGCGATGGGGTCAGGTTCAGGGTCTGTAATGTTACATACAGGACCCTGACGAGCAAGTACTCTCTACCACAAACATCAGACTAAAGATACTTTGTGTCACTGTAAATTACATACCTTCTGTAATTTAATCTCCAAGACTGGTCACAAACACCCAAAACAGCCTAGCGTCAGGGACTCGTCCCCGGATGCGCTGCAGTTTGAGTTCAATGCAACTGTAGACCTGTCGTGGTTTACTACAGGTTACAGAACCTAATGTATATATAGAAATTAGGGAGTTGAAGTGTTTGGAGTACTCTGTACGACACATCTGGTATCGGGTTTGGCTCTGGGTAGACGAATTTCCATGTCTCAGTCTTTCAGCTTAGCCAAATAATAGTGCATTCGAGCTCTATTTATAAACCCACACTCTCTCGAACGCCATGGGAGAGTACGGAGTATAAACCTTGAAATGTGAGTACTTAAACTTGGAAGTACTTAAGTAGCTGGCCAATTCCACCAGCAGCACAGATACTGCAAATATCTCTGCGGAGTACAAGTCTCAGAAACTTCCAAGGTCAAAACGAGGAAGACGCAGCTCCGGAGACTGTATATCGGATCGGAGACTATTCCACCGAGTCACAAATGTACCTTATACTATCCATACTATACATCATTTCTCCCACCCCGAATCAAAGATACTCAAAACCACCTCCTGAACCGGTAACCTGAAATCCACAATCTCCCTCCCATTGACCAAATCATTCTCCAAAGCCCTCTTATCCGCCTCAGCCTCATCCTTCGCAATGCCCGCCAAAACATGCCTAAGCACCAATCGCTTCCTCGCAACCTCAAAATCAACATCCACAAACCAAAGCTCATCCATCAACCCCGCAGCAGTCCTCCAAGGCTCCTTATCCAAACTCAAATAATTCCCCTCAAAAAACAAAACCCTACACTCAACCGGAATGGCAATATCCCCATCCACAGGATCCTTAATAGCATGGTCGAAACTAGGCGCGTAAACAGACCCCGTCTCGGATGTGATTGGTGTGCGCAGAGCCCGCACAAGAGAAAGGAATTTTTCCCCGTCGAACGTGAAGGCTGCGCCGCGTCGCGCGGCTGCGAAGATCGGATCGGGCATTTGGGCTAGTTGTGCGCGGGTCAGATGATACCCGTCCATTGGGAGGGCTGTTGCTATTGGGGTTGGGGAGGTTGGGTTTTCTGAGGCGTAGATTTGGTTGATTCGGTGCGCCATTGTGGTTGCTAGTCCTGTTTTGCCACTTCCTGGTATTCCGCTGATGGCTATCATGAGACGGGCGTCGTCTGCTGTTGAACATAGTTTTGCTGCCCAGGTGTTGGTGGTTAGCGTGCGTGTTCGGGCTGTTTCACTGTATGAAGGCTTACCCCAGGTCTTGTTGACTAGATGCTCTACTTGTTGGTCCATGGTTGGTGTGGTTGGTGTGGTCTTGGGTTGGGGTTGGAGCATATCCAAATAGAAGGGTTACGTTTAAGGTGCCGATTGAGGTCAAGTGGAGGTATGGTGTGTCTTGCGCAACCCGGTTGATGTGTTGTGGTACAGGATGGTTGAGGGTTCAGGGTTGCTCCTTGCAATTGCACACGCAGGGACTTTTGTATGGGTGATCAGAGATGTCAAAGACTCTCAATTTGTCAAATCGCGGAGACCGTCGCGGGGCTCGGAGTGGGGACTGCAGTACTCCGAGGCATACGTCACCGGGCCGATATACAAATCTCCCGGGCTATTGCTAAATGGCTTTGGAATATCGTATAAGAAGCATGCTAGGTGAAGAAATCGCAACATTGATTTTCAGATTATCATAGTTGACCATTGAGAAATATCAATACAAGAATAGGGCAATTGGTCAATGTAATGTCCTGAAGTCGTCACCACACCTGCTGTTGTAACCGGTACAACACAGCCAAGGTGCAAAGTAAGTTGAGTTCATGGACACAAGATGCCTCAGATGATTAAGAACGCCCTCCAATGATGATAACCCAACAAAAAAAAAAACAAACATTCCCCCCCAAAGACGCCAGCACTATACGGTCTTGCTGTCTAGTGCCATATGTGAATACCTCGAGGTAATTATGCCTACATGTCTTGAGGTGGCCGAGAAGGGCCCTCGTTATCAGTGGAATCCAGACTGTCACTGAGGCCCCGGTTGAGGGTCGGTGTAACTCCAACTGCCGCCCACCAGTTGTCAGGAACATCCTCCCGACTGGCGAGTCGATCCAGGATGACCTGCATTTGCTGGATCTCGTCGCTTTGACGATAGTGATCAGAGATTGTGTGGGCGATATTGGGAAGGGGAGGGTGAGCGCTCAAGGTGGAGTTGCGGTCTCGACGTCGGCGTTCACGTTCACGTTCGCGTTCACGCTCACGTGCGCTATTCCCTCGCAACCGTGCGTACCGGGGGTTGCTTGGAGCATCCTCGTCATCCGAGGAAGAAAAATCACAAGGGTTAAGATTATCCGGGTAGGGTTCAAGTGTTCCATTTCTGGAGATGCCTGGTGGAGGCACTGGGAAAATGAGCCTGCGCGTGTCGGACGCGGGAGCGGAAGCAGAATTGGAGGCAAACGAGGAGTCGGTTGAGGGGAGGGTTGCATCGGGTGTGATTGTGGACAGCAAAGTCTCCCAGGCATCTGTTTCCCGTTCTCCATCAGGGCTTGGGCTACGTTGACGGTCGCCTAGGCCCGTGGTCCCATCGAGCCTCAATCGTCCCCATGTTGGACCATCAGAGTTGGCTGGGGAGTCGCGCACTTCGGGTGGCATATTTGCCTGCAGGAATCTCGCCAGTTCGGTTCCATAGCTGTCTGTCCGACGTAGGGGAGGAAGACGAACACCATAGGACGGGGAGTCGGAGTTGTTGGACGAGGGAAGACCCCAGTATGCTTGAGTGGAAGTGTATGCAGGTGGGTTGGAGGAGCCCGAGCCCGAGGTCCCGCTGGGAGGTGCATAGCTAGCGAGTAGATTGTTCAGGAGCGTATCGCGAGTACTTCTGTTCTGTCGGTTGGATGATTCTCGGTTGGATGATTCACTGCGTCGCTGGCGCGGCGGTGGAGCCCGGGTCCATGCTTCACGTCGGCTTTCCTCCAGTGTCATTCCATCTTCACTGGTGCCATTGGCCAAAATGGGCGATCGAACAGGGAACCGATCCACGCTGGTCTGATTACCCGAACCACCGCCTCGGAGTTCATCAATGATCTGGGAGTGAAAGGAAGACAGCAAACCGGAGCGACGCGAACGATAAGCACGTCCTCGGCGGCCAATAGATGAGCGGGCAGCGGCAGTGGGATCTTTTTCTAATGTGGTCTTGTTTGCCTCAGCCTTCGCAGGCTCACGCCACATCCTGTGATGGTTAGTATAACGTGATGCAGTGGCGCATGGGAATCGAATGTGCTGAAATGACTTACGGAATACCCATGCTGATTGTGAAGTGTAAAACGCAAAAGACAGAAAAGAAAGACAAGTAGTAATGAAAGACAAGTATTAAGGACGCGACTGCGATAGCGCCGTTGTGGGGGGAAATGGGGCGCTGATGGGGACGAAATTGGGGGTTTTTTTCCCAGGAAAAAGTGGTGCCTGGACAGTCAGGCCAAAATATCACGTGTGTCATCTCTCATCTCTCCGCGGCAAAGCTCCAGGTGGGATGGCTAACCATCCACTTTTTGGTTCTCATTTTTCCATTCGTAATGATGGAGATCTGAAGTGATACTGTTACCTCAATTGATGCAGTGCCTCTGGTAATACCGCATTGACCCCACAACTTCTACAACAGCATACTCGGAGGAATGATCGAATTAGGATTGAGCCGTGTTGCGAGTCTGCTACAGCAGACTCCGCTCACATGGAAAGCCATTCATATTGCTGGGACTAATGGCAAAGGGTCAATCAGTGCCTATCTATCTCACCTCCTTGCGACCGGCGGAGTACGGTGTGGACGATTTACTTCCCCGCATTTAATCGACCGATGGGACTGCATCACAATCGGCGAGAAAGTGGTTCAAGAATCACTGTTCCGTCGGATCGAAGATCAGGTCAAACTCCGGGATCAAACATTGGGCATCGGAGCCTCCGAATTCGAGTTGCTGACTGCAACGGCCTTCGAAATATTCAACCATGAACGAGTCGATGTGGGTGTCGTGGAGGTGGGAATGGGCGGCCGTCTCGATGCGACCAATATTCTGAACAATGTTCTTGTCTCGGTGATTGCGAAGATCGGGATGGACCACCAAGCTTTCCTGGGGTCCACGATCGGAGAGATTGCACGCGAAAAAGCGGGGATCCTGAAGCCCGGAGTTCCCTGTGTGGTGGACAACACAAATGACCCAGAAGTACTGGAAACCGTCAAACGCCATATTCAAGAACTGGGGATTGAATCATCTTTCGTTTCTCCTACGCAGTGTCCGACACTGACACCCTACTTCAGAGACCTAGACCTCGAGCCCCACCAACAACAGAACCTGTGTTGCGCTGTGTCCGCCTTCAACCTTGCCGTGCCTCATCTGGGTCCTTTAGCGAAGACGGATGTTTTCTCGCTACTCCCAAATCTTGCTAATGTGCATTGGCCTGGTCGCCTGCAAACCCTCGACCTCTCGCCACTTATTGATCGCACAAACACTCTGCTCGATGGTGCCCACAATGCGCAGTCCGCTGAGGTTCTTGGCCAGTATGTGGACCGCAGGCTGCGGTTCGAGGGCAAGCCGGTCACCTGGGTAGTTGCTGCATCGAGTGGGAAAGACCTGGCCGGGGTTTTTGGCTCCATCATCCGCCCTGGAGATCGCGTTGCCACCGCCGAGTTTGGTCCCGTAGATGGGATGCCCTGGGTGCAGTCAACCAACGCCACCGAGCTTGCTTCTTCCATCCAAGCCATTCAAGATATTGGGAAAGTTCAGAGCTTCGAGGGTGATCTACTACCTGCTCTTCAATGGGCCAGCAATGAGGCCCAAGATGGACCTCTTGTCGTTGCTGGCAGCTTGTATTTAGTCTCTGATGTGCTGCGCCTTCTTCGCGAGGCTCAAAAATGATACCCCATATAGATCGGTCTGATTGCGACAAAATGGCCAACCCGACATTTTTTGTTTACTTCAACACAGCATTCTCAATTTAATTCATACTCATATATATTCTTTCTGAGCCACTTAAGCAAGAGTACTACTCAAATATAAATTAAACTTTAGAATCAAGTACATAAGTAAATGTCGAATATATAAGACTAAATACAAGGCAAACTGATCTGCGATGCGATTGTCCGATACGGGTGGAGCACGAAAGTTCAAAACAATCGTTTCTCACCTTCTTTCACGCCCGGCCTCTGCTAAACTAGTGATTCGAATCGCACTTCACATGGTGATATCTACTTTCTCTTACATGCGCCTGCAATTCTCGCGGAAACAGCTCTCCAGGGCGTGAGAGCTGAATCCCTCCTGTAATGTCCACTTGGTGAGACCCCGAACCCCCTCCGACATGTGCACATTCGGACGGGATCCAGTGCATCGCCGTTGGTACTCTGATGATTTCAGATTAGTTAACACCACTGCTTAGTTAGGACCTGCGGACATGACCTCGGAGACCATTGCTATCAGCAGTTGCCTCCTTCCCTAGCTTCCACCCCACTCTCTACCTGAAACCGCATCCTGAGACCGAAAGCTCGTCCGAGCACGACCCCGGGGCACCGTCGATCCTAGTCTGTTTTCGATATGGTCTCGCGATCCGCCGAAGGGAACGAGGGGCAGCCTCGCCCTCTCACCCCCTCCTCGAGAACACCCGGAACCCCAATAAAGCCGCGATTGACCCGAGTTGGAACGAGTCCGACGAAAAGGGAGGAAAAGCCAAAGGACGACAAGGTCGTCAAGTCGTCGGCCAAAGATGTTGCTGAGCTCAAGGACTATGTATGGATGCTTCTCCACACGTTGGATCGGGCAGATGCTGACCGTGTGGTTTGATATGATAGCAACTGGGTGACTGCCTGGGCAAGGGAGCGTTTGGCTCCGTCTATCGTGCGTTGAACTGGAATACTGGAGAGACTGTCGCGGTCAAGCAAATCAAGTTGACGGATCTCCCAAAGAGCGAATTGCGTGTTATCATGGTAGGGTCATCGCGTGCATTCAAATGAAGTTTGCTGACACGGGGGATATAACAGTTGGAGATTGATCTCTTGAAAAACCTCGACGTGAGTGACCCCGCCAAAATATCTTGATCAGCTTACTGATTCCCATGGCAGCATCCCAACATCGTCAAGTACCACGGATTTGTCAAGTCTGCGGAAACCCTCAACATCATTCTCGAGTATGATACTTTGATCTGGAGTTAGGAGAACACATTGGTTAACAAACCCACAGGTATTGCGAAAATGGCTCACTGCATTCCATTGCAAAGAACTTTGGACGTTTCCCTGAGAACCTCGTGGGTCTCTATATGTCTCAAGTCCTTCATGGTCTTTTGTACCTGCACGAGCAGGGTGTCATTCATCGAGATATCAAAGGTGCCAATATCCTGACCACCAAAGAAGGACTGGTCAAATTAGCAGATTTTGGTGTCGCCAGCCGAACCACGGGTCTCAGTGAATCAAGTGTGGTGGGCACGCCATATTGGATGGCTCCAGAAGTGATCGAGCTTTCCGGCGCAACAACCGCTTCTGATATCTGGAGCTTAGGATGTACGGTCATTGAGTTGCTAGAGGGAAAACCACCATACCACAGCATGCAGCCTATGCCAGCTTTGTTCCGCATTGTCAATGATGATCATCCTCCTTTCTCCCAGGGTGCTTCGCCGGTATAGTTTCGCCTATATTTTTATATCGATCGAAAACGGAAAGACTGACTTGATACAGGCCGTGAAAGACTTTTTAATGCAATGTTTCCAGAAGGACCCGAACCTTCGAGTTTCAGCTCGTAAACTGCTCAAGCACCCATGGATCGTCAATGCCCGAAGGACGGAATCAGTGATCCCCAAGAAATCCACAGAATACGAAGAAGCCGTCAAGAGTGTTCAGGAATGGAACGAGGCTTTGAGGTCACCCGAGACAGGCACTTCAAAAAGAAAGCAAAAGCCTGAAAATCCCACGAACACAGGCCTTCCATCTACCAGAAACAACCCTCTGGTTGATACCCTGCCGTCTCCAACTTCCATCAAGACCACAGACCGCTTCCGATCGCCTACCATTCCTGGCGAGGACAATTGGGATGATGACTTTGCTTCTGCAATTTCCCCAAGCGCACTTAAATTGCCGCATCTTCGGCCCCATGATAATTTCGGAGGCATGCTTTCTTCCGAAAAGCTAAAGGCTTTTGCCTCCCTTGATGGAACCATCCTCAGATCTGACGAAGGGTCTGATGGCTCTGATGATATCTCAGGGTTCTCGGACGATGTGCAAACAATCCGCCCTTACCCCTCTAAGCCATCCGTGGCAGAGCCTTCTAAGCCTCAGAATCAATCACGTCCTCAGCACAATGCCGGTTCTGCTGTCCCTGTGATGCAACAAAACGTTCCAATACTCACCCAAAACCCCATGCCAAGGCGCGCCCGGCCATCTGCTCGCCCAGCTACTCTGTTCAAAGAGAGCTCCGTGGATGATTATTCTGATCTGATCATGGCAAACGAGGATGTGCTTGACCGAAAATTAGGTGGATATCAGGTAAAGACAACAATGTTTACGTCTTTTGCGATGCTAATACATTACAGGACTTTGAAGATGACCCGTCATCGCCCATCCACGAAAACATTGGTTATAACCCCCCAGATGAACAATTTGGCTATTCTCAACCCCAACTCCGCAAACAGCTTTCTGTGAAACGCGATCGTTCTACCATCGAGATCCAGAGGTTTGCAGAAAATGAAACGGATGAAGACTTTTCTGACATCCTAGGGGCCGAGCAAGCCAGTGTTGATTCCACTGATAGCGACGATGGCTCAGATCAAAGTACCTTGATGTTGAACTCAAAACTTCATAGTAATGCATGGCTAGGTGATCAAGATGACGAAGACGATCCTTTTGCCCAGCTGGAGGAAGGATTCGACGAGGTCAACCTTGAAGAGAACATTGCACGAGACAAATACGCACGGCTCCGGAACCAAGTTGAGGGCCTTGTTGATTCTCTCAAGACATCTCAGGACGAGGAAGTTCTCGCCGATATCTCTGAACAGCTGTTCAACATCTTTTGTGACCTTCCAGAGACTAAGAACATCATCATCAGTGCACACGGAATGCTGCCAATTCTCGAAATCCTTGATACAACTCGACGACGAGACATTGTGTTCTGTCTGCTCAGAGTTGTCAACGCAATCATTTACGATGACTATGAAGTCCAGGAAAACCTCTGCTTTGTTGGAGGCATTCCCATCATTAATGAGTTTGCGTCGAAGAAATACCCTCGTGAAATTCGACTAGAAGCTGCGGTTTTTGTTCAACAGATGTATCAAACCTCAACTCTGACTCTGCAGATGTTTGTCAGCGCAGGAGGCCTGAATGTCCTGGTTGAATTCCTAGAGGATGATTACGAAGATGAACGTGAGTTGGTCTTGATTGGTGTGAATGGCATCTGGAGTGTTTTTGAGCTACAAGTAAGTATCTGATCACCATTTCCCCGGCGCTTTTCATGTCTGACTGTTTCACCAAAGGGCTCCACCCCTAAGAATGATTTCTGCAGAATCCTGTCTCGCAACTCTGTCCTCGATCCCTTGTCACTAGTCTTGAGTCGCGTTCTAGATGAAGATGGAGAATTGGCAGAAATCATTGAGGGTCGCATTGCCAATATCTTTTTCATTTTCTCGCAGGCCGAGAACCATGTCAAGGAGATGGTCGCCGAACGAACAGTCTTGCATAGTAAGTTTTGGTTCCCTCGAGAACGTCTTGCAATCCTCAATGCTAACATATTGTCTAGGAGTCTTGAAAGAACTGAGGAGAATGAGTCTCGTCCACCAGGTCACGATGTTGAAATTCATCAAGAACCTGTCCATGCTCTCAACTACCCTTGATTCGTTGCAGAACTCTAACGCAATCGATGTTCTGACTGATATCCTCAGATCGAACCTGAAACGCGCACACTCCCGCGAGGTATCGAATCAAATCCTCAACACTATCTACAACATGTGTCGTCTGAACAAATCTCGACAAGAAGACGCGGCGCTCAATGGCATGGTGCCGCTGCTGCAGAAAATTGTGATGGAAGAACGCCCCTTGAAAGAATTCGCACTTCCGATCCTCTGCGATATGGCCCAGTCTGGAAAGGTCGGTCGTCGCGAGCTGTGGCGAAACAAGGGTCTAGGTTTCTACATCTCTCTACTAGAGGATCCCTATTGGCAAGTTACTGCTTTGGATGCTATTCACACCTGGTATGTCCCTTGGAACCAACATTGAATGGATATAACGCTAACAAGTCGTCAAAGGCTACAAGAAGAAACCGCCAAGGTCGAAGAGCATCTTTTGGAAGGCATATTTGGAGACAAAACATTCACCGACGCGGTTGTGGAATGTCTGGAGCTTTCCAAAGCCAATGCATTCGAAAACACTCTCGAGCCTCTACAAAAACTTCTTAGATTGAGCCCTCATGTTGCATCCACCTTCGTGCGAGCTGATCTGTTCACGAGATTGAGACAGAAGCTCCACCACAGCAAGGCTGCTGTTCGTCTGAACTTACTGCGAATAATTGCCAGCATCTGTGACTCCCACGAAGAGGGAGGCGGCCTCCTCGCAACCTTTGGTCTTTTTGATTCCATTCGAAACATGGAGAATGACCCTGCCATTCTTGTTCGGGATATGGCAGGCAAACTCGTTCGATCCAGTGAAGCATTTGGCATCAAACGACGACCGACTACAGCTCGACGACAAAGCACATCCACTCCTCCACCCATTGTCTTCCCCGGGTCCTCTACCCCCTCCACCCCCTCATCAAACCGCAGCGGCCAACCCAGAGGATACCTGGATGGTCGCGAGACACCCCGACACCCTCGTAACTCGCTCAGTGTCTCTTCCCTAGCCATGAGACCTAGCAGTCGTGACGGAAGCAACCCAGTCCTCGGGTCTGCCGTGAACTCGAGCAACGCGGCCGCGGCCAGACCCAGGTCAGCCCGGCCCCTCTCCAGCCGAATGTCTCACGTGGATATTTTGCGCGAGGAAGATAGCAAGGCCCCGAACTCCTTGAGTCGTCGGCCGTCCATTATCCCTCGACGCCGCCGCCCTACCACGACAGACTCTGAATGGGCTTAATATGGCCATTGAGATTCCAATGCAAAACCCATGTTTGTATCATTCTACTTACAATCTCTTTTTTTTTCCACTTTTGTTTCTGGTCGCTGGTTCATATTGACGGCGTTCTTATCAGGTGGACATGCATTGACGGGTGACGGCGCTATACCATTGTGTCAGGCCTCTTTGTTATTGTGGAAGCACTGGTTGCTGCACATAGAGTACAAATACTTTTTTGAATCCAACATAATTATGTTTCCATCCTATAACTTAAGTATATACGGAGTCAACTAAATAAACAAGAAAAAGACAGAAAACAAGGTAAATGACGTCTTTATAGATCATCACGTGCAGCGCCGAAGCCGATTGGCCTGAAAATTCTAGGATCATACGATTGAACTTGGCAACTCCCACCTTTTGCTTCATTCCCTTTTCTTTCTCTTTGGCCAACGGGCCCTGCTCCGGGATGAGCGCAGTGTATCGCGTGCCGTGGCGGACGTTCAAGATTGAACCCGCCACGGTAATCGGCAAATCCAAAGCCACCGGCTCTCCATTCTCTCGCCCGTCTTTACAACCGGTTCGCCCTGCATACAGTGTCTCGCAATGGACATTTTCACCTGCCCGTCGCTCGTTCTCCGCCAAGGCGCCTCTGCTGTCGGGTGAGCAGCCTGGGCCCGGGAAAGCCCCGGGATCGCAGCGGAAATTGATCAAGTGGTTGATTGTGGCCGGTGTGGTTGGTGTGGGTGCTGTCGCATTTTCAGACCAGGCAGGACATGCGTATGGGGCAGCCAAGCGGAGTGGTCGTGTTGTTGGCACCCTGGCTGTCTGCATCAATGAGTGAGTTTGTTCTGTTGGCCTCTACAATTCCCTTCGGGGACCCGGTGGGCCGTCGCTAATATACCTGATTGCTAGCTACCGCGTTACCCTCAAGCAAGAAGCCTCCAGCCCCGAAGAACACGAAGCATTGATTCGCGCATGTCACAAACGATGCGCCGAGCGTACCCTCCGCGTACTCGAGAAGAACGGCTCAATCTTTATCAAGTTGGGCCAGCACCTCAGCAGCATGGGATACCTACTTCCTCTTGAGTGGACCTCGACTTTCATTCCGCTACAAGACAAATGCCCCGTTTCGTCCATTGAGTCCGTCAACGAGTTATTCCGCAAAGACACTGGCCAAAGCATCGGCGAGCTATTCGACTCCTTCGAGCCGACACCCACTGGCGCTGCTTCTCTGGCCCAGGTGCACATTGCTACGCTAAAGGAAAATGGACAGAAAGTCGCTGTCAAGGTTCAACATCCTGCGCTCGATGAGTGGGTGCCACTTGATCTCGCCTTGACCCGGTTTACTTTCTCCATGCTGAAGCGCTTCTTCCCGGACTACGATTTGGAATGGCTTTCTAAGGAAATGGACTTCTCGCTGCCGCAGGAACTGGACTTCCGCATGGAAGCGCAGAACGCCACTCACGCGAGCGAATATTTCAAGAAGAACTCTGATTCCCCTCTAGTCATTCCCGAAGGTGTGTATTGCCGCTATCATAATGTCAGACAGTCTAACCAATTGCCGCAGTTATATGGTCTCAGAAACGCATCTTGGTGATGGAGTACATCGCCGGCCAACGACCCGACAATCTTGAATACCTGGACGCAAACCACATCGACCGTGACGAAGTCTCCGCAGCTCTAGCGCACATTTTCAACGAAATGATCTTCGGCGAAGACGCTCCTCTCCACTGTGACCCGCATGGCGGCAACATCGCCATCCGACCAAACCACACCCGCTCGCACCCGAACTTCGACATCGTCCTGTACGATCACGGCCTCTACCGTAACATCGACCGGGATCTCCGCCGCAACTACGCCAAGCTCTGGCTAGCTGTTATTGACGCCGACGTTCCCCGGATGCGTGAGTACGCACACAAGGTTGCCGGCGTCACAGACGAACAGTTCCCGCTCTTTGCTAGCGCTATCACAGGACGCGATTACAGCGTCCTCACGAAGAAGAGTGTTGTTTCTTCTCGTACAGCAGAGGAAAAGGATGATATCTCTGGTGCATTGGGTGAAGGCATGTTGCAACAATTGGTTGTTTTGCTTGGACAGGTTCCAAGGATCATCTTGCTTATCCTCAAGACCAACGACTTGAGTAAGTATCCTTGCAATCACTATTTCAAATAATCGCTAACAATCCCCCAGCACGCAGTCTAGATGAGAATCTGCATACTCGCCAGGGCCCGATGCGCTCATTCCTTATTCTCGCGAGGTACGCTACTCGCACTGTTTTCCAGGAACAGATGGAGTTGATCAGAGAGTCTGGTGGGGTGTTTGTCAATTTCTTCCGCTTCCTCTGTGCCTATACCAGCTTCCTCCGTGTTGAGGTCAAGCTTTCTGTCTATGAGACTTTGTTGTCTCTCAAGACTCGCTTTGGCATCCGCAGTGCCTAGTTTTTGGTTTGGATATATCCCTTTTGATTTGGCACGGATTTGAGTTCGTGCATCAGCGATGGCGTTTTCTTTTTCACTTCTTACCTTCTGGGGAAGGGTCGCAATACACGACCGTTGTACAATTATACAATTACAAATACATTAGACGGGATTTCACATATGTACTACGGATTTCGGGAGATATTCTGAATTCAGTGTTTCATTGTTTCATTGTTTCATTAGGAAACTATCAAGGCGCTACTTTTGAAAGGGAGATGAGAGAATATCAAGAATCCCGTACCGAGCGCCGTAAGCAAAAAAAAAAAAGAAACAGGAAAAAAAGGGCATCACAGAACGTGAGGGAAATATGTACAATCAAAAGCCCATTTGCTTGTTTCCGTCCTGCCCCGGGCATAGATGGAGAACCGGATTTATGAATCCCGGGCGCAAAGCATTGAAAAAAAAAAAACGCGTATGAAAAACTCCAAAGTCACAGACGAGTGTGGGAGAAAGATATCGCGGGAATTAACTTAGAGAGTAGCAGCAGGGCTGGGAGTCTGCTCAATCTCAACCTTCACATCGGGGATTGAGCCACCAGTTCCAGAGAGGTCAGTGACCCGGGTGTTCGGGTTCTTGGTGTAGTAGTTGGCAATGGCAGACTTGATAGCATCCTCAGCGAGCATGGAGCAGTGAACTGAAAGATGGTTAGTATCTGGAGAAATGACGTCTGAAGGGGAAAAAAAAAGTTAAGACTCACGCTTGACGGGAGGCAAACACAGCTCCTTTGCCACATCAGTGTTCTTAATCTTGCCAGCCTCATCGAGAGTCATGCCACGGACAAGCTCAGTCAGGTAGCTGGAAGAAGCAATGGCGCTTCCACAACCGAAAGTCTTGAAGACGACATCATCGATGACACCGGAGTCCTTGTTCACGCGGATCTGCAGCTTCATGACATCGCCACAGGCGGGGGCGCCGACGAGACCGGTGCCAACATCCTGGTCGCCCTTCTGCATGGAACCCACATTGCGGGGGTTGTTGTAGTGGTCGAGGACCTTCTCGTGGTAGCCGCGGCGCTGGGGGGCGATACTGCGGAGAGCGGGCTGGGCGGGCTTCAGAGAGGCCAGAGGGGTGAAGGAAGTGCGGGTGGCGACAGAGCCCACGCGAGGCACAACGGTGACGATACGTTTGAACATTGTGATAATAAGTGAGTATGTGTGTGAGAGAAGTGTTGATCTGATAGGGAGAAGAAGGTGATGAATTCATAAATAATCTGATCGAGTCTTAGGTAAGGGCGCTAGTCCTAATGGGGTAATGTTCTTTGCCCGGATTCCGGTCGTCGGAGATGACAAAGATGACGTTCTGGCCTTTCCTTCTCTTTTCTCTCTTCTCTCATCTTTATGAGTGGTTCTTACAAGTATAGACATTTGATCATGGAGACTGTCTCTTCCACTTATATTATGGATGGGTGATATCAGTGGCGACTTTGACTCGAACTTGGGCCAAGTGGACTCTCCGGTCAACGTCTGGTTTTCCGCACCAATTACTAGGCAATGATATCAAATGAACTGGGAACGGTAGTGATAGACATTCACTTCAATTCTTGCTTCTTCCATTGTTGTTTGTATACTCTACATGCTAAGGTATACATAATCTACTGTACCCTACTCTACTCTACTCTAATCTATAACTATAAATCCCGAACCACTCAACTACCTAGGTAAGCATATTCACTTCTCCGCGGGGTCGGAGACGGAAAACCGGGTTATCGGGGGTTTGAATACCCCATTGGGCATACGAGTAATACTAAAGTGCTTATCATGTCAATACTTATGTGCTTATGCCGAACGATGTACACCGAAATGCTTAGCATCTAGAATCAACGGAATGTCTCACTTCAATGCTACTTAAGTAAATCCATCAATACTTAAGTATCACTGAAAGCTATCACTCAATATCGAACCCATGGATCCTAGTACTCATCGATGCAAAGCTCAACCCCAGATCCCACCTACAAAGCCTCCCGCACAGCAGATTTATACTAAAAAGCACGTCAGCCAACATCCATAACCCCAACCCCAACCCAAACATACCGGAATAATCTGCGCATTCTCCAGATCCCAAACCCCAGAAACCGTATAGATATCCTTCTTAAGCAGCTCCAGTGCCTTCTCCGCACTCTCCGCCACAACCATCATCATACTGCCCTTGAAGGAGGGGGTTTCGCCTTCAGCGGGGTGAGCATTGAGCATGGCACCTGTAGACCATTAGGGGTACACCTTTACCTTCACAGGGGGATTATAACTCACCACCTGCAACGATAGCACCCGATGCAACGTGTGGCTTGACGCCTTCGAGGTGGGAACTTGGTTTGTTAGCGGTCATAAGGACTTCAGGAGTACTCGGGTCTAGGACTCACGGGCGGACTTCCATGCGCTTGGCGTGCACGCCTGGCTTGTCGGGGAGGATGCAGAGGAATTCCTTGGACATTTTGTAGGATTGAGATGTGAAGTGGTGGAATTGGAAGGTTGATATGAGGGATTGGTGGGGGAAAGCGGGGACCTTTAGGCGGGTGACCGATTTGAACATCGTGCAACTGCAGAATTGCTCAAGTGAGACTTCGTGAGGTTTTTGGTAAGGGGTTTTCTAGGGTTTCCGGGGTGAGGGAATGCGGAGGTTGAAATTGTTACGTTTGACAGGTCTGGGCGTTATATCCGCTACCGCATTTCATAGCCTTTGTGTTTATATAGCAGAATACAAGCTTCATATACTACAGACTTTAAGCCTAATCTACTTAAGTAGAGACAGAACTTTCAAAGCAGAACCATAATCATGGATTGGATATGACAATAGTCCGGATGCAAAAGACCCTATGTTTGCGCAAGAAAAAAAAATATCGAGACTTCACTCGAGTGTACATGCCGAGACAACTCAATCCAATCAGAAAGGGTCTCAGACACAAAGTATATCAGGTCTGGAGAATGGACTTTATAGACTTGCAAACATTTTCCCCCGTAGCGCCAAGGTAACAAATACACACACACGCCCTAACAGACACTGGATTAGGGAAATCATTAGGCTTTCTGTCGCGAACATCCAAAAAAAAAAGGAGAAAGGAGAAAAGGTCACAAGGGAATGGAAGTGAAAACCCGCCTCGAAGGGTTCAAAAGAGGCGAGAATGGATGTTCGACGCGGAATCAAAGATCAACTTAAATCCCAGATTGTCCCGCAATGCGTAAAACCTAGAATGCTTTACGGTCACCAAGGTTGCCGGGCTTCTCGTCGGTATCAATGTGCCAGACCACGTAGTTGGGTAGTCCGATCACCTGGTAGCCAGCACGCTTGGCCATGCGAGCAAAGCCCTCTGTCTCTGCTTGGTTCTCGAAAGCGTAGGCGGGGAAATTGATGCCGGAGCGGTGGACATCAGCTTTGACGAGGATGTTGACACCACCAATGCCGTCAAGTTCCACCTCCTCATCTTTGTTCTTGCGCCAGTCGCCCATGCCAACGAGGTAGGTGCGGCCGGTGTCGTATTCCTTGTAGCCTTCAGCCAAGACAGTGTCGGCTGGCAGAGTTGCGCGGAGACGGCGGCCCTTGTCGGATTCGATCCATGAATTGTAGTCAACTAGAAAATGAAGATGTCAGAAGGCTGCGCATCCAGAACGGTCCCAATGAAGACTTACAGCGACCCTCGATGTCGTGACCATCGCGGTAGCGGTGGAACCAGATGTCTAAGAGAAATTGATGTTAGCGAACGCTCCCTAAAAAAAAAAACTTCAGCGAAATCACATACTGGGCACGAGGATATCCTTGTCATGAGCCATGAAATCCTCGAGGATTCGCTCGGGGCAGTCGGTAATATCCACATCCCGCCAGTACACCCAGGAGTGATCGGCCTTGAGAGCAGAGTAGAGCAGGTAGTTGCGGGCCCGGCCAATGGCCTTGCGTCGGGGGCCCTGAGCCTGGAAGGAATGGCGCTCCTCCACGCTCATCTCGGTGTCGGCACCGAAATCCTTCCGGACGACGGTTGCACTGCGGAAGCGAACCTTTTCATCGGCGTGGTTCTGGATCCGATCCAGTTCAGAGGCGAGGTTGGCTAGGGTCTCGTCCTTGCAGTCACCGACCAGGAAGGCCAGGTCGATCAAATCGTGCGGGTAGGTCAGCTTGTATAAGAGATCGAAGTATTTGGCCAGGTAAGGAGCGGCGTCGCGAAGAGGGGTCAGGATGAGGACACGTTCACGGTTTTGGACGGCCTGGATGGTAGACTTGATTGGGTTCAGGTCTACGTCGTCGATGGAGGTGGAGTTGACTTCGTAAGGTTCGTGGCGGTTGAAGAGGACGGGGGTTTGGGCATGCGCATTCCACTCCACCATCTCGTTAAGGGACATCTCCATGGGTGATTTGTTGGATCCATAGCAGTAGAAGCTGTGTCAAGTTAGTTCGGTGTTTGGATTTTGTAGATCCGCAGGTCTCTCTCACTTTTGCATCTCGGAGGCTGACTTGCTGACGCCGCGCCACATGAGAATGAGCAGACCAGCCAGGGCTATGGAGACCAGGAATCGAGTCCTTGTTAATAGAACGACGATTGCCCTCCATGGGGGAAGTCTGGCCTTGGCCGACTTCCAATTAACACCGCCCTTTGGCAACAACATGGTGGTATACGCGTGGAATTTCAGGAGTAACAGGGGCGGGGTCTCGAAGTTTTGCCCGGCGATAACCCCCCGACCGAACGAATGTGGCAAAGAGAGGGAGTGACCGGGGCGATATGCGAAATGCGAAATGCGAAAGGAAGGGTTGATGGAGGAGAGAAAAGAGGAGTGACGGGACCGGGGGAAGTGCGCTGCCTGTGCCAAGAGGGAACTTTCGAACGGCCAAAATCAGCCAACTGTTTCCGTACAGATTTTACTATGTACTTTTATTTAATTGAGCTTAATTGATTTCCTTCTCTCTGTCTCTCTCTCTCTCTTTTACCTCCTAAGTACTCTGTAATAGTGACCTCAGAGGTGAGCCGAATCCAGCCCTATTGAATGACTTTAAATGCCAATCCCTTTATTTATAGCCTGGAGTACGGACTACAAAAATCAAGTATACTTAAGTAACATTATAACAACATTGGACTGCAACTTAGAAGGACACACTCTAGGAATATCTAGGTATTCACGTCTTTACTTTACTTAAGTAGGACCCCTAAGCACTCCCTACTTTCTGTGCAGGGATTGCGTTGTAGACACGTAAGACCAAAATAGCCTCGTATTTATATTCTGTTACCCAATTTATGAAGATCATTGCCATTTAATATGCCCCAAGGCTGCCACATAGTTTAAACATTCAGGTACAGAGTAGCAAGTACTAGTTATAGACAGCCATTGAGAATAGGCTACATAAAATTTCAATCATTTTGCACGTTTCAGCTCATAGAGACACTTGTCCGTTTCAAAAGTCTCGACCGTCTCCACCGTAGATCGACAGAGCATTTGATTGACACCTGATTCGTCCTTGGCCGTGTAGATCGGAAAGTACACATTCGATGTTTTATTCCAGTTATGAAGTCCATGCTCAACAGAATACATGTTATCTACTTAAGTACTTTTAAGTATTTGCTTATATCTTTTTTGGATATCACTGTGAAAACAGAGTGTATCACAGATAGTGACACAGTTTTGACTTACTTTCCTGTTCCAAGGCTAGTGGTCAAGCACCCGTGGACCACAAGCATTCTCTGCATGCACAAAAGACAGGCAAGCCTTGAACAGTCTCTACACAGCTTTTCCTCCCAACAAAAAACAAAAAAGAAATCTTAAAGACCATGTTGGTATTTTAGGAAGAGCCGAACGCGGGGGTCGAACCCGCAGCCTTAAGATTAAGAGTCTTACGCTCTACCGATTGAGCTAGCCCGGCGAAAGGCTGTTGAAGATCGTTGAAAAATAGTGCTACATAAACCAAGGGCTAAAAAAGGTGCCATATTAGGAGGTAAATTTAGGACTAGGACATGAAGATTGGGGACTTGGTGCTTCTGTGCTACAAAAGAATGATGAATTCGAATGGTTCCTGTTGAATTGGAGTGGCCCCCCTTGGAATTTGTCATAATTTCGAACAGATCTTGCTACCAGCAGCTCCCAGGGTGGTTGTTGATAACTTTAGCGTGATGGGTGTATCTTAAGAGGGCTTTGGAGATGCATTCGATTTAAAGACGAAAGGATGTTTGTTTCTGTAGTTATTCCTCTTTTCCCAATGTAATCATGAATCCACTTCATTATTACTTAAGTATGGCCAGCTTTCCATCACAGCCTCCTACCATCCGTGTTAGCGCAACGTTGATCAGACTCTCACGAGATACTCACAGTGCTTCAGTATATCCTATAATGTAAGAAATAAATAGGTTTCTCAAGCGGAGCCTTAGATTTCTACGTGAGATCCACGGATAGTATCTCAGTAATAACATGGCCGACCTTTCATTTGAGCATTAGTGTGACCACTTTGGACAGAAACCACAATCCTGCTATAGATTTAGGCATTAAGCACTCCCTACAGACTATCCAGTATTCCAACTTTAGAACCGGTAAGAAAATATTAAAACTTTGGGATGACAGGGTGGCCTTCAGAATGAGGTTGGAAGACACCGGCCGGATGTAAGCTAAGCTCAATGCTTAGGATTCGATATCATATACCCAACAAGGCACTAACATCGCGTATTTATTCAACATAGGATCCAGGGCCTAATTAAGCAGAGGTAGGTGACATGACTTCCAAGGTTTGCGGCCTTGTATCATGATTGAATTCCTTAGGTTCCTAAGGAATACCGAAGTGCTAAGACATCCATGAATGACATGGTTGAGCTTGCTTACATACGTTGGGTGCTTGTTGAAAAAAGCCTATCGAGAAAAACCCAGATCTCTGTGATAGGTACCAATGTATCGCGAGCGATAGTTTCAGTATGACTTGATAGTTCGTCCCGGTTATGAACAATGCGATAGCTTCGACAAACTCTATCCGAATCGGGATTCTACCTTTCATACTACTCTCAAAGACAGCTGTTCACTTGAATAGTTCATTGGGTCATAGCTATAGACATGAAGATGAAGAAAGTGACAAAAGAAACAAGAAAAAAATAAACACAGAATATATCCAAACTCACATCCTTCTTATTCACACCGACACCAGAAAACAAGAAACAGAAACTCCACCCATTTTTGCAAAGCTCAAATGACAAAGGAAACCCCAAGGCACCGAAATCAAAACAAAGGAAAAAAAAAGGATTCAAGCAATTTGGGTGCATCGTATTTAACCCCAAAGCTGAAGCAATATTGTTACAATGCAGGCGCTGAACGCACATAGACAGAAGGCATAAGCCGAACGAAAGAGTAAGGGACCGCTGCTGCAAGGGATTCATAGAGTATGAAATCAAAAGGAGAAAGGGGTCATGGTATCGTCAGAGCGCCATCTCCACTGCAGATCTATGGAGAGGCGGCGTTTGAGCATCGACGAGGTGCCGAGGCGTATGTGAACGAGGAGTGGGAGGGTGCGAAGGCAGGAGAGGGAGGACCAGTCATGGGTGGCGTGGCAGTGAGGTATGAGCTGCCGAATGACTGTGATGTAGAGCTGGGCAAGCCATCTTGGTAGACGGAAGCGGGCTCGGAGGCCATGGCGATTTCGTTACAGAAAACTCGCAGACCAGGGAGGCCGTTCTTCTTCTGACGCTTGTGTTCGGGGAAATCGAGCAGGGGGCCGGGGCTGGTGCTCTCGGCCTTGGGAGAACGGAACATCTGCTCGTAGGACTTGAGCTGGAACTCGAGGGCACGGTTGCGGTCCACAAGCATCTCGTTCTCGGCCTTGGTGGCCTTCAGCTGCTGCTGGGCAGTCTGGTTTTGTTGCTGTAGGGAGCTTACTAGCTGCTGGAGCTGCATGCAGCGGACTTGAGGCTGCAGCTTCTCTGAGAGCTGCGGTGTGACTTGCTCCTGGCGGATGAGGTGGACAATGATGGCAAGCATGAAGTCAACCAAGTAGATCGCTCCTTGCACAATGTGTTCCTTGGATTGAGTAAGGCTCTTTGAGGGGTTCCAGCCTGCACGCTCGAGGAAGAAGTCGTGGATACGGCTGTCCAGTTGGCGGTGCAGCTCACTCAGGTTGCTCCGGCGATTGCCCTCGGCAATGCGGTGCTTCTCGCGCTGATCATCTTCGATAGATTGAGCGCTGCCCTTGCGCTTACGGCCGCAGAGCTGCTGGAGAGGGGCTTTACGGTTGAGGTTTTGCGGGGCCACAAGGGCCATGATCTCGTTCTGTGAGAGGTCGTTGGGCCAGTCTCCTGCACCAGCCTTCTGCATGGCAAAGGACTCTTGCCAGGAGCTTTCGGCCGAGTTGGCCGGGGAAGGAGGAGCGACGATGTGCTCGGCAGGTGCCCATGTCGACTTGAACTGGAAGGTGTCTTGAGGCCCCGGGGTTGTAGGAACTAGAGCATCCTTTGCGTTGAATGGGCTGAAAGGTCCACGAGCAGGTAGAGGCAAGATTTGGGGAAGAGGAGGGAGTCGGCGCTCCTCGCCAACTTCAGAAGGCGTCATGCTTGCAGTAGATTTGAAAGAACTAGTAACCATGTTAGATTCGTTTGATATGACAGAGTATCAAAAGTCACTCACGGCAGAGAGCAGCGGCGAGGCACGTCTTCCGTAAGGTGAGACATTTCTTCGTACATAGAGGTCGAGAGTTGGATGATGATGGTATTTGCAAGGACGGTGGTGATAATATGCTGTGAGGCGTAAACAGGAAGATATATACCGATAGATCCTGATGAGTCGAAGATATGTTCAAAAGGGGGGCGTCGTCAGGTGAAGCCAACGCGGAGTGCAGATGAAACAAAGGCGTTGTATATGCACAAATAGGGATATGAACAAAAGGGGGATATAGACAAAGAGAGGTTGTAATATGCACACGAGGCTGTATACTAGGGAGGATAAACAAAAAAACATGCGGGCTGGGATGCAAGTTTATATGTAGGAGGAAGTTAAGATCCAGCTCTCCAGACCCAGGGGAGGGGAACCATGATCAGAGCCGATCTTCGACAGACATGAAGCGCGGAATCGGAAATGTCATACAGACAGTCGACGGTGCATTGTCCGCCCCACCGTCATCAGAACGGGGAAGCAAGACGGGCATCCCGGGTGCTCTGGGCCATCTGCTAGTGCCCGCTTGGGCCCGAGAAGAAGCGTCGGAGAACGATGCAAAATACTCGGTATCACAGAGTATCTGTCACATCCAGCACAGACCGGGTCCAGTTCGTTCAGATTCACGAATGATGATCACTCGATGAAGCCCGAGGGGAAGGTTCGTGGTGAGGATCCAAAGCCCTTGATTTGTCACCGGGCTGTTGGGTCTTGATCGACACGGGGAAGATTTTAGGGGTCCTTTTGGTCCTTGCATCAATAGTAATCCCAATTAATGACATAGGCGTGGAAGTCATATTCAGTGATATTCTCCGGTTTCAAAAATGCTCATTGGGAGTGGAGAGAGTGTGTGTAGTACACTAGGTAACTATTCTCCCAAAAGGGTAAATCGAACTACACAAGATTTTCTTGCATATTCTAATGATCTATATTCTATATCGAACCCATCCCTACATTGAACATGTGGTATCACATCCCCACCGGGGATCTTGAAACGTTCACTGCAGCAGAATTAGAGCTCGCCTCTCGATCTCTTGCGTCGATATTCAGGAGAAGATACTGGGCTCTATTGTATCAAGGGGCAAACCAAATCCCCCTCGAGGGAATGGTCAATTCAAACTCAACCTAAATTAAATAGAATCACGCAAGGACCGAGCCGTCTTCAAACACGCGAGGAGGTAGTTGCACAGTGTCGTTCTCCATAGTATGACAGATTAGGACTATCTACGAGTACGAGATTAAAGGCAGATCGCATTCTAACAATATCTTCTACTCGTACTACGGAGTACAAGTAGACAAATCATTCAATCGAAGAGGCCCGACCGGAGTGATCGCTCGAGGAGACCAGCAGCTTGGGACAATGGTCGACCCAAGCACCAGGGTACGATCGCTGTCAGATAGCGAATCATGGAGATCTCGATGATTTGGAATTCCAGCACACAGACGTTAGGGGAATGGACGAGTCAGAGGAACCGATTATTAGCTTAATAGTGTAAATTGCCAACTCGAAACGAGCCAGTTCTAAAGTTGGCGCTGGTTTCTTAGCGAAGCCCTAAACGTCGCACGTTCCCCTTGAATAGCCCTACATCCCAGCCTCACCTGTAGACGCTGTTCTCAACCATCCCTAATCCCTAATGAATATCCAAATCTTTCAGGGTCTACTCCATAGCAATTCCTTTAACAGATTGAAAGTACGAGTACATATTCTGATACAATTGCAATTAGCTATCCCTTTGCGTGTCTGCAATAAAAACGAGGGTGGGTCTTACAAATTAGAGCTGTCATATTCCCCATTGCATTCTAACCAACTACAATTCAGCTCTCATTTGGCTAACCCCATCGAGGACACTAGTCCCCACGTTCTGGTGTTCGTGTTCTCGATCTCTCTTGTGATTATTGGCTTTGACAATACCATGGGAGAAAAAAAAAAAAAAAAGAAACAATAGACAAGATTAGTCGTTCTTGCATTCCATGCAGTCCACTTCATTGTTATATCGACACTCTACTCCGGAACAGACATCCGTCGTCTCGAATTTCCTATGCAGACCCCTATCTGAAACCCATTTCCCTTTTTTTGGCCCTTCAGATCCAACAGATCCCGACCGGCGCATCTCACAGAGTTCCGCGCCTGCGCCTAAGAGCCATCTGCAGACGGGCTGCACCACGCTGCAGTAACTCGAGGGGAAAAAGAACCATGAACCACTCCAAGGCTGCTCGCTCAAACCTTACAATCGTTCCGGTAGTTCCCCGGACCCATCTGGACCCAATGATCTTCACACTTATCCTTTTTCTGTCTCCTTGCCTTCCAAGGTAAGTGACGTGCAGCTAGGGTCACTTCTCCAGATCTCCAGACCGAGAAAAAACCTCAGTAACTTTCTGAGATCAGAGATCGCGATCCTCTGGGCTTGAACTCACTTCATGGACTAGCTTACGTGCCTGCGTGTCCTCCGTACGTCACGAACATATGCATCTAATACCGTTCACACTAGGGATCGTGCATCGCATTTCGACTCTAAACCTTTCCCCTCCTAGTGGCTTGAGGACCAGGTAGCCACATTCTCGTAAAATCATTTCTTACATCACACAGCGCTCGCAGAAGCCTTCGTCCCGTGCGGCTCTCGGGTGCAAGGAACCCAGCCACCTCGTCAGTGCCAATTATAGCCTTTGATCTTTTTCTCTGTTCTTTTTCCTCTGTTCGCCTTGACAGACGCAACGACACCCTCAAGGCCAATGATAGAGCCGGTAGCCCTCCTCGCGCCAATTTATTCCCAATAGTAGGACTTAGTTGACTCAGCCGCTTCCGTGCCGTCCCTGACCTGTCAAGTTTCAAGTGTCAGTATTAGTGGGGCTGTGTAACGGGATTCTTGATTTGCACGTCTGATTACATACATTAGACATAAGTTACTTCGTACACTGTTCAGACTACTGGCCATGATTTGAGATACAGACATGGAGTACTCCTGATGGGTGAATACTCGTAGTAACGGGGGCAAGTGGATCCAGAGCGATACACATCTACAAGTCTAGATTCATGCCAAGCAGGTAAAAGTACAGGTTCATGCACTATGCAAGATCACCCTGCTACGGAACTCGGAGTACTCGTACGAGTATGTAGGGTGGCAACAAGGATCAGAGAATTTGGTGTAATTCCATGCACCTAGCGCATGAACACGGTTTCCTCTCGATCTCTGCTAATTTTTCCTGACCATCGGATTGGATGGTTTGGTTCGATTAGATTAACTGTACGGAGTACAGATCCAAGATGCAGCTTCCTTGTTTCCCTACCTACTTGCACACATAAGCACAATGCACTTATCTCAGCGGTCCGAATGAAACATCTAATTCCCGTCAGGTGGTTGAGCATGAGCTTGTTGGCTCGTGCTGTGCTAATAGCAGCTGTACACGGGCCATGACGGAAGGGGCACATAGTACTTCGTGATTTCAATCTATTTGTTTACTTGAAGCCTAATTCCAATTGCTGCCCGGGTGAGCATTGTGGCTTATCCGGACAAGAGCTGGGCAATAATTGCCCTCTCCCACATATTCGCATCGGGGACGATTTGGACAAGGGCAATCATGATCCACGGTCATAAAGCCATGTGGATCTTACTGAAGAGTCCCTAGTCTGTTAGCCTCCAACTTTGCCCAGGTGGACACCACCGATTACCATATCGGGGTGTGGATTTCCAACCGTTCAAAAGTACGTTGGAAAATTAAGACCAAATTCAAATCTTGACCCCAAGCACCCATCGCCATGAGGCGACTAGCACCCCTGTGCAGGTACAACCAATCCTCTGGATGCAGAGATATTCCCCGACTGGTGCAGCCGCCACCGGCTGCAAGGACGACCCCCTACTCGTACAGATGAGCAGACGCCCACGATGCATGGTCTGTGACTATTTCGGGAACTCAAATTCGCCGCATATGACATGTCTCACTCGAGGGACTACTCCGGCATGCATACGCACTCTGCCCGTGGAGTTTGATCGGAATTCCTGTGAGGTACGAATGGAGCACAGAGTCCCCATGTAACTTTGGAATCTGGTTGCGCGCTCAGGACTCGATCTCCCCATTACCAGGAACTCTGGTTGCCTCCAATGCAAGGCGGATGTATTGTTGCTGAGCCGGGCCCTGGATATGTGCGTCCTTATTCAGGTACCCTTTTTTTGATTCTCCCGCTGTGCATTATGATCGTGCTACGATCTGACAAAGTACGTTAGTCCTGTATGGAGCACGAAAAGACCCCATACAAATTATACTCGTACCAGTGGGATCTCCCTCCACAGGAAACAGTTGCCGCTTCGTATGCTGCACATAATCTATAGTATGGAGTTGCCAGCTCATGTCTTGCACTTCGCTCCACTTTGGCCCACTGAGCCTGGCCTTTGCACTTTGCACTTGGTGGATAGGAGAAAAATCACACACATATTCTGACTCCATTGTTCTCGTGGAGAGTCAATGGCTTCCCCTCGAAAATATTTGATCTTGGCGTCCCCAACCCCAGATTCACATTGATTATTGGGATCTTGGGCAAGGGACACATGGTGTAAATAGATCTGCCGATCGAGTTCTTGGCGGAAGATTTCAAATTGGTATAATAGTACGGAGTATAATTAGTATAGAGATCAGAAGCCCTAGCATTCGTACATTTAAACCACAATCCGTCATCCGAAACTCAAATATCCAACAAAGTACGTCGTAAGTACATTGTACATTTTACTACTTCCCAAAAGAACAAGACCCAAATGAGCGGGTCGTGGGTCCCAGCCCCGTGGAATTCCCTTGCTAATCCTCTAAATCCTCTAACTAAACCCCCCTATGGAATACGCATACGTTTTGTTTTTCTCTCCAGTTCGAGAGGTGGGCTCCCACGGGTCTGGAGCCATGTACGTCGACCCATGCAGCAATCTATATGTACAGCACATCCCTTTTCCACCGTCGTCATACTCGTACTTCCGCCACACCAGGTGCAGATCGACTTATCCGTACTCGTACATCGAGATCTAGATGAACCGTTCCTTGCGAGTTACAGACTCGTCTACAGAGTACGGAGTCCCACGATCAGATTTCGCGACCGTGGACTCATCCGGTTCGCCTTAGCCTTTAGCTGCAGTTCGCATGTACTGAATATTGAGGCGCTACAGACTGGTAGGAATTCTACATTCTCATCATGGCTGTCATTTCTGTCATTGTCTCTATAGAGTCAATCCGCTTCGTAGATTTATAAGTACCATTTAATTTACCTTGCGCTTAGGCTTTACTCCGTACTCCTGTGAAACTAGAGAAATTCACTATATCGAGCCTTCGAATTCTCTTGAACAGAAGCAAAATCTCGTTCTCAGTTCATCTGAAGTTAGTCGCGCTCGAACCCCTCGTTTCGAGACGAATCGGATCGTGAGGCTGGGCCCGGCACTGTGGATTTGATATGTCGATTTTTTCCCGACGGGCTGGTTGGCTTCTTCTCTACTGTGTATATACTGTGTACTGTAGGAAGTACACATTCAAGGGACAATAATAAGTATCCCTTCAATGACTCGAACGAGTAGACACATACTACGTAGTGCCTACGGAGTACTGCACTACGAGTACTCGTAGACATTCAGAGTTCACCAGTTGATCCGATCAACATGCACCTCTCCCACTTAGGCATCTCATCTTTAACTTACTTCCATCCGAACGCGATCTACCGCACCAGATCCAAGTCAGATTCGGATCTTAGAAAGAAATAAAAAAAACCTTGGAACTTAGGAACTCATCCGTAAACCCCACCGAATCCAACCTCATCACCACAGGCCGGCAGTAACATCCTAGCTTCAAATCTGTCCCGTTTCCCCTCTTTTCGTCAGACTTTTCTTGCCCCGTTCCACTTGAGCAGGATCGATGATCCGATATCCGATCAGACTGCTTGTTAGGCTAGCAATTGAGATCTGGACTGTTCTAAGTTCTAAAGTTGGATCTAGTACGATGGGAACTGGTGTCCGAGACTCGCACACCGGGATATGGATCGGGGTCTGGTCTACTTGCCCAGATGCTCAACTTTACGAGTAGAAGTGGACTTGGCTTAGGATGAACTTGGGTTACATAGATCAGTGATATACCGGGCGATTGCCGAATAGATCAGGGTGATGTACGAGTACGATATGTCTGTGACATGGAAGTTCTGGAGGGCTTGGAATTGAAGATTTCGTAGCGTTGATGTGCACTGCGGGGATTCTCGAGTTTGACTTTTAGAAAGTCGTAGAATCTGAGACTAGACTCCAGGAACCCAGGAACTTCTCAGGAACTTCCGAGGCTGTGCTCAAGTGTATCCCGGTGGTTGGGGGTTCTAGAATTCAAGGTTGATATCATTGACGAGTGGGGAAATTCTTATCCGGTGAAGTGTTGAGATTAAATATACCTCGGTAGAGAAGTTCTGAATGAATTGCCTGTTGACCATCCATAGATGGAATATTTCAGAGGTCGAAACGTAGACCAGGGTCATATATGTATCGAAGGTGTAGATATAATTTACATATGTTCCAAGGTTTCAAGGTCGTTGAGTACTTGCATTTGTAACAGCCGACTCTGTAAGTCCAGGGTAGACTGTGCTCCGTAGCTGTGATCAGGAACCGACTGGATATATATTGACCCAGACTTCAGGGCCTCCAAGGTTGAGCAAGCAAACATTCCCTTTGAATGCATGTTACTGAAAGAGTCCCGAAGAACTGGAATTCTTGAAGATACGAGAGACATATAGAGCTACTCAGGCACGAGGTCAGGAAAACAAATACAATCATTAGTTGCAAGCAATGAGATAAAAGAGATATTACTACCAGGATAAGGAAAAGGTAATGAAGGTTTACACAAGAAATACAACGTGAACAGAATCCCAACCGCAGGCCGTGGCCTCGCTCTAGGGACAACGAGCAAGGTTACAAAGTGCAACCGAATGCATTAGAGCGCGATGAGCGCACCATAGAACATAAAACAAGCAGCACAAGGGGGGTAAGAAAACATCTGTCAGGAAAACGATGGGCGTTGCCCATGGACAGAACATTGCGAATTTTCACCACAAAAGACCGAATTAATATCATGACCGCAGTCTGGGACTTTGGTAAAAACTTTGTACAAAATCCCTAAAAGTCAAATGACTCCCTCCACTAATCAAACCCTTACAGGAAAGAGGCGAGAACACCGAAGAAGGCGGCGAGACCGGCAACGGGGACGTTGGCACCGTTGAAGTAGGCAGCACCGGAAGAGGTGCTGGAAGAGCCGCTACCGGTGGAGGTACCGGAGGTGCCGGAGGTGCCGTTGGAGGTGGTGGGGTTGTTGCTGGTGGCGTTGCACTTGAAGTCACCCTTGATGACGTGCTGGTTCTTCAGCTCCTTGAAGTCGGAGCAAGAGAAGTTACCGTGGGTGGACTGCAGGTTGAAGGTACCGGCAACATCCTTGAGAGCACCGAGGGAGACCCTGAAAAGAGGTTAGTATGGCACCTTGATGAGAGAATATAATTGAATGACTCACTTGTTGAAGGTACCGCTGAAGTCAATGGCACCGTTGACGCGCTGAAGGCTGGACAGAGAGATGATGTTGAGGTCGTCATCACGGGCGATAGTGAAACCACCGTCGACGGTCTTCAGGACGGGCATGGAGATGTTGGAGAGCTTGTCGTTGTTCTTGAAGACCAAGTCACCGGTCTGGGTGAGGTTGGGAGCAGAGAAAGTCTCGAACTTGGTACCCCAGAAGCCGAGCTGACCGGTGAGCTTCTCGAGGGAAGGCAGGGAGACAGCAGAGATGTTCTGGAAGGTCATACCCTTACCAGTGCCGAGATTGGGGAAGTTGACCTCGAGGGTGTCGTAGTTTCCGGAGAAGCTGATGGAATCGGTAGCGTTCTTCAGGTTGTTGATGTTGATGGTCTTCAGGTCACGGTTGTTCTGGATGCTGAAGAGACCGACGGTCTGCAGTTGGATACCGTTCAGGTCGGTCAGACCAGTGTTGGTGATGCTGACATCACCAGCCTTGGTGACACCCTTGGCGAAGCTGAGGGACTGGAGCTTGGGGAGAGCATCCCAGTTGATGCTGCCAACGGAGTCGAGCTCGGCGAAGTCGAGCAGGGTGAGGGTAGTCAGACCCTCAAGGTCGAAGGCATCACCGATGCTGGTGAGGGCAGAAGCAGTGATAGAGCTGACGTTGGCACCCTGGGAGCACTTGAGGCCACCAGTGATCTTCTCGATACCGCTCAGGCTGAGGTCACCGCTGTATGACTTGTCAATGGTGATGTCACCCTTGATGGTCTTGCAAGAGTTGATGCCATCGGCATCGCTCTGGGTCTGGATCTTGGTGTCACCGCAGTCGGCTGTTTCAGGACGTTAGAGGGACGGGATTCTATCGCGCGAGGGAATTGAGGGAAAACTCACAGGCAGCGAACACAGCCTGGGAAGCGGCGAGCGCAGGGAGGATGTACTTGAGAGACATGATAAATTCTGGATTGCGCGTCAGCCATTGGAACCCGGTCGCGATGCCACCACACGTACCGATTAAGAGATGCGGAGACTATAGTTTCGCAATGAGTGGAAGAAGAAGAAGCGCTTCAAACGAAAGGGAAGCGGATAACTGCCGGGATAGATGGGCAGGAACTCTCAAATGGTAAGAACGAATGAACAGGGTTGAGAGAGGGAAGAGAAGAAGAAGAAGAGGAAAGGGGAGGTGGAGATTGGTATCTTACCCAAGGTACCACTTTTTTTCTCTTATATGTTTACTTTTCCAATACGCAAAATACGAAGGGGCAAAAAACACACACAGTACCGCATCCGGCGGGGTATAACATCCCAAGGTTATCGCCGGATTCAACCATGGGATTCTGAAAATTACCCCCTGATGGCCACACAATACCACACATTACCATACCACTCTATACCAAACTCTCCCAAAAGTTGATTCCGCAGCGTCCAATTCCTGCTTTAGACTGGCGCTAGTGTCCTGTCCCTGATACAATTGCCCCTTTCTACGGATGTACACGTATTTTAGACCACACGTGGTATCCTATGCTTGTCTTTTGCTTAATGCGGAAGATTGTTATTGACAATCAGTCTATACTTTGTTCTTCATATTTGATTCTTTTGATCAGGACCATGCAATCGGCAAGGTGCACCAAAATACTGACATTCGTACAGGTGATATTTGCCACTGCATCTCGCTTGGGCCTAAAGGAATTGTGTATCCACGCTTGGTACCTTGGGCAATTATGCATTGTGAAATTACAGACCTGAGGATACTTAGAATAGGACTTCATAAATACTATAAATACTAGCCTAATACCAAGACTCAGACTCTATCTATCAACTGCAACGTCATCTATGCAAAGCTTGCCTGTGCCAATGGATCTTAGCATATATCCCAAACAAATATTCCATACTCTCTACTACAAGACAGAGGACTCTCCCGTCCACAAGACCACACGATGAATCTGAATAAGACGCAATCTGTGAAATGTATTTCGAGTTGATGGGCGATCTAAATTTGCGGGAATCCAAGCCTTTGGACCCGCCCCCCCCTGCCGCTATCGTCGATTGTCCCCGGCATGCACACCTAATTGGCACGTTGGAATGACCTCCTGGATTGACACTCTGATGAGATCGCCCCTCGCGCGATGTGCAAATGGTGCCAAAGCGAATTCTATTCCAGGTGCCATTCCCCTGACCCCTTTCCATTTCATTGCTCAAGGTATATGGTACTCCGTGCCTTGTGAATGAAATGCTTCATACGGTGGTCGGAGTGGTTCATACTCCGTACAGATTTCAAAATCAAAATAAGAAATGCTTTTGGGTGTTCTATCCTTCGTTTAGAATACTCGTGGTTGGGTACATAGTTACACCGTACAAAGTACATTGAAGATCCTCATATCTGCAAGAACCCTTCACATTGAATCCTTGCCTACGAAGTAAATGAGTTCAAATGGAGGGTTCCCCAGGTTGATCGCAATATTCCTCCGTAAGTACGAGTAATTTTCTTCCTGGAAATTCGAGTGCACAGATGCGAACTCGGCTATAGCTAGCTCGGGACTGTCACTTAATTCACGACGATCAGGTCACGTCTAGAGCTTCATCGGCCCGAGTCGAGAGGATCGGGCATATTCCACTTTTCCACCTGTAGATCCAATTGAACCCACTGGGATTTTCATTTCCAAATTTCAAGGTTCTATAGCATCTCACACACTCTGTTCTTGTACTTATATTCAATCGATTTCTAAAGTCGAGGTTACAGCCGTAAATTTGGCAATGTTTCAGAACGGGCCCCGACTGGCCCCGTACAGTCTCACTCCACTTCTGTAACGGTCCACAAGTGATCAGTCGGTTTTATTTTGATTTTTTTCCAGTTTTATAATTTGCAAATCGCTTACACTTGGAAAACCTGGTTGTTGTTGCCTGGTTGTTTCCTAGTTACATAGAGAAGGCCGCGTTTACTACTCGTAACTCCGACCGTGAATTGATTTGTTATTGCCATGCTTGCCACAGCCCTTAGCCCTGCTGTTCAATTCGAGTTGTCACAGTACATGTTTGCAAATTTCACATGGCATTCGGTTCGCATTCTTGGTTCCTTCAAAATGGAATCCAAAGGGGAAGCCACAAATTGGAATGTGACTACAGGCACAATTCTAGGGGGAAGAATGACCACATACTCGCACCTCGAACCAGACCCATGCTAAACATCAATGCCATTAACACGAAAGAAAGCATGTGGTATTGTGCCCTAAACCTATTCCGAGACGGATAGTAAGTGGCTGAAAGTGACAGTTTGCTGCGTACGGAGTACTCCGTACCACGAACTAGGATAGAAGCTTGTTTCGAGACTATCTGACTTGGTCGAACGCCTTGGGATGTTAATCTTTGTCCTCACTGGACCAATTGCACAACATGAACGGTCGGGTTTATCTCCACATCTTCTTTTTTTCCCCTTCTCGATTGCTAGTCGATGGAGTCGGAGGCGTACGAGACAACTAGGCTGACGCAATCTCCCGGTCGTCTTGAATCCATCCTAATTGCACCGGCTAAACATTGAAAAGTTCTTCATCTCTTCAAACTGTTAGCTTTTGGGTCCGAAAATTTCACCTCTGCGTTTTATGGTATCGTACAATGTATAATGGGCATACCATGGCTCTTGGGCTCACTCTTGGCGACCGTGGCGCTGTTCCTTGGAACTGCACTGTAGCGGAGTTTGATATATCCAATCGCATAACTTCATGGCAACGATCCAAGGGGCAATGTTATCCATGCTTTTCATGTCAACGTTGATTTGCGGAATATCGTTAAGACCCGGGGTTGGCATTGGCTCAACGGCCGAGTATTTTTAGAAGGGCTTTTCGCAGGAAAATGTCATTTGTATGGCTCTTGTATTCAAGTTTGTCGATTGGCTCATGTCAAGTTGGAATATTTCAACGTCGTTTGCGTTTATTATTTACGGTGTGTCGGAGGATTTTTATCTGCTGAGTACCAATCAATCTCTCTCGCTCGGTAGCTCCAGGGATCCCTGTAGGCTCTCTCGAGGGCCCCATCATCAGGTCTCGCCTCCGCCTTGATCGTATTGTTTGAGTCTTTTTCTAGCATCCTCTGGGTGTTTCAGAACGTGTAATGCTAGAAACCTTAAAACCCTCATTATACTACCCAAGTACTCTCCTGGGATCTGTAGGATCATGAGTTCATATTCATATTATGCATGTGTATAATCAATCGCTCAAGACAAAATCAGCCGTCGGGCGGTTGGCTGTCCACAGTATATGCATTATCATTCCCAGCGATGCATCAAGCTGCTAGAATCGCACCGAAAAAAAAGCGGTCATTCGTATCCAGGCACGGCCTGCGAATCCAAAGTCAATCCAACTGTCGCATCATAAGACGGTAAGTGCGACGGATCCTCTCTTGCAAAGATATGTGCCGGGATCCTAAACTCAAACGGGGCACCGTCTTTCACAACCACTTTAATATGGAGATTATATGTTCGCGAGATCAGACAAGAATGGAAGGTAGGAATGAGGTTCTGACGGGGAAGAGTGATAGGAACCAGGAGAGTAGCTGAATTCAGATCTGTTTCAAGATCGCGCTTCCAATCCAGGGTAGAGAAGGAATGGGAGAATGGTGGGAATTGCTCCACGTCGTAATTCAGGGCTCTTCCAAGAGCGTTTTTCTTTTTCTCTGGGAAGTTATCGTGACAGGTAGCTGTGAACACTGTTGTCGAGGTTAAATACCCCCCGACAGATTTGAATTGCGGGAGCTTTGAATCGGCTTTTGCTGTATATGTGACCAATATCCTGATCGAGCTGCTGATCAGACTGATTGGATCGTGTAAAGGGAGACGGAATCTCGTCGGCTCGTCTATTAGCATCGAAAGATATCCCATAACCGGTTTCGACCATCCCTGTAGGATGGGGAGCTTTCCATGGAATGGAGAGTCTTGAATGCAGTGGACTGATTCCTGGCCAGGAAAAGGTTCTGTTGGAGTGGCAGGTTTGATTCGTAACTTCAAATATTCAGTAAACATAGTATGAATTTGCCCGGAGGCTGGACTTTTGCCACGGAGAATGAATTGGATTTTGTACACAATCCTACACGCTCGTGGTGCGAAGTCATTTCGGAGTTTGCCGCCATATCCAGCAATCATTGCATCGCCAAAGCTGGGCGGAGGGCGTAGATGAGCTTGTTTCACGGCATGGCTGGCGGTGTCATGATCACATGAGCTCGCGGGTAAATGATCAGCAATCGTGAATGAGAAGGGTATCTTGTATTTTTGATCTTTTTCAAGTAGTCTGGGGGTCGGAAGCTGATTATCTTGTACGGGATACCGCACGGTCAGAAATCGGCGATGTGCCTTGGCATAGTTGACTGTTGTATACTCATCGCCTGTCGCGTGTATTAGCCACCTGTTACAGATTTAAATTGTTTCAAGCCGCGAGGATTGGCCATGTCAGCCCCAGACTGATCTCAGCCAATACCCTGAGTTTCACATACCCAGAAGAGTGATGTCTATGTCATGGAAACGAGTGTGGCTGGATGAAGATAGTGTCACTGTGCCTTCAATCTTGTCCCCGGTTGAGAATGACCTGATATAAGAGGAAGCAGCGGTGGCTGTAGACCCGTGGAGGTGGAAGTTGGCCGACACCACACCAGCAAGGTCCATGTCTGTTTCGAATGTTCCCTCTTACTCACCATCAAGTCAAGTGGCGGAAAAAAGGGTGATCTCACGTTTGATCTGTTTGCACCAACTCGAGCTAGCGATTCCCGTGATTGGTTCATATCCTGAGGAGATACAAAATACAGAGTACTTTGTATACAATTAGATTCTCAAGTTGAACTCAACCAATTCGAGCCGATCCCCGAGGTGCCAAGCCGTTATTGCAAGCCACTCGGAGGTGCTGAGATAGGAGTTTTCCGTACTAAGTACTTCAATATATCACTTATATTTCACTCCACGCTCTGCTGTACTCATCTGTGTGGCTACAACACTATGATTTTGTACTCAAATGTATTTCTTCAAGTCTGACTCCATGATGGAATATTAAAATATTTCAGAAGAGAGTTATGGACCCTGATCATGCGGCTTTAGAGTAAAGCGGCACAAAGCACGCAATGAAAGTCAGGAATTAGGATAACAACCTGATCAATTGCCATGCCGCTCCAGCACATCTTAATTGCCAGTACTATCGCCATTTGAATCACTTCATGCGGGGAAAAGATCTCTCTAACTGTTTTATAAGTGGCACAGCCCTGGTGCGGACAGGAATAGGACAATTTAATTAATTCTCACTTCAAGTCATGAGTGTATCTGGTGGAAAGATTGCCCCGTTGGCCACAGTGAGCAACACTGTTGAACAGAAGAGATCGTATGGTACCTTGGAGCCATCCGGGGAAACCACCGATCAAAAGAATCCATTTCTGGACCCGGATGTCGCAGAATACTGGCGTACAGTATACGAAAAAGCGCAATATGAATGTCGCCATGTGTTCGACCCTGCACTCACTTGGCCGGAGGAAGAAGAGAGACGCCTGGTGCGAAAACTAGATTGGAGGATTTGTCTGTGGGCTGTATGTGACATGCTCTCTTCCAAGGTTTGCCTTCCAGAGCTTTCGATTAGAATTAACATCTCAACATAGTGTGTGATGTTCTTCGCACTTCAAGTTGATCGAGGAAACCTTGTCCAGGCGGTTTCGGATACATTATTGACAGACTTGAATCTGACTACGAATGGTGAATGCGGTTGGTTGTACCATAAAGTCTGGCTCTAACTCTTTGCAACAGATTACAACTATGGCAATATTATCTTCCGACTATCCTTCCTTGTTGCAGAGCTGCCCTCACAGCTAGTTTCTAAGAAACTAGGGCCGGATCGATGGATTCCTATTCAGATGGTGTTATGGTCCGTGGTTGCTATTTCGCAATGTGCCCTGACCGACCGCAAAACATTCTTCACCACGCGTGTCTTACTGGGTGTTCTTGAGGTGAGTTCTACTTCATGCTTAGTGACATTCTACTAACTTCACAGGGCGGGTTTATCCCGGACATCGTGCTCTGGCTGTCCTACTTTTACACCAGCCGAGAACTTCCAGTGCGCCTGAGGTATGCCTACCACCCTCTCAAGATGTATCCTTTATTAAGCGCAATTTAGTTTCTTCTGGACCTCACTATCCGTGACCACAATCATCACTTCCCTCCTGGCCTTCGCAGTCTTCCATTTAAGCGGAGTACACGGCCTCGCAGGCTGGCGATGGCTCTTCCTAATCGAAGGTCTCATCACCCTCGCAATTGGACTATCTTCCTTCTTCATGATGCCAGCATCAGTAGTGCAAACCAAGACCTGGTTCCGACCAAAAGGATGGTTCACTGACCGCGAGATTGCAATCGTGGCCAACCGAGTCCTTCGCGACGACCCTTCCAAAGGCGACATGCATAATCGACAAGCCATCACTCCCACCCGACTATGGGGCGCTATCAAAGACTATCATATGTGGCCACTGTACTTGATTGGAGTCATTGTATACATTCCTCAGTCGCCCGTGAACTCTTATATCACACTTACCCTTCGCTCGGTTGGATTCAATAAGTTCAACACCAATTTACTCACGATCCCTGCTAGTGTGTTCCACATCTTCAATTTACTTCTGATCACTTGGATCTCGAGTCGACTGAATCAGTGGGCTCTGGTGGCTATGTTCCAGGCTATTTGGACGCTGCCTTGTATAATTGCGTTGCGCTTCTGGCCTGATGTGATCTCAAATGCTTGGGGTACATACGCCGTGGTGACGGTGTTGTTGAGCTACCCATACTGTCACGGTATGTTTGATCTTGATATTGGCGAGATCTAGAAAAAATACTGACCTGGAATATAGCAATTGTCGTTGCCTGGGTTTCGCGAAATGCTAATAATGTGGGCAACCGCTCTGTCTCAGCTGCACTGTACAACGTGAGTCTCTTTCAATCTCATTGCGAAGTATCTATCCTCACGATGAATAGATGTCTGTCCAAGCAGGTGATATTGCTGCTTATTTCGTGTACCGAGATGACGACAAGCCAAAATACCGCAGGGGAAACACCGCTCTCATCGCGATCAACATCCTTGCAATCCTGGTGTTTATTGGAGCGAAAGTGTACTATGTCTTTGAGAATCGGAGACGAGACAAAGTCTGGAACACCAAGTCGGAGCAGGAGAAAGCTGATTATATCAAGGAGACTCGGGAGCAGGGAAGTAAGAGGCTGGATTTCAGATTTGCACATTAGGTGACCTTGCCTAGTTCACTTTCAGGTATACGAGATTACTTAAGTAGCTTGCAAGGTTAAAGTTGTGTATACACATCCAATATTCTAGTTGGAACCATAACTTCCAGACTCTCTCAAATACACGACCTGGAGTACGGTATAGAGTACGTCAAGTCCTTCGCAGTCGACAGTCAATTTGAATTTACTTTTCTTTGCTGTTTACCTACTCGCTACCAAGGAAACAAGCATAAATTATTCAAAATATTCAGAGCATGTAGAATGATGTATGTACAGGAAACATGCAGAGAGCAAGATAGAAGACAGTTTGTACGCAAACAATAACAAAGGCCATGCTCAAGGGCCAAGCCTTTCAGGGCAAAGCAAGCACATGTATGCATGTGACTTTTCACATGTTCGATTTCCGGAGCCATTTGTGCCGAGAATCGTTTTCAGAATGCAGAAGCCAAATGTAACTCGCTAAAAGATTCTCGGGAAATCTCAAGTAAACCGCCTGGTCCACGTCTATACAGTGAGGAAATGAGAGAACGGGATGAATGGAGGTTATGCCACCCGCTTTGGAGCTTTGGGAGTGGAGAAATGGTCCCTTTTCTTGGACCTCGAATGGGCCACGGGGTATCAAAGAGAGTCCTGGGTCGCTTCTTCTGTCTGCAACTTCAGCATACCCTCGTGCTGATAGGTGCTGATCTGCTTCCGCAAATATTCGTATGTGAGCATAGTCGTCATAGCAGCCGGGATAGCCCGGAACAGATTCGTGCCGATCCCGGCATAGAACGCACGCCAGCCCTCCTCTTTGAGGATGGTCTGGAATGTCCGGATCATGCCGTTGTAGCGCGGGCGATTGCGCATCCCATCGGAAGAAGAAATGCCGCCTGATCGGCCACGGTCATGTGGATGGTTCAAGCCACCACGGAAAGCAATCTCCTCGGGAGATGGTGCAGGTACAGTGCGTTGTTGTGTTTGGAGTCGGGTGCGCAGAACCTCGTGTGGGTATGTGACAGTACTTGCGCAAACCTTGCTGAGGAAGGTAGCGACTGAAATCCCAATCCAGTGTGAGCTGCCAGTATCGGGATGTTCACCAATACCGTAGCCTGTGAATCCCATTTTCAAATATTCGTATAGGGGGAATTGAATGGCCACATGTGTCAACCCCAGTAGAGCTGGGGTCAGGCCGGAGTAGAAGGATCGAATGCCTTCGATTTGATACATTTTGCGTGCAGCATCCCATGTGCCGGAGTATTGCCATGGTGCGCGGACTCCTTCGCTGTTCTGTTTCAAACTTTGCGACATGAGTCTCGTCTTGATGACCCAAATGGGGTTTGTAACGATGGTCGAGCATGCGCCTGCACTGATGGATGCGTAGCCGCGGGATAACCACCAGCTTCCTGGAACTGAGTCAGTTAGCAACATGTTCGACCACCGGGATTGGAGAGGGACATACCCGTCTCGTCGTAGAAATATTCACGACTGCGGTCATAGACCGCTAAATAGACAGCCCAGGTTGGAAGATATCCGAGTAACATTGGACCAAGTCCTTGGTAGAGACCGCGGAGACCATCCTCCCGCCAAATCCTCCTACCACTACCTATCATTCCCCGGTAAAGTGCCCCCGAGGCAACCTCTTGAGCTCCTCTGCGAAACCCACCCTGGGCTTGAAGCTTCGTTTTGATGACATCGAGCGGACATGTGACAATACCGGAGGCGACGCCCGCGCTGGCTCCGCAGAAAGGTGCAACATAGACATTAGGGATCTTGGTGGAAAAGATCTCGAGGCGAGTCTTGAAGTCGGAATTCGGTGCGAGCACGGAATCATTGTCGATATGGTATGACCGAGCTTGGTCTGGGGAGCTGCCCGGAGCGCTTCGGCCGTTCGAGGTCATCTTGGTGGCCGGCGCTCACGTAGCTTGTCGGACCGTACTGAATCAACGAGGGCCCCCGGACGCGAGCATATCGGGTGCTCGATCCGGAACCCAAGAGCCGTATTTCAAAATGCGCTGAAGAAAGCGAGGAATTTGATCGAATTCCAGAGGTCGAGTATTGTGCGAAGGGAAGAATATGACGAGGAGTGGTGGAGTGGGAAGTCTCTGGGGCCGATGGTTGCCGAACCCGGTGCTTGATGCAATGTTCTAATTTCTGTGCAGCACGGACGTGAGCGGGGTTTCCGGAACAAACAAGCTTCTTTCGCAAAGCAGGGATCAAGTATCAGCTGTAGAATCAACAAGCCCCAAACCCATCAATCAAACCAAAAGATGTTGAAGGGGGGGTTATGACATAGGAAACCCGGGCTGTGAGGTGGAGAGCGGCCGATTGACATTCCCACTTTGGGGCCTGAGGCATCAAGGCTATAATCACGTGAAATAGACACCTGAGGTATAGACTTACCGCATCGGGACTAGTCACTCTAGCTCCGTTTTGCACAACTTCGCAACATCGGGTCATCTCGTGTTCCAGCCGGCTTGCCCTTACCCCTTCACCACACCGTCAATTGTGATACCCGGGATTCAAAATGTCTGCTCCTTCGCTCGCCAGTTACATCGTCAAGCGCCCATGGCTCAAGAGCTTCTTGACTCCTCTCTCCCACTGGTACACCGATGCCGCCGGCTACAGGAGACTCGGTCTCAAGTAATTCTCACCCCCCCCCACGACCCCGACCACGAGCGATTGGAACAAGGACTGGGAAACGACCGGGCCATATCGGCATTGAAGGGCGTCATGTCGTTTGGATGCGACCGCTGTCATGTCGAATTTGCCCGGGGTCCCGGGCCTTCGGAGATCGCTCGCGACAGGGTTAGATGGAACCATATATTAACCGGCTGAATAGGTTCGATGACCTGATCCCCGAGGAGTCCGAGAACGTCCAGAAGGCCATCAAGCGTCTTCCTGCCAAGGAGGCCTACGACCGTGTCTTCCGTATCCGCCGTGCATTCCAGGTGCGATCAAAGACCCCTTCCCCATTGAGCCCGCAAAAAAGTCTAACAATGTCAATTGCAGTGCTCCATCTCTCACACTCTCCTTCCCGCCAACGAGCAGATCAAGCCCGAGGAGGTGAGTCCCCAATCTCAATATCCAAATTTCGTCCCCGCATTAGTCTTCATATCGGCCAATCCTGATGCCGGGATTTGTCACTTTCGTCCCGACTCACTTTGAGCACATACACCCACCCCAATGGACATATCGCTAATACTCTGTACCAAATAGGACGTTGAGTACCTCAGCCCCATCATCCGCGAGATCGAGAAGGAGGTCCAGGAGCGCGCCGACCTCGACAACCTTGTTGTCCGCAAGTAAGCGGTACCTGCTTGCTCCATAGAATATGAAAATGGATTGGGGGAGCATGTTTCTGGCATGAAATAGACGCCTGGTGTTTCTCGTAATGGATTGGGCGCCGTTGGCGGCCCATGGCTTGGTTACGCAGCCTGAGTGTACTGATATTGTACAAATCGAATTTCTTCGCGCTTTTAACCATGTTCCTGTAGATGGGAAGTGAGCTGTGCTGACAGGAAATTCTATGGACATGTTCCATAGATGCTACACAATTCCGCTTGCTCACCTGGCCATCCAAGGTGCCACCCCAGTCGGCTTGGGCAGCAACCCAGGTGCAGGTGCTTTCGTACATTCACCTGCGTCTTTTCCAATGCCTTCGAATAATTCCCAGAGGCTCATCTAACCCTTGTCTCTTCAATTCCTTCTATCCTTGTATTTGTCGGAACCATAGTTCTCTGCTCGGTGTTTCATTCTATCGACTGCGCAGGACTACCTGACCTGGGCTTTCCTCCAGTCTGGTCATCCAGAAGCTAACAGGTGACGATGGACGATTAGGGTCTCTAATATATCTGAACTCGCTCGTCAAGCAGTTCACACCACCTCAGTTGATGCTGTCTTCCCAAGGGCGGCATTTATCGGGAAACTAAGATACTGTTGGAGCTCAGATATAGAGATTGAGATGAACCTTGAAGTCATCCAACGTGAACAAGATGTTTTGACGTCGTCTCCAATTACCCAACCCCCAATGCCATGGTTTGTTCCGTGGTATTCTCTCTCTACCAACAATACACACCCTAGGGCCCAGTAGTATAACACAAACAACGCTCTCCATTCTCATAATAATACTAATTCATCGACCCACCTCTAGAAGGTCCTTCACTTGATAACGTCGTCGCCGAAACCCTCTTTCAACCTTCTGTCCAATTTTCTCGTACAACTGCTGTAAGGCTGTCCGATCTTGCTCGTCGCAGTTTGGGCGTTGCTCCTCTGGAGGCATCTTCCAGCTGTGTATATCATCCTGGAATGCACCGCCCCCCGAGCCTTGATCGAATACCAAGTATCTATCATGCAACAATGCCGGCTTTATATCCTGCTCTTGTTCAAAGGGCAACCAACCCTCCCAATTGCTACGGCCAATAGCAAAATGGCGCAGATGGGGAAGGCCTGATTCAAGAGAAGCAAAATAGTCAGACCACCGGCGTGGATAAGTGTGGAAAAAGCCATTTCCTTTTTCGGGGTCTTGCTGCATACTCGATCTTGGTATTAATTCAAGATTACGCGGGTCTTCGGCGCATAGAGAGATTTGAAACAATATGGCGCAATCGTCAAGGTAAAGCTCTTGAAGGGATGAGTGCGACAGAATCCAATCCAACTGGGCGTCCTCGAAAAAGCAGTAATTGCCCAGACTGAGAGACTGCAGGTTGGGGAAGTGAATTCCCTTCAGTGGCGGCCTGGGATAGAATCCCCAGTACATGTCGGAGTAAAGTGTGAGATTCTGAAGCGACGACATAGCAGGCTTGAGCCAGACAGTTGATAGTAGACGATTGAAATAATCATGAAACTCCGGCTTCTATTAGATAAATTGATTCAGCGTTGGCTCATGTGAGGATAGAATAGAACATACCTCAACTTCGTCTTCTGGAGCTGCTGCATCGGCTTCGTATACTGTATTAAGTCTCAAAGATATCAGCCCACCCAGAACTTCGTCCCCATATACGCCCAGCTCAGTCGTATTCTGGTTGTTTTGAATAGCTAGTTCCTTCAAGGGCCGTGGTAGAGCTACCACCTCTGAGAGGAGCCATTTCATGACCATTTTTCTATATTCCTCGGTCTGAACAGCATCTCCGAACAAGCTGCTGTCCTCACAACAGTTTTTATCGAAGCGAAGAGCGATAGATTCTAAATTTGGAAGCGTGGGCAACATGGCTAACAGCTTGCGCCATTTTTCAGGCGGATCGGGGATTTCGTCTGGCATTCCCCTGTCGAGGTCCTGTAGAGCATTAAACCAAAAAAACCAATTTTGGGGATCCATGGGCTTCTGCTTTCACAGAATTGTATTTCACTCACATAATCCTTCTCGACGGTTTGAAGATAAATTTTGCGCACTAGTCCTCTCAAAGACGGGTGTCTCATGATTGATTCGACGGCATTGCAGCTGCCATCCCTATCAAACAGGGTAATTGTCCGAAATAGCAATTGAGTTGCGGAAGCACATATAGCGCGACTGGTCAGTCTCAGTGATCTCAGAGTCGCTGTGTCTGCAAGCGATGTAATCATCAAAAGAATTTCTGGAGGCAGCTTCGAGGCCATGTTGGTTTATTGAAGTTCCAGGTTGAGAGAGTAGAAATGGTAATCTCTCGCATAATTCGACCTTTGCGTGAGCCCAAAAGACCTGAAGGGAGTCACGGAGGGAAGAAACACGTTCAATGGCGTACCAGCCTGCCAGGAGGCTCAAAACAAGCTAAGAAAAATTCACCAGGCACCAGCCCACTAGCTCGGAATCTCAACACTGATCTGGACTTTATCGAGTCGCCACTTGAGAAAGGGTTTATGGTCACACGCCATGGCAGCCTGGCAAAAAGGAATGGCAATTAGACTACGACAGGCCTTGACGAGGCTCTAAGTTCGTTTGGAAGTGCTCAAGTGGAACTTTAGAACAAAAGTTATGTACTTACACTGGTATCTTGTTGTAGTTCCTTGCATATCGTTTGCGAGAGGGCAGGGTAAATGATTTCATCTTGTATATACATCAAACCGAGATGCAACTAACTCGCCACCGCCGTGATGCAAAGTAGCACCCATCCGGCCGACCAGCTCATCGTCGGCTTAGGTCCCAGCAAGCCGAGCGAGTAGCTGTCGAGCCATAATGTCAACGGCGATTTCTGGATCGAAGACGCGCGATTCAAAGGCACCATGGCGGCAGTCAATGCAAGCACATCGGCCAATCACGGGGGTGATGTTAGAGTTGAAAACAGATGTACCTCCAACAGATTGAGCCTCGTCTGCTGCCATATCGTAGCATATGCTATATACAACGCAACACCACTTGTGCTCTGTTGATAGCGTGAGAATTCATATCACCATCATGACTTGAGCTCCGACAAAATCGGGTCACTCGCAAATCATCCAAGAACTGCCACATCGACGTTCTCAATTCGCCACATATACCACATGAACAGACTCCTACATCCAGCATGTCAGCGGACAATTTCCATGTCTATCAAATAGGGATCGAAGAACCTGAACATACCTATACGGTGAAAACTTTGCAGCCAGCTCCAGCATATCCTTTTCAGCCATGTATTTGAACTTACCACCTCCTTTGCCCTTGAGTTTGCTCACATCTCGACCCATAAAGGACGCACAACCTCTTCTGTAGCTGAGTTAGTGAGTTATTCGACGCATCGAAGTCCGTAAACACCCAGACATGAAAGCAACATGACAAATAGAACCAATGACAAGAAAAGCGCCCACTTACTGTACACCCAGATCACCAGTGGAAAAGACGTCAATGCGCTTGAGTGCAAACACAGCGAACATCTCAACAGACCACTTCCCCAAGCCCCTCACAGCAATCAACTTTTCAAGAAGCTCTTCATCAGTCGCTCTGGCCAACATCCTCGCCCCAAGTTCTCCATTCTCAAACTTCTCCGCCAGACCTTGTATGTACTCCGCTTTACGCTGCGATAGACCCGCCGAGCGCAGTGTTGGAATGTCACACTTGGCCACTCGGTCTGGGGTCGGGAACTTGTCATGTCGATGTCCGTCCGGGGCAATAGTCTCGGGCAAATCGAACAATGCAAGGAATTTATTTCGAATCGACTTGGCTGCTGCGCCAGAGACTTGTTGTCCGATAATGCTGCTCGTCAGACTGTTGAAGGGATCGATTTCCTCTGCCAATCCCGCGGGCGAAAAGAGTGGACATGGGTGCTGTGATATTACTGTCGCCAAGCGTGGATCTGTTGCGATCAGGTGCGCCGTGGCTTGCTCTAGGAGTGTTCCTGTCGTGGCGAGGGGTCGCGGGAGACCGGTCTTGGTGGGTGAGGCATCTTCTGCGTGGGCTGGGTAGGCGTTCACTGTTGATCCGTGAGGGGTGAGGAGAGTTGCATTTGTCCGGTGTGGATCCACTGGGCGGTCGAGAGGAGGAGGTGTAGATGGTCTGAGCTGAGGGTTAGTGGAGAGCTTTGGCTCTGTTGCCTCTGGCTCCGGTGACCAGTATGATGTCTTTGGTTTAGCTGTTTTCTTGGGCTTTATCGCTCTGCGTGGTTTGGTCACTGCGCTGTGGTGCACCCTGGCGTTACTCGAGGTCTGTGGTATCTGTGATGGGATAGACCCTATTCGGACTGATCTTCTGAGTGACATTGTGATAGTAACGAACTGGACTCTGTTTCGAGTAGTTCAATAGGGAGATGCGGAGGTGGAAAGTCACCCCAAAGTCACCCCACACGCCAAGACTATGTCAGCTTCAATTCTTTCCAATGTTCTACATGAGAATTAGAGCGAATTCTCGTGAACAGCACTTTGAATATGGTCAATTCCAACATTCTGAATTAGTAACTACTTTACTGTTCGTCAGCTAGTCCGTACTTTAAGTATCCATTCGCAACACTCGTTTGGCGCATTGGAACTTCCCTACTGCGCTGTCAAATCCATTGCATGAAAACCCCTTGATTTGAAAGTAATCAAATGTACTTACTACTGGCAGATATGGGTAGAAGACTGAGGTTGTATTTATATGTAGCTGCTTTGATGTGGACTACAGTGTTTCACTCACGTGACACACTATTTAAAAACCGTTCCCGCAAAATTTTCCTACAACTTCTCCCACCATTCTCGCAGTCTGATTCATGGTCTTCGAGTGCTTTAATGCTGGCACTACGAGGATCAGAAATCATTACTCCGAATCTATCATCTGATAGATCAGACCAAGCAGAACAATTGTTCGCAGTTGCTGGTTGCTCAACATTGGTCCAAGGTTGCAGAAGAAGCCTTGTATCTTGGGTTATCATCCGATGCTTTTGTTTTTCTGCGATTCCTCAATGGAAGTGACTCGCTCTTCGCTATTCACATGATGAACATTTCAAGATTGAACTAGGTTGTCAACACACTTTAGACTCCTGGTGCATGATCATTCATACACTGAAAATTCTGATTGAATATGAAGATGCGAACATTGTCATTTTTACCTTGCAATATTTACTATATTTGAAATCTGAAACATCAAAAACTGGTCGCTTGCAAACAAACATGCATTGGTAGTACAAATGTAGATATTCCCTTTGCCCAGAGTCAATTCGGTAGATCTTTATCGTCCCTTGCTGCTATTCTGCGCTCGACTTTCTTCGAGAGCCTGTTGGACCCATGACTCGTCTTTTCTCTCTGGCGTGTTTCGCTGTGCAGACTTGGGCCCATTGGGGGCTTGCAGTTGAGCATCTCGCCGGGCAGTTCGAATTGAGCTGAAGCAGTAGGAGCAAAGAAGAACTGCCATTGTGAAAGCTGCAATGGGGGCATTCAACGACTTGATGCGGGTCAGTCTCACTAGAAAATGAGGAACTGGGAAATCACATACACCAGATGGTTTGCCCAGAGCCTTTGGATTTGGCTTTGGTGCCATAGCGAAGAGTGCAAGTCGTTGGATTTGACAGGTGAGGAGAGGCTTGAGGCTTTGCCTAGCGGCCCAAATAACGTATAAGCCCACCAGTCACAAAGCGTGAGATTGCTTCCGGGACAAAGGACTCGTTCTCAAACTGATATTCACTGTAAACGAAAGAATATCAAAGAATGACTACTATAATTAATATGTTTCCTCAAAAGATCAAAAGTAGTATGCGGAGAGATAGAGGTGCAAACCAACCAAACACCCTTATCGCGTCGCGACGACGTCGTCCGCGGGCGACATCATTCACTCACCACAACCATGACTTCCGACTCGGCCAAAGGGCCACCCAAAGGTGGTATGTCGCTTTATGCGAACCTACTGGGGGACTCCACAGATGCGCCAGGAACCATCTCTCGCGCACCAGTAGTCTTCAAACAGACCTCCGAGCCCGAGCCGCAAGAGGACTCGGCGGCTAAAAAGCAACATGTCAACCCTGGTAACTATTTTGAGACAACTTGATCATTCAAAAACATTCCGTCTCACTTTATGCTTCCTCGACAGCTTCTCTCCGATTCCAGCCCACCAAAAGACCCCAACAGTCTACGCAAAGGTCAAAGCCAAAGCCAAAGGTAGCGCCCCAGCCAACACCCAACCAGCCATCGGTGCCAGTGAAGACAACCATGGCAGACTGGACTTCGAGGGAGGAGGATGACCAGGAGTACTACGGCGGCAATAACGGCAATAAACGACAACGCGGCGGGCGAAAGAAGCGCAAGAAGAACCCCCACGAGCAAGTACATGTTGCCGAGGACTGGGACGCCCCTTATGACCCCACCTGGCCAACCAACTATCAAGAATATCGCAATAGCGATGAGAAAATCCGCGAAGTCCAAGAATGGAAAGACCTCCTGTACAGACATCGCATGCGGCGTTCTCCAACCATGGACTCGGACAGTGATGATGACCGACCAACTAATCGTATGCGCCGATCTACCACAGGCGATAATTGCAGAAATGGACTGACTGTTTCTCAAGGACAATTTGCACCGCCGAGCTTCGCGCCCCCACCTAACATCAACGATGTACCTCCACCTCCTCCAGCTTCTACCCAGGTCCTGAATGAGGCCTCTGGTGAGGACGCATTCGCCCGACGCGCAGCTCTGGCTCAAAGCCAGCACACACAACCCCCACCCCCTCCGCCCGAGGAGCCAAGTCAAATGCCACGCCCAAACATCCCACCCGCTCAACCCAAACCTCTCGACACATTCCAACCTAGCTCCGCCACAATCTCTCGGGCCCCGGTACGCTACAACCTCCCACCCGCTCCTGAAGATATCCCTGCAACCGAAGCCGAACTGGAAGCCGCATTCGCACAAGAAGAACAAGACCAAGAACCAAGTGAAGATGCGCCTCGCTCAAATCGACCGGGCCAGAAAGGATTCGCGGAAAGATTACTTTCCAAGTATGGATGGTCCAAGGGAACTGGACTTGGCGCCACTGGCTCTGGCATGGTGAAGCCTCTTCAAGTTCAGGTTGAGAAACGCAAGAAGCGACCTGATGCCGAAGGTGGTGGCTTTGTGACACCCGCTGGACGGGGTAAGATCATTGGAAGCAAGCAGAACGATCAGTACGCCAGCAAGTTTGGGCCTATGTGTGAAGTTATCATTCTTCGGGGCATGCTGGATGGTATTGATATCGACTCGGAAATGGCGAGTAGTCATGATGGTGGAGTGATGCAGGAGATTGGCGAGGAGTGCAATGAAAAGGTAAAGTTTCTTGCGATTTCATTTGGAGCTCTTGGAACTAATAATTTGGCAGTATGGAACTGTTGAGCGGGTCTTCATTGCTCGTGATGCCGGTATCCCTGTTCCTGTCTTTGTTAAATTCGTCAGTCCGCTGTCTGCTCTTCGTGTAAGTGCTAAGATCTACGCTTGGTCTGTTGTCTGATGTCTCTAACTTTGATCTACTTAGGCTGTCAATGCCCTTGAAGGTCGCGTTTTCAATGGAAATACTATTGTGGCACGTTTCTTTGATCGGGAGAAATTCGACCAGGGCATTTATGAGGATTGATTTCTTACGATCATGAACATTCGAGCGTGTTACATAGGTATTGACAATGAAAATATCTCATTGCCTGCTAATTTGAGGATTCCAATGTGCCAAAATTTCATGCCACTCAAAACAAAGCGGAAAACCCCCAAAAATATGCTACTTTATTCTATTCATGGCTTTCTCAGAACAGGCACCAGAGACTACCAAATCCAGCCCTTCCTAGAAGCTCCCCAGGCTGCAGATTTCCAAGTCTCAGACTTCTTCTCAACAGGCTCTTCCTTACTCACAAGTAATCTAGTCGGCAGAGGAAGCCACGAGCGCCACCAAATCCCACGCTGAGCCACCGGCTCTTCAATCTCATCATCTTCCTCGCCAGTCTCCACCGCCGCACTATACGAAACAATAGGTGTAGTAGGAATGACCAACCTGGCTTTCCTAGCCGGTCCAACACGATGCACAATCCGACTTTTCGTCTTGTCAGCAGCACAAGACCCATCAGTACCAGCAGGCATATTCAAATCAATCTCACTCTCAGTCAACCCCTCACTATCAGAGTACCATTCCTCATCCTCCAGTTCAAACGCGGCATCCAGGGCTGTGCGGTCCCGTCGCTGGCCTTGATCCCGGGTTCTCAGTGTCTGTAAGAGAATCAATCGGTCCTCTTGAAGCTTATACTTGCATTCCTGGCACCTCCCTGGAATCGGGAAGTTGAACTCAGTCTGCCGGCTGCGGATGCACTCGTAGCCTTCTTGGAGTGCCTTTTGGCAGTGGATCGTTGTGCTGGCGTCTGGGTCTGCGTGGGGACATAGGCTATAGGTCCAGATGATTACGTGGCACATCTTGTTGATTAGTTTGAGTATCTAGGTCAAGACTACATTGGAGATGAGTGGTGCGGATGGAGGTTGTTTTATACTTGTGTCTCAGGGTCTTCCATTACAATGGCGTCGGTTTTTGCCGTCGTACTTTGCTTAGAGATTTTTGTTTGGCAAAGAAATGTTCAAGGCTATTGTGGGGGTGAAGGGTAGTTATGTCGAATTTTCATTGTTTCTCATTGAACCTGGCAGGTGAAAGAATGGCATTGTTCAATGAAATAGATGAATGTCATTGTTTGTTCAAGGCAAGTCTGCATAGCCACTCAGGCAGCAGAAGGCTCGTTCTCGTTTTCTTTTGTTTGTACTATGATCGACCTAATCTGCAAGTTGAGCCTCATCAACTTGATGTTCAGAATTAGTGTCCCAACCAAATATAAAAGGAATTTAATTGTAAACCTACTAAATTGCGATAAAATCCCAATTCAAATCCATCGCACAAGGTCAAATTCCATAAAATCAGCACAAAGCGGGGAGCACTGCCCCAGAGGCTGTGCGGCTCTACTACCCATCTTATACAAAGCTGCCTGATTCCAAAATCCAATCTCAAACATCTCCTCCAAAATGACGTCCAACATCCCCGAAATCCTCCTCCTCTGCATGGACGAATCCTTCATCACAGCCTTCAATAAAGCCCTAAAAACAACCTGGCCATCCCCCACAATCAAAATAACCCCCATAAACGAACGCCTCAACTCTCTACCCACAGGAACAACCTTCGACCTAATCGTCTCCCCAGCAAATTCCTACGCCCGTCTAGACGGTGCCTTCGACCACGCAATCTCAGCAACCTTCAGCCCCCGCACCGACTACCACGCTCTGACCCGCGCCGCCCAGGCCGTCCTCTACGAGAAATGGCGCGGTTTCGCTCCCCCAGGCTCATGTACACTGGTCCCATTCCCGAAACCCCTGAAGGTGAACCCGTACGGGTGCTCGTGGGTCGCTATTTGTCCTACGATGCGGGAACCGGGGAATGTAAATTGGGATCGGGAGGTGGTTTATGAATGTATTTGGAGTTTGCTGTGTCAGGTTGAAGGGTTTAATCGGACTTGTAAGGGGATGGGGATTGAGAGGATTCTTATGACGCCGCTGGCGGTGGGGGTGGGGAAGGTTAGTATGGATCGGTGGGCGGCGCAGACGGTGCTTGCTTTGAAGCATTTTGTTGATGCTGTGGAGAAGCCGGAGAGGTGGGGGGCTTTGCAGTGGGATGCTATTGAGAAGGATTGTGGGGAGGTTGAGAAGACGTGGGGGCTTTGATATCAAGTCTGTCTGGGGTATGACTTATCGACATGTCTGGGATTGAGGAAATTCAGACCACAGATGTTTCTGGAATGCAGGTGGATTGACATGGAGAGAATAATGCTTCGCTTTGATTCCAAATTTGGAACTCTGTACTCTGTACATCGAGACAGGGTATGTTACCTCGGACCTTGACCGAGATTTAGCTCTGATGCATTCCAATGTCTCAGTATCCCATGTTGGTGGACATTCAAACTTGAGAATACTTATGGAAAAAAAAACCTGGTCAATAGAGAAAGACATCTACTTCCACGAAGTACCTCCACTTAGTACACTGTCGAATGGCACCTCTGACATCCAAACCTTCACACCCTCACATGAAGCAACCAGGATCCCCAAAGACCATAGACTTTCATCCATGATCGACATCAAGCTAGCCACTCAACGGAGCGGACCGGGCACTGGAATGTGGCAACCAGAGTCATCCATCTAGACCCTCGTTTAGCCTTTTATCAGATCACTGTGACCATTCCAGTGCTCAAAAGGATCTGATACATATCAAAGTGCACCTGGGGCGGCATTTCCGAATCCTTTCCGCTGATGTACGATTGCCTCGTCTCGAGCGAATCACGTTGGAGAAAAAGTCAGCATCCCTTCAGTAGACTGTGACTTGATCAGCGCAAGAAATGGTAGCTGCATGCCTGGGGAATAAACTTAAGCGCCTGAAACGCTGTTTGCCCTGGGGGCATTCTCTTCATCTCCATATGAGGGCTTGAAGTCCCGGGAAACATTCTCCAGTTTGTATATACATCTGTTCATTTTGTGTTCCCAAGTTGTATATACCTAAGTATTATCATATACGGAGTATCGTGAACTGCCAAGACGTGGACCATGACGATCCAATTCCCAATTCTGTCCTTGGACTATTTCCAACCGACCCCAGCCAAGCAATTTCTCAGTCTCACCAAGAATCCCCGCACCAGCAAAGAAACCCACCGTATCTTCCACGAGCTCCAGCCCCTCCAGCCAGACGACCTCATTGGCGAATGGGACGGCCATATCCTGGTCACCGGCCACCCCTTTGAACCAGAGCTGGAGGCGTTGAACTGGGTTGGGAATACATTCGACAGCACCACCGATGTGGCACCGCTGATGGTCGGCCGGAACGGCGAGCGGACATGTTATGAAGACTGGGGACGTGCATCGGTAGGTTGACCGCCCCCTGCAAGGGAGTACTTCAGTACATAATAAGTAATATTGTATCTGACCTGGACAGTTACGTGAGATCAGATACCAGGGTGTGGTCTCTGCGGCTTTAGTGTATGATAGACAGCCGATGATCGTCCATTACCGGGCTGTGAAACATAACATGGTGGCTGCTTGTATGGAGAGCAAGGAGTGGCCTGGGAAGGTGTATTGTTACTTGACGCGGTGAGGCTATTTATAATCTTCTCAAGTTCTAACCTTGGACGTTTCACCAACTTATTCTAAAGTTGGACTTGTTGCACGAACACGTTTTCCATGGGAATATAGTACGGAGATTTAAGTACTGAATAGCGGATAGGGTTCTGAGCCCTGGAGGCCTTGTATCCAGCTCTAGAGGGGATATCTATAGATCAAGTACATTTCTAGATAATAGTACTTCAGTAATTACATATCTTATTTTACTCTATAAGTAACTACGGAGTAAGAGAAAGAATAGCCTAATTCAGCCCTATCCGCGATATTTCCCCACTATTGCGTGATTACAGGCAGCAGGGTCGAATGAACGAATGAAATAGCTGGACAGTCGGCAAAAGAGGATATTTCCACAATAACTATGTAAGTACTAACATAATAAAGGACGCAAATGATAGGATATAAGATCTTAGTCACGTAGGGCTGGAAATACCCTGCCGAAACTAACTTTTCCCTCGGAAGTCGCCTCGTGCCGCCAGGAACGCGAAAATTCTCTTCTTCATATAAACTCCTATAAATATCTTTGGACTCGAACTGCAAAGCAGAACTGCAGCGCAGACTTCCTGACTGTCCATAATGGAGAAGTCAACACCTGCTCCCGCCCCTCAAGACCTGGAGGCTCCCGACGCCCCCGTCAAGCAATCCAGCATCCTCCAGAAATGGCAGCAGAACCTCTCCACCACCCACGCAGACCTCGTCTGTCTCCTCCTCTGCTTCCTAACAGGACTATGCGATAGCAGCGCCTACAACGCCTGGTCCTGTTTCCTGGGCATGCAAACTGGTATGAACCGATCGCAAGGGGGGGGGGGGGGGGGGCAAGTCCCAACCCCAACCCCCCCAGGAAACCCCCTCTTCCTCGGTCTCGGTGCCTCCAACCACCCCCCCCGCAACCCAGGGGGGTGGCGGAAACCCCTAGTCCCCCCCCCCCACACCCAAGGGTATGGAGGAGGCGCGCGCCGTGCGCGCTTGTGGTTTTTGTCGGGGGCCACAGAACGCGGGAAAACGGCCGGGGGGGGGGGGGGGGGGGGGGGCAAGTCGCAACGCTAACACGCACAGGAAACACCATCTTCCTCGGTCTCGGTGCCTCCAACCAACCATCCAGCAAGCCATGGGGCTGGCTGAAATCCCTAGTCTCCATCCTCTCCTTCTTCTTCGGCGCCATGATCTTCTCCATCGCCATGCGCAGTGTCGGCGCCCTCCGCCGCGGAACCCTCTTCGTCTCCTTCCTCGTTCAAATGCTGTTCATCATCATCGCGGTCGCCCTCATCGAAGCGGATCTCATCCCCCACACTTCCGACGACGCCGCTCTGGACGGTGGCCCCCTCTTCCTGGAGTTGATCCCCATCGCCCTCCTGGCTTTCCAGTCGGCTGGTGGTATGACTTGTAGTCGTTCCTTGGGTTACAATGAGATCCCTACGGTCGTGTTGACGAGTGTGTACTTTGATATCGCGTCGGATCCAAAGATCACCGATAAGCCGACTGCCAATGTGAAGCGCAACCGTCGCGTGGGCGGGGTCGTGGCTTTGCTGATTGGTGCGATTGTGGGCGGCTGGTTGAGTCGGAGCAGTGGTGGTATGGAGTCGGCGCTTTGGATGGCGGCTGGCTTGAAGTTCGTCGCTGCCTTTGGTTGGCTGTTTTGGAAGGCTGCTCCGGCTAAATAGACTAGAAGGGATACATCTAGATATCGTAGATTTGCACATTATATATACATATGTCAATGTTAATAGATTCGGTTGTATCAACCGTGGATTTGAATTAGAAGATGATTTCCAATGGCCAGACTAAAACTTTAGAATGAAGGTAGCAATGCCTGGCCTATAAGTACATGAAATGCTCCTGGAACCAGCCCGAAGCTACTTAGTATAAACATAAGAAATGCAGACGTCGAGTCTAAAGAATGTAAACATGCAAAATCGCACATATTGATCAAAGCTTAGCTTGGATTTTCCTGGACCAGGTTAGCTTCCTTCCCAAACATTGAGAATACCAGACTTACAAAGGCTCCGCACTATACTCATCAAGCGAAGTAGCTGTCTTAGCAGCCCGCTGGTGGTGAGGATACTTCCCAAACCCAGTAGGAAGCCTCCACTCAGCATCAGTAGCCATCCCCATAACCCAAGTCCCACCACCGAAATCACCCACACAAGCCCACCGATCCCGCTGACTCCCAGCCATAGCCATAGTAATATGCAGACAACACACAGAGACAGGACCACTACCCGACAATCGGGCAGCCGCAAAATCAACCTGGTGGAAGCCGGCGGCTCGCCAATCCGTCAACCCAGACCAGCAGTGGTTAGGGGGACTCCAGAAGGCAAGCTTGCCTGTGGGATTCTTCCAGGAACCATTATGCAATCCGAAGGAGAGCATACGTCTGGCACTTTCGGGCGTGGACCCGATGTCTGTGCCTTCCCGTACATGCAGTGCCAGTTCGCCCAGTGACATCTTGCGCAGATCGCGCACTTTCAAACTTGGCAGAGAGGCAAGGTAAGATCCATTCCACCAGTTGTGTGGTGGGGTGTCGGTTTTGAGGTTGAAGCCTGTGGGTGGTCGACCACGCGCATTGGCTACTGTCACGGGTGTGCTGATTTGTTCGGGGTCCAGGTGTTCGTGGTTATGTTTGAGAATCCAGGCGTAGATCACGTTGGAGCGGGTTACCTTTAGTGGGGATGGTGGTGGTGTGCCTTGTTTCTTGCGCTGTTCTTCAACGACCAGGAGATCGCGCTTCGCTTCTTCCACTAGTCGGTGCACCTCTGCATCGGGGATGAAGACGTATTTCTGGGAAAAGTTCTTCTCGGGCCGAGTGTGCTTGATGTCCCACAGCATGCGGCTGAGGAAGCGGACTTTGTCGACGAGCCCGAAAATCCTCCAGCCTGGTGGTAATGGGGGTGATGGGGCATTGGCGTGCTCGCCTGTATGCTTGCCTCCAGGTCCATACTCGGTGAAGGGGTCTTGATCTAGTCGCTCCCATGGTGTGATGGGTTTCCCATTCAATGCATCTTGCCAGGCTGTGCAGATATCCTTGATAGCGAAGATATCGCCCATCAGATGGTTGAACGAGTATGTGATGAGAGTGGCGTCACTGAACCGGGTCACTTGCATTGTCAAGACTGGACGATCTGAATCCAGGAGCACCTTCACATCTGTCACGGCGTTGTATGCTGTGCATCGTTTGTAATCTTCTGGTTCTGCTGCGTCCGCGATAAATATCCCCTGCGAGCCGCTCGAGGAGCGATTCAGCGCCGGGGAGTATTCGCTGAATGATCGCTTGGACTGGTCCAAGCAGAAGAAGTCCTTCAGGTGATCTGGCGCTGTGGATTGGCGCTGTAGATACCGCTCCAGGCCCTCGGGGGTATAGACATGATAATCGAGGCCGGAGGGTGCGGTCTTCGAACGGCGCAAACGCGCTTGGATAATGGGACGAGCTCTCAGGACATCATTCCATGCTGCATGTAGCTTCTCGAATGATAGTGCCGCGTCGAAGACAAAATTGCCGCGGGCCTGACTCTTATTAGTATTGCGATGCTATTAGATGGTCTCCAGACATACGAAGATATCAGTACTATCAGACAATTGAACACGATCAGCACAGTATTATTTTGGACATTACAAGCACCTACTTGGCGACAGTGGCATCCCACAGTGAGACTGGGACAGCAGTATAATCGACATTCATAGTGGGGCAAGTTCGGCGCGAGTCCGGCGATAATTTAAAGAGAGACAAAAAAAAAAGAAAAAAAAGATATCAGTTGAAATTTCTCTGCTTGCGCGAGTCAAATACCCAAGTGACGTGCGGGAGATGCAGGATCGGGCTAGTTAAGCAAGCCGATCTCAGGGGAGAATTGTAAATTGTCAATTCTAAGACCTGAATTGTAAGACCCATAATCCACACGTCACGCCTGCCATCTTTTTTTACTCAGGCCTTCGACAGTTCGACCCGCCTCGGCTGAGTCTCCCACATCCGACATGCCATTGCCCAATCAGAGACTGATTTTTGCGAGATCAGTGGATCCAGTTCTCCGGATTGAGTGAGGCTTCAAAAGACGGTTATTGCGATCGGCAGTGCAACACACGATCGGCGATGGTATTATTCGGGATCTGTCCACAGGAACAACAACGAAATCTCAGTGGCGTCTGCAAGATGAAGTGACCCACGGGTTGGGTGCAGATCGCTTAACTTTAACCGTAATACGCCCCACTATTACAGTTCCTTACAGTCCATTACAGTACCATCCTCGTATAGTTCCACCACTAGTAACCTTGGCGGGGATGTGGTCTATCAATTGTCTGCCGGTGGATGTTCAGAGCTGATCTTTTCCCCTGAACATGGAAAAGACAAGCGAAATAAAAAATAGAAAAACTAGAAAAAACTAGAAAGAAAAAAAAAGATTGTATTGAAAATGTGTAATCGAATTAGATATTCCTTGAAAAAAAAGAAGAAGAAAAGAAGAAAAGAAAAAGGATGGAAAAAAGAATGGGGAAAAAAACTCTCTCTCGTGTTGTGACCCCAGAGTGACAGTGAATATCATCTCTTTCTTTTTGTGTCTGCTCCTGGTGTGAGATTACTATCCCTAAAGTCCCCTCATTATGAAGTCTTCATTGAGTGCCCAGGGAGGCACCTCGGCTTCCAATTCAGAATGGAAGCTGGTCAACTCGGGGACGCGCATGGCACGACCACTGCGCGGTGTGGAATTGGTAGCCCAGCACTCCAAGCACCACTTCAACGGAAACGTGAGTACTGAATTACTGTGATGTAGAATTGTATTAGGTTGTTCTTGTAAACTGACAATGAGACAGTTCGAATTGATCGCGTTCGCCAGCTTGGACACACCATTGTCATGCGAACAGCTGAAAAAGCGCTGCCATGCAGCCTGGTGGCGCACACGACGCGCCTACCCAGTCATTGGCACTGAAACAGACATGGAACAAGCTTATTTCGAGCCTCACAACACGGCCGAAGCTGCCAAACGCTGGGCAACCGAAAGATGCTTGATCGCCACCAACACTTCCCTGGAGGAAGTCCGACAATCCTTAATCCGCCGTCCATTGGACAAGACCACCATGACTCTGGTCGTCGACCCTATCCGTGGCCCTCGAGGCTGCGTCTACAACGTATCCCACACACTCACTGATCTACCCATTTATGATCCCCTGCAAGAGTTCACGAAGCAACTATCACGCCCCGACGCCGAGCGCGGCATCGACGCCATCTTTTCCCCAGATTTCCTACTTGATATCACTCCTCGCCTTCCCCAATCGCTGTGCCATGCATACTCACGTCTGTTCCAACCAACACCCGAGGACCTCGCAGGCGCAACTCAGATCCTCGAACGCGCTAATGCCCGCTACGCTCGCTCAACTATCGGTATCCCCCTCCACCCAGACTGGAAGACCCGTCCTTCCCATATGCACAACAAAACCATCAAATTCGAGCCTGCCGAATCCCGCTCTGCATTCAGGTGCTTCAAACAGCTCGGCATCTCCCTCACAACCGCCTTCTTCGCCTGCATGACTTCAGCCATCGCACAGAAGTACAGCCAAGGCAACGAAGAAGGCGCCCACCTCCTCTTCAGCAGCAATGGTCGCCGCTGGATCGATCTGGCAGGTGATGGCCACGGCCCCATCAACATGAGCATCGTCCCAGCCGGTCTGTGGATCAATGCCGATGAGGCCGACCTCCGCGCCAAAGACAAACACAGCCTCGCAAAACTAGCAAAGGCCATCGGACATGCCCAAGAACAGGATCTCGTCTCCCCGCATCTCATCTCCCTCTACGATCAGATGGCCCCAGAACTAGTCAAGGGCATGGCCAACCCAAACCAACCCGACCCACCAGCCCTGGGACGCCCAACCTTAACTTCCCAAGGCGCCTTTGGGAAAAATGTAGCTGATCCTGCAGGCGGGGATCCCATGCGCATAACGTATTTCAATACCGGTGGCCGAAATACCGATCCGGCTGTTTGCTTTGCTTTGAATACTTATCGTGATGAGCTGAAGTTCAATCTTCTCTTTGATGAGCGCTTCTTTGCGCTGCATGAGGTTGCGCAGCTTGCGCAGGCTGTTGCGGGTCTTTTCCGGGAGTTTGTTGCGGATGAGGAGCCTGTTCGGGCTAAGCTTTGATTTTATGCTTTTACATTCCTTGCACATATTTTTCTTTTGTGATTTTCGGACTCATGTTTATATCGACTATATACCTAGGCGCAATCTCTTTGAAGTATGATTTGTTGAACTTTAGAAATTCACAAGGCAGAGCTTTGCAAGATGAGTACTTAGGTAGTGTTTGCGCCTTATCAATAGATACGGTGCCAAACATAGCAAACAGCACCTGTTTGTACGCGTTACCGAGAGTGACATTATTCTAAAGTTGCAATCAGGCCCAATGCCCCTGCCCGGCTTAATGGGAATAAACCACTTGAGCATGCAGGATTCCTTCATTTTGACCGACTCTTGGAGAAGGTCCATTGCTCTCCGGAGCAGAAGTCCTCCATGGGCAACGCGCAAATACTTAGTAGAACGGACACCGAATACAGTTGTTTCTCATCGACCTTATTTTCATATCTTCCAAGGTTCAAAGTAATTACTAAAGTACATGCGAAACTCGACATTGTCAACATAAATTTGTACCGAAGAAAAAAAATAATATACAATAAAGTCCCGTCCTAAACGCTAACTGTGTACCAAAATTAAAATGCAACTCTGAACGCCCAAGAAAAGCAATGGATGCGAATTGGGTATCTTGATCCATTAAGAGCAAATTGCAATATCCTGAAGAGATTCGGCATCCTTCTCCAAAACCGGTGACTCGACAGGGGTGAAAGGCGGAGTCAAGATTCCATCTTGAATCAATCGCGAGCTCTCAGCATGCGAAACGATAATTTTGGCTGCAGATGCCGTCCCACCACTGATCTGGCTTCGGATAGCCCAGGACCGACAATTAGCCTTGTACTCTGGCCAAGAGGGGCCCAGCATCTTGAGCAGTTTGACTTCGATATCGCGCGCCTCGACATGAGGTGGTCTCTCGCTGCGTAGTCCCAGTTTGAATTTCTCAGCGTAGGTGGCGTATTCGTGGGTATCCAGCCATTGACTGAGAATTAATTGGGGGACGCCGAAGTAGACGGCTTCGTTGAATGAATTGCCTCCTCCGTGGTGGATGAAGACTTTCAGAGCTGGGTGCGAGTAAATTGCGTGTTGGTTGTCGATCCAATTAGTGAGCCGGATATATGATGGGAGTTCCTCAGTGGAGAAGTTGTGCTCGGGGGAATCGATGGGGAAATTGATTTTGAAAAGGAAGCGCACGCGGCCTCCGCGCTGCTTGTAGGCTGCTTCGAAGCCGGCGATGCAGTTCCAGAATTCATGCCGCTTCCAGATGAACATGCTGCCCATGTTCATGTAGATCACGTCGTCACCGTGAAGCATTGCCTCGTCCATCCAAGCCAGCTCGGGACAAAAGGTTGAGGATGTTTCGACGGACACGCCTGCGCCGACGAATACTATCTTGGAGGATTGTCTGGGACAGTCGAGAAGGCCGAGTGTATTAAAGTGGATGCCAGCAACGCAGTTATCGTCTTCCCAATGTGGTGGCAGTAGTGCGGTGTCCTGTGCGACTCCGTATGATTGGAGTTTGAAGCGCTTAATGAGAATATCGCGCTTGGCGACGCAGTCCGGTTGTGTGACGCTGTAATAGTATTCGCGGAAATTCAAGTATACATCTGATAGTTTAGTATTGGAGCCTCGGTATGCGTGCAATGAATAAACATACTTTCAATGAAGGTCGACAGGGAACCATCCCGGTTCGAGGCCATCATATGTGGCTCAAATGGACCAGGCAGGGCACTTGTCCCTGGTGAACAGGGAATAGTAAGAATATATTTGCGCTTGGTGAGACGAACTCCCGTAATAAGGGAAGGTGTCAGCGCGTCAACACAAACTAGTCAAGAAGTTAGCATCGTATGGTAAGCGTTGGCTGACACGAAAGCCTTACTGATATTAGGATCCAGCGCGTTAAGTTTATCGGCCACCATTATGGCGGTGTCAGCAAAGTCCTCCACAGGGCCCAGAGCTGCATCAATACAGAGTTCCAGGCTCGAGGGATCGCCGGGTGGGCTTCGCATCAAATGCATGCGGTCCTTGAAGAAGTTGGTGCTACAATGCAAGGTTAGTACCAGTGCCAGTCCCTTTAGTGTGTCACATACTAGTCGCTCACGTTGTGACTTGTCCCCAGACCAATAAAGCTGATCAGGTCCTGCTGAAACGGTGGCAGCGCATCCCTCAGTTGGCCGATCTTTTTGGCACACGAGTCAGCGGACAAGAAAGTCACAGAGTGACCTTCCGATACCAACTGCGTGGCCGTCGCCATCTGCACATTGACCTGACCCGAGGCCGGGTTGGACAAAAAGGCAATATGCATATTGGATGGTTGTAAGCGCAACAATCCCCTGGGCTTCAAGCTCCTTAATGATAGACAGGGTGTTTACAAACTGGGAAACACGCGAAAATAAAACCTCGGGAACTGAGTGGACAATATTGTGGTCCCCTGTAAGATATCTACAAAATACTTACAAAATACTTCCGTGTGTGGTATGTTGCGCCACATGGATGTATCCACTTAGTCCATTGAATTTCAGAACTATCAGAATTTAGATCGTTACGAGGTTGGCTTAAGCTTAGACAGGGGTTGTAGTGCTTATCGCGTCCCTCGGTAACTCAATAGTTGGGGAATTGCCGGTCTTTCAGGGCACTGTGGTCAGAACCTTGGGAAAGAGATCTAAAGATTGAAGGTTGAAGAACCCTGGACGAACAGTTCCCAAAAAACCGACCCTGATACCATAATACACACAATACCCGAGAATACCCCAAATACCCTATCGCGTGTATTGAGTAAGGGTGAAAAACTCAATCTCATGTGTCGACCGGCTAAGAAGACTAGTCGATCGACAGGGGAATCCACCCGAGATCCACTCCCAGCCCAGACATGCGGTGTATGAGTGTTACTAGCGTCATTACCTTGGTGGAGTCCAATGGGGACTATACAAACACAACAAGGCAGCTCAAACTCGACTTGGGCCCTTCAGATGTGTAAACATGCATTTCCCCTTTTTTGAGGTTCCACTATGGTATCAGCCGGTTCCAAGGTGTACCTAGGTACAGTATTTGACCTCGCCTAATCCGCTTTGTCGGTTGCAGATTCAGCATCTCGACTCTTCAACTACACGACCATCGCTCATTATTGTGGTCATTCTCTATCTCTCGTCGCCATCGCTCCTTATTGTGGTCGACTATCTTTCTTATCACCGCCATCACTCATTATTGTGGCCTGTGTTTCCGTGAAACCATTATAACCATTATCAAAATCATTACCTCGATCTTTTAGCTGTTCTTTCCAACACATTCCTTAATCATGGCTCCTACAGTGCAGCAGCCGACAACTTACATCCCGGATGCCGAGATTCCCCGTATCGACGGTGGTACCTGGAAGCGAACCCAGCAGGGAACCTGGACCCGACCATGCTCGGGAGGCGAGACTGGAGTCTCATACAACCAAAATGTCCGTGATGGACACACAGAGCTGACCATTCAAGTCCCCTTCAACATCAACCTGTCGACTCGGGAATTGGTCCAGCGCTTCCGCAACGCATGGCTCGTCTCCCATTCCCGGACCCCAGAGATTGCCGTCCAGCTGTCGACGGGCACCGAGCTTCCCCAGATGATGAAGTACGAGGTGCTTCACTCGGATGCGGAAGCCGCCGCCTGGATGCAAGAGACCTTCCACGTGGTCACCGACCAAAATGCTGCCGACGTGGTGAACATGACGTACAACCGTCGTATGCCCACCAAGGGAAAGCGTAACATGATGTACCTCGTCACGGGACCTCACGCGGACCCCCAGAACCCTACTCAGCACACTCTCGTCTGGAACTTGAGTCACGCTGTCGCCGATGTTTACAGTATCGTGCAATTCCTCAACCATTTCTTCAAGACTGTTACTCAGGTCGCTGGCGACCGGGACTACTCAGTCAGTCAAATTGATTACTCCGGGGTGGTGGGCCGTTTGCCCATTAGCCCTTTGACTCCTTACCAGGAACAGTACAAGCCCAACCAGGAACAGATTCAGCAGGCTATTGCAGATGCTGCCCGCCAAGGTGATATGTACAACTCCAAGGTATGAAAACTACAAAAAAATCCGGCTCGGCATCCAATCTAACCGATACTTCCAGATGGGCCAATCCGTCGCCATGTACCCCGAGGAGGACATCGCAGAGCGCGACCATAAAACTCACTGCATTCGCCTCCAGTACTCACTTGAACAATCCAGGGCTCTCCTTGCCCAGCTCCGCGAAGAGAAGATCAGTATCACCTTTGCCACCGCGGCCGCGACAGTCCTGGCAGTCAAGCAGACCTACGCCAAGGGCCACGAAACCGGTGCTCTTCTCGGTATGACCCGCAACGCTCGTCGCTGGGTCGACACCAATGGACAGGCTGGAAAGATCCCCGCGGCTGCCGACTGCGTCTTCCTTTGGATTCCCTTCGAGCAGCAATGGTTCCAAGGCTCGACCCGGGACTCTGTTCTTCACATTGCCCGCGCCATCCGAAAGGAGCTTGGTCCTCACCTTGTTTCCCCACACTACATTTCCAGCATGAACTTCACCTCTGCCCGGGCTGTGGAGGGCCTCGCGGCCTCCAAAGAGCCCACTGCTGCGCCCTGTGCGCCTGGATTCTCGCCCCAGGGCGCCTTGGGCCTCGAGCGCGACTTCGAGTCCCCGACTGCTTCTATCCAGGTTCATGACTTCATCCATACCGGTCGTCAGATCAATGATTCCGCTTGGGTGGGTATGTTCTCCCTGTGGGATCGGATTACATTGTCCATTGGTTTCGATGGCAAGTACTACGACCCCGCGGGTATGGACACTTTCATGGCTTTGACCAAATCGAACCTGGCTTCGATTATTCCCCGCCGCTTCAAGCGGGGCATCACTTCTAGACTCTGATCTAGTGCCACTCATTCGATACGTTCCCTACGAGGTTGTTCTCCGTGCTTCCGGAGCCTTTCTGTTTTATATACCATGTTACATATTTGCGTTGCTCACTTTGCCCGTACTAGGGTGTCTCTCCTTTGGCGTATATTTTTCTTGCCATTTCTATTCTTGCATCCAATTGAATTCTTGACAAAATTTGATCCAATGACACTTTTTACCCAAGTATTCTACTTCCGAGTGCTATCTAGACCATCTGTCGCGTCATTCCCATAGATGCAATTCGTACCTCCTCGTTCTCTATCCACGGAATGGAAATACTGGGATCCAATTATGGTCTTCCTTATCAGTCTTGCCTCCCTGCGTCCCGAGTGTAACTGAGTCACTTGACATCCAATCGGCCCGAGACTCTGTCAATACATGCCAGATAGATTTGTCCGTCGCCTCGAAAATGAGAACCGATAAGACAGATGTCCGCATTTACTGTGTACTGTAATTGTAATGAAGATCCCAACTCCAAAAAGGAGTCCGTGGCGAGGTCATACAGAATGTCAACCTTGGAACTCATCCGCAAAAATGAGGCTCGGCTGGTATTGACAATACCATGGATCGACCATGTGGCAAAGAAGCGATCGCGACCGTTGTTCTGAACCATGGATCTTCTCCTTTCCCCGGTCACTCGCCATGATCGTCATGGTTAAATCACCGCCACCAATGGGCATATATTTGGGCCCTTGACTCTCCATGACTCCAAACCGTGACGAATATAACGAAGATCACGAACAGCAACAATACTGGTATGTATCGTAAGAGTTCCACGGGACTGGTCAGCATCGGGAATTACGATGCTTCGACACCCGAACAGATTCACTGACCCATTACAGAACCATGCCTTTGCCCAAACCCCAAGACGCGGCTGCCAGAGCCAAAGCAAATGCCACTCAGAAGGCCTCCCACAGTGAAATGGGCCCTGCTCAAATGCTCAGTGAGCACATGGATGCTGCAGGTAACCCCGAACCTGATCCTAGTTGGGACAAGGCGCAGAAGGCTAGCAGCAAGTCTGAGCAGCCTGATGTCTATGATGCTATGAATGCGGAAACTGCTGATTTCGATTAATGATTTTGCATTTTATGTACCTACATACTGAAATTGACTTGAATTGAACTGAATTGAATTGATTGAATTGAAGCAGTCGGACATATGTAGGGAGAGTACAGTTGATAGAACACTAGCGTGTGAGGTGGAGTTCACCGCGTGTCATTGCTGTAGCAACGCACTGTGACACTTCATTGTATCCTTGGACATTCACAGTCAATCCATCTAACATATTCGGTCTTTCCTATTCCTTCGTTTTTTTGGGCGACAATGAACTGATTTTCTTCGGAAACTACGCGCAACAGTAATACCCCCTTTCCACTCATTCCTCCCCTAACACATTTCTACATTTCCTTATGTCCCCAATTCCATAACTCAATTTCACTCCCTATTACACACACTCTCCTTGGTCTATTGCATGTTCCTCTCCCTTCTTGACCGCCGACGCGACGCCGTCACCACTTGTGTACAGCTATTGAGATATAGCAGGGACATGGCGCTGGATCCGCGCTTCTATCATCAACTGGGCCATCCGGGCCCCGGCTCCATCTCTTCGGCCGCCTCCTCCGACCTATCAGCCGCCACAGGCATCACCTCCCCCAGCATCATCTCCACCTCCGCCTCCGCCGCCACCCTCCGATCCACAGCTTCCAGTCCCTCCTTCCGCGCGCGTGAAGGCTTCGCGAGAGATGGAATGGCCAGTCCCTCGCCTGGCGGAAATGTGCGCGTGGTCGTGCGTGTGCGCAAGTTCTTGCCTCGAGGTAAGTTGGCCCCGAGATCCCAGAGACCAGTTCTGACTTTCGTCTAGAAATCGAACGCAAGGCACAATGTCTAATCTCAATGGATCCTCATACCCAAATGACTTCTCTGCAAGCTCCGAAACCGAAACCGGGAGACGTGGGAAAACCAAAGTCGCAGGCGCGTGGGAAGGTTTTGGAGGATAAATCGTTCACCTTTGATAATTCCTTTTGGTCCCATGAGGAGGAGGACGAACATTATGCACACCAGGAGGATGTTTATAATTCGCTTGGCGAGGAATTCCTGGATCACAACTTTGAAGGATACCATACGTGTATCTTTGCATATGGACAGACCGGTTCGGGAAAGAGTTATACCATGATGGGCACGCCAGAGAGACCCGGCTTGATTCCACGGACTTGTGAGGATCTATTCCAGCGCATTGAAAGTTCGCCCTCCCCCGACATCAGCTACAACGTTCGAGTCTCGTATTTTGAGGTATACAACGAGCATGTACGAGATCTGTTGGTGCCTCGAACGGATCCCCCGCATTATCTTCGCATTCGGGAATCACCCTCAGAGGGTCCTTATGTCAAGGATCTGACGGAAGTTACGGCCAGAAACTATGCCGAACTTATGAAATTCATGCGGAAGGGTGATGTCTCTCGTACCACGGCTAGCACGAAGATGAACGACACCTCATCCCGATCTCACGCGGTCTTTACTATCACGCTTAAGCAGATTCATCACGATCTTTCTACGGACGAGACTACCGAGCGCACGGCTCGCATTCGGCTGGTTGATTTGGCAGGTTCTGAACGTGCTAAATCTACCGAGGCGACTGGGGCTAGATTGCGCGAAGGTGCAAATATTAACAAATCTCTGACTACCCTTGGTCGTGTGATTGCGGCACTTGCAGATCCCAAGAAGATCCGCGGTCCTCGAAAAGGAAAGGAGCTGGTGCCATATCGTGATTCAATCTTGACCTGGCTTCTGAAGGACAGTTTAGGTGGTAATTCCAAAACTGCCATGATTGCATGCATTGCGCCTGCAGATTACGAAGAAACCCTTTCCACTCTTCGCTATGCGGATCAAGCCAAGAATATTCGGACGCGGGCACGGGTCAATCAAGATCAAATGTCGGCAGCCGAGCGTGATCAGCAGATTGCGGAGATGACCGAGACAATTCGTACACTCCAGTTGAGCGTTAGTCAAGCGGCGCTCAGCCAGCGAGCGAACGAAGCTTCTGATGAACGACTTGAACAATACCAGCAGAAAGTGGAGAAGATGCAGCGTCTCATGGAAGAGAATAATATGGTCAGCGAGTGCAAGATCCGACAACTACAAACAGAAAACGAAGCTTTACGAATGCATCTCAAGTTGGCTGTTGAGAGTCTCAAGAATCCTATCCCGGCTGTCACCCTGGAGCCACGGAAGCCCAGTTTTACATCAATGACAGACGAAAATCAACCGCCCAGTCATGATGACGACCCCGAAGGTTCGCCTGATGGTTCTCCCCATGTCACAGACGACGAGTCAGATATCGAATTGTGGGAAGATGATGAAACCGTCACCGACGAGGACCACGAGCATGAAGCTCACCGAATGCAGAACCATATGCATGATCTTCTTGGTGACTTGTCTGTCTTTAAACGAAAACTGGCTACAGACCATGAACGATTCCGCCCCATTGAAGAGCCCCAGACTCGTAAACGTCGTGCTTTGGCTACCATCACGAGCAATCGTTAGGGTGCGGATCTCTTTGCTATTCTTATTTGGGGTGTACAGGGACTGGTGTTGGCGGCGATCTGTTTCTTCCGATGTCTTTGTTTGACTTCTTTGTTAAGACCCCCTTGTTTTTTTCTGATTTTAACTGGAACTGGACGATTACTGGCCAGGATTCCTTCTTTGATAGCGAGCTGCGATGAATAATGAGGCTATGATACGCATGTTTCAATTTCCGCTCCCATTGGGCACAATGGCTTCTTTCAGACATCAATAATATATGAATCAGTCCTTACCCGTGAGCTGTCTCGGATTCCTCCGTAGGATTGTACAGGTGAATTTGGTTTCAGTTTCAGACTTGTTTAGGTATCAGATGATTATGAAGATGAGTCTCAGCAAGTTAGGGCTCCGACTGGGTCAGTCGGTGGGCGACTTCTGGCAATACTTCTTTTTCCGCCCTCGTGAGTCAACTTCTCCCCACCAACACGAAATCTCCCCCTCACACCATTAGGCCCAGACAAGATGACGGATTCCGACCCAGCGCCCGTCGCGCAACCGGCTAAACCCCAGCCTACCGAAACCCAGACTCTGCCAATTCGGGACTCTAAACCAGAACCCACCAAAAAAGATGCGCCCGCCTCCGATGGCGCCGAAAAACCACTCACTCCCGGTGAATTGAAGAAGAAGGCTAAGGCTGAGAAGGCTGCTCGACGCGCCCGCGAAAAATTGGAGAAGGACGGTGGTGCCCCTAGTGGTGCTGCTCCTGGTCCGGGAGCAAACCAGGCTCGCCCACCGATCACACCGAAGAAGGACACTGCTGCTGCTGCGCAGAAGGGACAAAAGACACCGACTGCGCGCCGTGGCTCAGTGGCCCTTGCGCAGTCTGGATCTGCACTCGTGGAGCAGAAGAAAAAGAGAGATGATAAGAAGGTTGCTGTTTTCGGTCATTTGTATGGCCAACAACGCCGTACTACTATTGCCGGTGGTGGAAAGGAAGTGCATCCCGCTGTCCTGGCCTTGGGATTACAGCTTAGGGACTACGTTGTTTGTGGAAGCAGTGCGCGCTGTGTGTCGACCATGATTGCATTCAAGCGAGTATGTCTTTCCTCCTTCCTCAGGGCCCGACCTGTATACTAATCCACTCAGGTCATTGAAACCTACACAACCCCCATGGGAACATCCCTGCCTCGTCACTTGACGAATCACCTCTCGCATCAAATCACCTACCTCTCGACCTGTCGTCCACTTTCCATCAGTCAGGGCAATGCCATCCGAGCCCTGAAACTCGCCATCGCCTCCACCGACCCCTCCACCCCCGAATCCTCAGCAAAGACCACTCTCTGTGAATTCATCGACAGCTTCATTCGTGAAAAGATCACCGTCGCAGACCAAGTCATTGCCGAAAGCGCCGCACAGAAGATCCAAGACGGCGATGTAATCGTCACCTTCGCAGGAAGCAGCATCGTCAAGGAAACCCTCATCTCCGCACACAACCAAGGCAAGCGCTTCCGCGTCTCAATCATTGATTCCCGCCCTCTCTTCGAAGGCAAGAGTCTCGCCCGGGCCCTCGTGAGCGCAGGCCTCGAAATCCAATACTCTCTCGTCCATGCAACCACCCACGCCATCAAGGACGCCACCAAGGTCTTCCTAGGCGCCCACGCAATGACCTCCAATGGAGGCCTTTACTCCCGCGTCGGTACTGCCCTCGTCGCCATGTCCGCCAAGGAACGCGCCAGCGGCGTCGAAATCCCCGTCATCGTCTGTTGCGAGACAGTCAAATTCACCGACCGCGTGGCACTGGATAGTATCGTCGTGAACGAAATCGCCGACGCAGACGAACTCGTCGTCAACCCCAGTCCTGATCAGATTACTGGTATCCCTGAGTCTGACGATGCCCCTGCAGTTGATAACAAGAAGGGCAAACCTACCGGCCATGAGCCTCCTGCTTGGTCTAATGGAATTACCAAGTCCCCTCTCACAGACTGGAAGACTACTCCTAACTTGCAGCTGCTTAATATCATGTACGATGTTACGCCTGCAGAGTATGTGGATATGGTCATCACTGAGATGGGTAGTCTGCCCCCAAGTGCTGTGCCAATTGTGCACCGCATGGTTACGAATCTCTGATGGGACACTTCCAATTTCTGTACTAGCATAAAAACGGTCATGACACTTTTCGATTTAGGCTTTTCCCTGTAATACAACTGTCTCAGTTTAAGGAAGATATGATTTCAATTGGACACTCCTGGTAACTGAGTATTCTGTCACGTCCTTGGGTAAAAGTAACATTTTATACCTCCAGAACCACTGCTTCGCGTTTATACTTGATCACGAGGTAAGCTAAACTCCATTGGGAATATCTGTATGGGTCAAGGCGGTGTATACCTCAATATTCTGCCCGTCAATGAAGCCAAACAAAACAACCCAATGCAATCCTACAATCTCCAATTCCCTCATCTAAAAGGTCTTCACAGACCAACCCAATATCCAAAATGGTACCACCAACAAACCCCCCCCCCCCCCTCCCCCCTCCCAAAACCCAACTAACAACCAACAGAGCAAAGACTCCTCAGCCTCATACATCCACATGCACCAACCCAGACTAGCAGACCTCTTCGAAGAATTCACCCGCCCCCACACCTCACCAACAGACCACAACGACCGCGAACCCCAAGCATCCCCAACAACAATCCCCTCCTTCCTGCCTGTCGAAGACATCTACGTCGCCCCCCAATACCAACCTCCAAACCCAGAAGACGAAGATGACGTCGTCCCAGACCAACATGCCGCCTTCGGTATCACGCGCGCTATGGACCGTCGTCGCGAAGCTGTCTGGCGGGACTTGGGACTCGAATCTCTTGTAAATGGCCAGGGGAATGGGGATGCTGAAGCCACTGGGACTGCGTCTGGGTCTGGGTCTGGGTCTGCTACGTTGCGTGGGAGTGGGGGTGGGCCGGCGGCGGCGGGGATGCCTGTTGTTAGGGTTAAGGCTGCGGGGAGGAAGATGGGGGGGAGGAGGGTTGTTGGGTTGAGGTGAAATTATGTATTTGGATTTTGGTATATGGTATATGGTGTATGGACGGGTTGTTTTATAAGTGTTTTAGTATTGATACCCTATTGTTTGGGAATTGTGAGATCATTGATATCGTTTCCTTGCGATTTATCTGGTTTGGATTCTAAATCGCCTGCTTTTCGACGGCTCGTCTGTTTGGGGGTAAGCCTGAACGCCGGTGTGATGTGATTATAAATATCGGGTTTAGATTCGGTTGATATCGACCCGAGCTCGTTCATATAACTTGTGGCTCAGCTGCTTCTCCTCGCGCTCGTCTTCTGCTACCAGGCGAGGGTGGATGGCCAGTTGGGCGTAGGAACCTGCCGCACGACGTTTGGAGAGGGTGCCTGGGTTGATGACCAGCACGCTGTCCACAACCTGAAATTGAAGTCAATAAAGTATACATGTTAAAGATGTTGGGTTAACGAACCTTGACAAATGGTGGCAGCATACTCGGTACGATCAAGATATCCGGTCGAACGTTCCACCATTCACCCAATTTCATATAGGGCAGATCCAGCATGGCGCCTGTGGCGATGCTGTTTTCAGAAGCTGGCTTGGGGAGATTTGCTCGGGCAGTTGGAGGGTACAGCGGGAAGAAGTGACGCTGCTCAACGAGGTATTTGGGCAGACGGGTGAGCAAATTGCCTTCTGCTGGGCGGCCATGTAGAGCCTCTTCACGACGGAGCTCAGTGAGCACATCGTGGGAGCACATGCCGATGACAGCCTCATTGAATGATAATGTGACGGGGTTGGAGACCATACGGACTTGCTTTGGCAGACCTAATTCCTTCCTGGGAAGTTGCTCTTGGGGCCAGGAGACGTGTCGGCTGAGAGCATCGCGGACAGACGGGACCATCACGATTGTAATACTTGGCACGGCTGCGGCGAGTCGTGCCAATGGTGTTGAGATGCAGTGTCGGAATAAAACAGAGAGAGTGGCAGTGTCCGGGTCAATTCCCTTGATATCTGGTAGATCAAAATCTCCCGATGCGAGAAGAGGGTGCTCAATGTCCAAAAATGGACCCATCAACACAACACTATCCGCGTAATTTTCGGCTGCTTTTTGACATAGTTCATGTAATGCCTCAAAGTCCAGGTTGTCATCAGTCGTATAGGGGCCTGCTGCAAGCATGACGTTCAGTGGAGGATTGGCATCTCCATTGAGTCGCTCGTTTATGTTCTCAAGTGCCACTGCCGGGGACGCCGCTGGTGGGAGAAGAGGCATTGGCAGCACTTCTTTTACTGTAAAATATTCACCCGAGGGATTGATTCCCCGCAAAGCCACAATTTGGCCAGGGAAGAAGTTCACCGATGCCACCGAGTCCACCTTCAAAGGAACTCGCCTGCCGGCTCCTGTCCGGCGCGAAGTCTCAAGTACAAGGGAAGCTGCATTGAGTTTTCCTTCGAGGGCATCCGATGCAATTCGCCCAACTGCAATGATCTCGCTGGTGCTTTGAGTGGCCGCACTTCCGAATGTGATCTCGTCTGAATTGTATTGTTCCTGGAAGATTGTCGCAAATTCATCAATGCGATCATCGAGGATCTCCGATGCTTCTGACAACTTCATGCCCATCGGTTTATAACCGAATTTCTTGAGATCTGTGTTTGCTGTGGGCTTGATACGCGCTTCGGAGAATGGCGCCATGGGGGTTTCTGGCAGGGAGAGGTGTGCGTTGAGGGTCTCTACCGTCTGGCCGGCATTTGGTCGTTCGGCGAATGCAATGGCCCTGGTCCTCTTGTCAGTCTTATCCAAGTACCCAGCTGATCTGCACAAGGATCACTCACTGTACACCCTCACCGGGAGTTCCCGTTGGCGTCTTAATGGCCTGCGATGCAAGCTTGTCGAACTTGCTGACTTTGGGTGTCGCTGGCGAAGTAAACTCGGCCTTGCGCTTTGCTGATCCAATTCCATTCACAGTCACAGTCCGGGTATTCGAGGCGTTTGGTGTCAATTGGTCGAACATGCCAAACATATCGCCGCCGGCCGCGGGTGCGCGCGGGGTCGCTGTGTTTCCGCCGCGTTTCTCAGTGTGTCGACTCGCCTTGTCTCGACTGTCGCGTTCCAGGGCTTCTTGGACATCTTGCTTGAAGCCTCTCACGGTGGTCATCGACAATTTCACCCCCTCGCCCATCTTCATACTGTAAGACTCCCATTTGTAGAAGAGCTCCTCGGCGGTGATCGAGTGCACCCGTGTCATGGAAAGAAGTTCGCCGAGGATATCCTTAGGGATTCCATCGGGGAATGAGCCCGCAAAGAACTCATTGAGCTCAGCCTCCATTTTGGTGGATCGTTGAATGTGTCAAAAAGTGACAGACGCGAAGAGCGCGTAGAAGCGCGTAGCTGACCTAATCACCCAAAAGGGTAATATCAAAGTGGAACCTGTCGATCGTCAGAATTCGTGGCTTTTGACTATTTCTCTTTCAAGTGTTGCCTGTTAATTTCCTTATAACTCCTTTTTTTATTTTGTTTCTATTGTCAATTATATAATACCTAAGAATCCATCATGTCTACCCAAGAGACGGTGCCAGCTGCTCCCAGCAACGGGGAGACTATCCCGCAGTCTGCATCTGAGCCCATTGATCTCCAGCTGCCAACGTCAGCTGCCGATGGCCTCATCCAGAAGCCATTTGCTAGACCCTTGGACACTGCCAACCCAACAGCCCCGGCACAGTTGACCTCGGATCAAAAGTCCAAGTACGAAGCAGTGCTCAAGACAGTCTCATCGTGGACCACAGTCCCCACTAAGGCCGAAAAGGGTGCCCCAACTGCACCCATCACGGAAGATGAACGTATGTGGTTGACCCGCGAATGTCTCCTTCGCTACCTGCGTGCGACCAAGTGGAATGTGGCGGAGGCGGAGACTCGCCTCCTGAGCACATTGACTTGGCGCCGGGAGTATGATCTGAAGAAATTGACTCCGGAATACATTTCCATTGAGAATGAGACAGGCAAACAGGTGCTTCTGGGATATGATATTCACGGACGGCCCTGTTTGTACCTTTTGCCTTCCAATCAGAACACGGAGAAGAGCGATCGTCAGCTCGAACATCTTGTTTTCATGTTGGAGCGAGCAATTGACCTGATGGGTCCTGATCAGGAGACAGTTGCATTGCTGGTCAACTTTAACGAGACCAAGTCTGGCCAGAATGCCAGCATGGGTCAAGCTAAGCAGACTCTCGGTTTCTTGCAGAACCACTATCCTGAGCGACTTGGTCGAGCTCTTGTCATTAATGGTGAGTGATCCTACATGATTTATATCACATAGTAAATTACTAACACCTCACAGTTCCATTCATGATCTGGGGATTCTTCAAGTTGATTACTCCCTTCATCGACCCCAACACCCGGGAGAAACTCAAGTTCAACGAGGACCTGCGTCAACACGTCCCACCAAGCCAGCTCATGAAGTCTGTTGGTGGTGATGTTGAGTTCCGCTACGACCATGCCACCTACTGGCCTGCTTTGAACACCTTGGCCGAGCAGCGACGTGAGGCTTACCGTCAACGATGGGTCCAGGGGGGCAAGCAGATCGGCGAGCTTGAGAACTATCTCAAGGGAGAAAACACCCCGAGCTTGTCGGCTGCTATGGCCGAAGTCGAGGCCAAGGCCAATGCCAGCGAGTAAGGATTAGGAAAACTACTTTTGCTTTGATTTGATTGCACACTTCTTCGTTCATCATTGTGCATGGTTTCTATTACCCTGAGTCGGCATTTATTCGCAGCGCTGATGTCCTTTCTTGTCCTATATACATCATTTTCCCCGGTATTCCTGTTGATAGACACTTCATATCTGTGAATACATTAGCGATAGACTACTTCGATTCTTGATATGCGCATCGTCCTTGATATCCTGTTCCTGCTCAAAGTCTTCAAGCCACCATGTTATTGCCTAGGCAAGTGCTGGATACATTCATGTCTTATAGCCTACTGGTGATCACTTAGGGCTAGTGCAGTATCTGTTTAATCAGGACCCAGTATATCTATAAATGTGATAAGAACCCCTGGAGCCAGGTTCCAAGGCATATTCATCTTAATCCTATTCAAGCCCCAGTTGACCAATATACTCAAATCGGCCACTTGCATGATTGCCTCTAGAGCTGTAGGCAAATGTCTATATAAACCCTCGTTCCAAGGTTCCCTCCTTGGATCTCTCACCACTTCTCACACTGACACCCGAGTAACTTCAACACTTCAATAATCTGGTTGTGCGCTGAATTTACTTCATCATGTTCAGCACGAAGTCGTTAATTATGAAGCTTTACGAAAATTTAAGGAAAGAAGACTTTGTGAATCCAGAAGTCTTAAACGCCATCCAGCCCCATCCAGTGCATGGGTACGTACACGGTAGGCTCTAGAGAAAGATTCGGAGGCAGGTATATTCACTGCTAACCATTTCATCAAGGACCCATACCACCGGATAATTCAGGTCCGACTTCTTCGGAGGCGACCTCCGAAGTAAGCCGAGCCACAATGTCGGACTCTCTGGCTATGAACCCAGCGGCTATTCTTATGTTAGCTTCAGACCTTCCTTTCTATTTCAGGCTTTCCACTGAATCACAATTCACAGATGCGGTATTCTTACCACAGATAATGTCATGTGTGGTTACGCTGCCAGCCAGACAATGGGTTTGGCACGACACTACCGACAGTTTCATAACCGAGAAAGTGCGTGTTCAATCGATAGACCCAGTATAGTGTATACATGCTAATGCTAGCAGCTTATTATGTCCGATTCAGTAACAGTCCAACGTCAGCAGATTACGGTCCCATAGGAACCAACGCAGTCAAGCTTTGGGTGCTGAAGGGCGGGTGGAGGGATGCCCTTTATAACCAGGAGCCTACCTTGATGGGAGGCAGACCGATAGAACCTCTTCGAATTCTCTGTGACACGTTGGAGAACATTGCGTGGGTGTCTGTTCGACATCTATCCATGCCGTACTGATACGCTGCCAGCCGAAACGATGCCGAGTTTGCTGCCGAATATGGGACCCGGTTTCACCGTCCTAATGCTCCTCCTTATACTGAGCCTGATGCTCAGTCTTATGCTCCTCGTCCGCCCTTTGAGCCGACACTGTCTTCCCTATCCCCTTCCAATGCGAGCTGTGTACTTCCCCCAGAAGACAAAAAGACAAGACACTATACTAATACATGAATAGTCTCTTACGAAAGGGGTAACGCCGCAAATACCTTTCGGACCTTTCGGCCCTCTCAATTGTTCTACTGACCTTCATTCTCAAAAATGCTCGAGTCAACGGTCGAATATTGTCACCAGAAGCCAAGCCAATTCCGCTGGCACCAAGCCCAATCGAGTTGCTGACCGCCCCGTGATTGACCTGTCCGATGAAGACAGTGGAAGAGTAATTGATTTATGCGATGAAGCCGACCAGTCTGATTCCGATATTGAAGACATCCTGATGATTGATTTGGTGTCTAGTGAATCCGACTTTGACGGGGACTCGGATAGTTCCGAGGCCTCAGATCTAAGTTGGTCTTCTGAGACAGCCAGTGATATTCTGCCGAGGGTGCCATGGCATTCTGATGTGATCGAGATAGATTGATATCGAGTCTTAGGTACTAGGTAGTACGAGTAGTAGTAGTAGAAGTATAGCGAGACGAAGTACTTAATCGGAAAGGGTTGCCTAATAGGCTTAGCGTGGTTCCCCGGGTTTTGCGGTATTTTTAGGTCCACAATGACGCCATCGCAGTCATGGGGTTTGCGCCTTTTTCGTTTTTTTTACGTTTTTTTACGTCACCTGAGCTGCACGGGGTTGTTGTTAGTCATAAATTGATTTAGTCTTGTGATTGCGAATTAGTTGAATTGAATACTTGAGGTATTTACGACGATGGAATTGAGACAGAGCAGAGTGGAATAGAGTAGAGTAGACTGGAATTGGAGAAGAATTGACAATGGTAATTATGAGGTATAGAGGTATACTCGTAGAGTACCGTAAAGTAGATTGCTAAATTTTTAAAACACCCGCTATGCATTTTATTGTCGGCTGTCAAAGCCCATATTCAAACACCCGCTTGTCCACCAGCTCACTATCCGGAAGCTGGAAATCCTCACTGCGGAACGTATGATCCCACGTCTTCACATCCGCCAGATCACCGCCTTCTGAGCGCACATCCGGGAAGAATTGAACCACCACACTAGTCTCCTGAAGAATTTCTTCACTCAGAGATGCCACTTCCGTGCCCACGGGAATGTAATTGCCCCAGCCGACGTAGAATCCCAAATTGAGCGTCGCACTCGTCTGGTCCTGCACGAGGTCATATAATGATCCAAAGCGCAGACCGGTCTCTGATAAGGGTAAGGACTCTGCAGAGTCGGTGGAAGATGCGGAAGAGCAGGAGGATAAGGATGAGACCGAGGAAGCCGAGGAGGCGGAGCAGGCGGAGGAGGGTGGCGAGGCACAGCGGGACTGGCGGATGATGTATTCATAGACATTTTGTAATCGGCTTCGGTGTTCCCACCAGACGAATCCCAGAGCTGGCGGTGCTGGTTGTGAGACCAACATGCGCCGCCAGCTGGCGCCAGCCCGGGTGAAGGCTTTGTGTCGGGAGAGAGTTTTGGCAGGCATGCCATCCTCGTCTCGGTAGTCGGGGCCCCATTCGAGGGATTTGGAGAAGTTGTTTTTGTTGAGGATGCAGGGGCTGCTACCACTGCTGAAGAATACCGGGCCGAAGTGCTTTTCCAACAGTGGATTGAGGGTTGACACAATTTCTTTGTGGTAGGGGCTGTGGCCCCGGAGAGGAGACTTTTTGGGATTGGAGTAGGCTTGCGAGGGCCGTACTGAAGGGGTGATAGGTGTGAAGAACAAAGATTGCTGTAGTCGCTTCGACTGGCTGATGACATCAAACCAGAGTCGGTTCACGCGCTGTGCCGATACTAGCAGTGTCTCCATATCTAGATCCAAGAGGATCTCTTCCAATAGCTCTGGAATGAGCAAGACTTTGGAGGCCGCCATAATGAAGATGCAACAGAGAACAGAGAATAAAAGGTAGAAACTATAGACAGAGAAAAAAAAAAGAAGAAAAAAAAGCAGGGCTTTGTATTTAGTAGTCCCCCGGCCCGGTGTGGAGATCCCCCCGCATTAAGTTGGGGGACGTCGATCACGAATCAGAGTCATACCCCAGGAGAACTTTTTTCAGGAACGAGGCATTTACCGTTGTGGTTTTTAATTTCATTTTTCACTTCCATTTTCACTTCACCCTTACCAATAGTCTCCTACCACAATACTTGATATACTCTGGCTACTCTATATACTCTGTTATCTATTTCTGTATTCTCCGTACGAAAAGAACAGAATAGAACATGAAACGTGGAACGTACCACAGACTGTGTAAAATACACGTGCCTCATAGTATTTCTGTTACCTAATGATTATGTAAATCCCGATTCTAGACGCTTCACGTGACTCGGCGTTCTGACACGCGCCAGCGGCGCGTCAAATTGCCTCATCTCCAATTGGGAGGATCTTCCAATCACACACAACATGGCCACCGAGTCCAGGCTATTTGATCAGTGCTGTCTTTGCATCATTAGCTCCACTGACCTCCCACGAGAAGCTGCAGAGCAGGTGTGTTTCCACTCGAGGTACTCCAAGGCTGGCACTGACCACTCAGCTTGCGACAACACTTGAAGAAAATGGTGGCGAGCCACTGATTGTCCAGCCTGGCGCCGAGGTGCCTGACGTGGGCAAATTCAGTCACTTGATCTCGACCACCATCGACTTTGAAGCCTACGACACCTCATGCGATGCCTTGATCCCCGTCGTCAAGCCCCAATGGGTTAATGCCTCGTTGTCGAAGAGGAAACTCGTCAATCCTCGCCAATACAGCCCTGATCCACGTCTGTTCATGAATGATGTCGTCGTCACCTGTGGGGATATTCCGGGTGGTGACAAGGATGCCATTATTGGAGGTGTCATCGCCAAAGGCGGACTATACTCCCCGCGAGTCTCGCAGATGGTGACTCACCTGGTCGACCTCGCTGCCGATTCAGATAAAGCACAGATTGTGCAATTGAAGAAACTGAAGGTCAAGATTGTGCTGCCGCATTGGTAAGTTCTGTGGAGGTCAGATTACAAGCCGGGTGCTGATTCCACCTAGGTTTGATGATTGCCTGAAGCTGGGAAGGCGCATCGATGAGCGTCCATACCTGCTCCCGGATCCGGAGATCCTACGAGAAGGGCCCGAGACGCCAATTAGACTACGCCAGAATAAGGATCTGGTCGGCGCCTCGACGACAGACCCTGCAGACCTACCGACACCGCATAATACGGATCAGCGGAGTGTATTCCAGGGAAAGACTATTATGCTATCTCCGGATCTCGGGATTGGCTCGCACCTGCTGGAGTCGATTCAATCGGTGCTCGAGCAAGGCGGGGCCCAAATGACGACGAAGGTCGATAGTGCGGATATGTTAATATGTCGCTATCGAGAGGGCTTTGCATACCGTACCGCGTCACGACTGAACATAGACGTGGGGAATCTCGCATGGCTGTACAGACTCATGACATTCAACACATACACTTCGCCCCTTAGGCGTCTACTACACTACCCAGTTGCTCGGACTGGTGTTCCTGGATTTGAGGGTTTGAAGATCAGTTTGTCAAACTATGTGGGCGAAGCGAGACTTTATTTGGAGAACCTAATCGCGGCATCGGGTGCAGAATGTACCAAGACTCTCAAGCAGGAGAATACCCATCTCATCACAGCTCATGGAAACAGCGAAAAATGCACAGCCGCAAAGGAATGGGGCCTGGAAGTCGTGAACCATCTGTGGCTGGAAGACAGTTACGCGAAATGGAAACTGCAGCCAGCCTCGGATCCTCGCTATAGCCACTTCCCGCTGCGAACGAACCTCGGAGAAGTCGCAGGCCAAACGCGCCTCGACCGAGCCGTTTTGGAACAGGTCTTCTTTGCATCTGAGAACACGGCCCCTCGGAGTCCTGCCCGGCCAGCGCAGGGTAAAAATCAGGTTGTCGTTGCCGTGCAACCTCCAGAGAAGAAACGAAAACTCGAGGAAGGCGCCTCAAAGGCTACCCAGGGTACTCCGCAGAGTAACGGCAAGGTCGGTCGACCCGCTCAAACGCCCGCTCGGTCTCGAGTCATGTCCGAGGGCAAAGAAAATGAAACTCCCTCGTCGACCAGCAGTCGCAGGTCAAAGGATGCCGCAACCGCGCGTCTCCATGAATACGCCCCTGATCTGGCCTTGTATGAAAAGGAACGAAAGCGCGTGGGCGGTGTCATCTATGGCGGCAGACGCAAGTCAGATGAAGACCGTGTTCAGGAAAAGAAGAAGCGAGTCTCTATCGAGCCGGAGGAAGAAAGTGATGACGAACCAGCTGTCGAGACCAAACGACAGAAGAAGTCCCGGCCTCCCATCGCCATGCATTTGCTGATTACTGGCTATCAAAAGTGGGTGGGCAAAGGCAACGAAAAGAAAGAGGATGCAGACAAGGTATGTCACATACGAAAAGTATAGTTTACCATCGACTAACCCCTTCAGCGAGCCCTTCGAGACCTCGGTATCATGGTGGTTCAGGATGCCAGGCGATGTACTCATGTGGCTGCACCATCTATCTTGCGAACCACCAAATTCGTCAATGCCCTAGCATACGGTTCAACCATTGTTAGCACGGAATTCATCACAGCCTGTCTCCAAGCGGACGAGCTTCTCGACCCGAGCGATTTCCCTCTGGAAGACAAAGAAGCCGAAGAGAAATACAATTTCAGGCTCGATTCCGTCACAGCCAACGCAAAGAAGAACAAGAACAAGATGTTGCAGGGGTATCGTATTTATTGCGTCGAAGATATTCGAGGTGGATTCGAGGCCTTCAAATCCATTGTTGAAGCCAATGGCGGTGAATGTCTTCTCTTCCGTGGTCGCCTCACACTGGCCAATAACTCCCGACGGGAAGAGAGCGAGGAAGAAAGCGAATCAGAGGATGATCACGCTGCGCGACGAGAATTGTTCCTCCTCAGCAGTGCTTCCAGCAAGCACAGTCGTGTTTGGCCTCGATTCCGCCAGGCTGCACTGGATAGCAAGAAGACACCCCAGATTGTCCGTGTTGACTGGCTTCTCGACATGGCCATGTCGCAATCCACGCGCACCACTGATGGGTACGAGTTGACCGAGGATATGATCGCAGATATGGAGGAGTAGACGCTCACCTCCCTGCTTTGGATTCTGTGTATGTAGTATTGGATGGCTGTTGGTCCACCGAGAAGCGCTTTGTTTTTTTCTTTCTTCTTCACGAATAGCCATGACATAGAAATCCATATTCTCAAAAGAATTTCACACCCTCCTGACCCTCAGCGCCAAATATCTGTGCCTTGCCTCTCTTCACAAGGATATTAAGCGATCGAAGCATCACATCTGTATCCATGCCATGGAATTCTACATGAATTAGCAGCTGTACACGCCACCTCAAGTTTGAAACATACCTTGCGACATGGTCATATCTCCCTGAATCAACTCATAAACCGTCAAAACAGACCCCCGCTGCCCTGTCCCCTCAACCCACTCCACCAAAATATCCGCCCACTCCTCAGGCCTCTTCCACCAAATCCATGCCATCGCCTTCCCAGACTCATTAATCCACTCGGCTCGCCGTCCTCCCCCGCCGTCCTCCTCACTCTTGCTCATCCAATCCACCACTGCGCGAGCCTCGCGCAGATCAAGACGCTTGCGCAAGGCTGCGTTGTGGAAGAGGGGGGTCTCGACTGCTTCGATTAAAGAGATTCGGTATTGTCGGTGATGTCGACACCATGATTGGATCAGTGAGGACCATTTCTGGAGCTGGCTGTGTCGGGTGTTGGTGTTGGGTTGCGGGGTGAAGAAGGGTGGGAAGTTATATGTTGGTGGGAACTGGAATGGTGCTGTCATGGCTATTATCTTTGAATATAGAGGTAAATCAAAACAGAAAAGAACAAGAAACCAGCCCTGGGAGTTGAAGCTGTAAGTTGCAAGTTGCAAGTCGCAAGTCGCAAGTGGAGAGTGGAGAGCGGAGAGCGGGGAGCGATCAATTTTGTCCGCAATTTCTCTCCCTCCAATTCTACAACTGCACTACATTTGCACTGCACTGCAATTGCAAAGATGACAACCCCCCAGAATGTCCCGGCCAAGCGCCTCAAGCGCGAAGAATACCGTCGCGAACTCCAAGCGCAACAAGAGTCCACCGACTCCGTGATCAAGATGCCGCAGAAGAAATTCTTCCGTCAGCGCGCGCATGCGAATCCCTTCTCCGACCACAGACTGGAATAGTATGTACAATGCACTGCATTTTCCATGGTCGAATTCATAGCTAATCCTCCATCCAGTCCCCTAAGCCCCGCGCACATGGACTGGTCCTCCCACTACCCGGCCTTCGTTGATCCAGATCCCACCAAGACGACTCTCAGTGGTGCGCGCAAGCTGACCAAGGATGTTGAGGTGGTGGATATTGGATGTGGATTCGGTGGGTTGATGGTTGGTTTGGCGCCATTGTTGCCGGATACATTGATGGTTGGTGAGTGGGATTGCAATGACATGTGTTGGAGAATGGGAATTAATATGGACAGGCATGGAAATCCGGACCTCAGTGCTGGAATATCTCAGCTCGCGCATCCATGCTCTCCGCAGTCAACAACAGCGTCTGAAAGCTCAAGCTGAACCTACTGAACAGCAGCCTGAAGAAGAACTTCACGATGACGATGTCGGAACCACCAAGATCTACCCTGGAAACTTTGAGAACATCACCGCCATCCGCAGCAACACTATGAAATTCCTGCCTAATTTCTTTGGGCACCATCAACTCTCCAAGATCTTCATCTGTTTCCCGGATCCGCATTTCAAAGCGCGGAAACATAAGGCGCGCATTGTTTCTGAGTCCCTGAACACGGAATATGCCTATGTGCTGCGCCCTGGTGGTCTGTTGTACACGATTACTGATGTCGAAGAGTACCACCAGTGGGTTCTGCGACACTTCCTGCATCAGCCTGAGGAGCAGCTGGAGGATGGAACAATCCCAGCTAGTAGTAAGGATCTCTTTGAGAGGGTATCTGATGAGGAACTTGAAGCCGATCCTTGTGTGCGGGTGATGAAGTACGAGACGGAGGAGTCGAAGAAGGTGACACGCAACAACGGAAAGAAGTTTGTTGCTGTATTCCGACGCAAGGCAGACCCTGAGTGGCCTGCTTGAAAAGGAGATATATACATCAAGAAAAGGTGTTAAGAGGCGTTATATCATTTCGAATTTCTAAAAATGCATTGGCCGAAACCTCGGTCTTCAACTTGGCTTCGCTATGATCCCAAAAGAATAAACACCAGAAAAATGACCCGAGAAATGAGGGTGAAACAGTGAAAGACAATAACAAATGCAACATCAGACGTGAATCTAATCATAAAAAGCAGTTATCTCGTGACATGGGTCGTGATTCCCCCAATATGCTTTAGCACATCCCCGGTGCCTTGAGACGAATTCCTTCACATCGCTCACAGATGGCAAGCTGGACGGGACCACCAATGATACGGCCCTTGGCTGTTCGCTTGGGTTCTCCCTCGCGAACGAAGAACCGGCCCTCAGCTCCAAATCCATCGCCACATTCGTGGCAGTTGAAACAGCGCTCGTGCCACTGTCCTCCGATGGCGGTGATGACCACCTCATCCAGTACATGCTGTTTACAGCCCAGGCAGCGGGGTGCGGTCCGCCGCGAGTGACAGTTGAGACACCATGCAAAGCCGTCCTTTTCGACAAAGGGCGTTTGAGAATCGAATGGCTGCAGAAGGTCAGTAGGTGCGACAAGAATGAGAAGGAGAGGAATAGGGTAAGAGTGAGAACATACATCACCGCACTCGGCACAGAAGAAGTGGCCGACATGCCATTCAGCCCCGCATGCCACCACCACTTCTCCTTCAATGGGAGTCTTGCAGCTCTTGCAGCGGGGGCTGAACAGTTCATGGAAATCTAGGTGACAATAGAACCGGGGCACCCGAGCCTCATGGTCATTGGCCTCGGTTGCTAGTCGCTCGTCTCTGCTAGACTGGGGCTCTTGGTAAAATGCCACACATTCAAGTGCTGTGTGGCAGTGGGAACAAGTAAAGCACTCTGGGTGGAAACGGCATCCACCGGCCGTGACAATCTTGCCCGAAATGGAACGGGAGCAGAGTTCACAGCTTGCAGTCGGGGCACCAGACCTGGAATAAGGCGTGTACCAGCGGTTCTGGGATTCGGATGGTTGCTTTGAGAATCCTTGTTTGGTCGGGCTGGTTCTTGAGGGCTGTGGTCCTGATCTTGTCGGCGTGTTCGATCGCTCCGAGGGTGGTTCAATCTCGGAGATCGTGGGTACTTTAATGTCGGGGACATTGATCACCGGGATGGGCGGCGGCTCGGAAACTTCAATAGAAGGAGCTGAGACTTCAATTGAAGGTGCGGCAATTTCAATGATGGGCATGGTCGGACGCTCGGGCTTGGGTTGATCGGCTGGCTTCCATGTCTGATCGAAGCTCACAATTGGACGTCCAGGTCGATCGCTGAGCGCCGATGGCATAGGGAGCTTTTCGCTACGGTCTCCCCTTCTCTTGCTCGTGGCAGCCCGAATATCGTCACTGCGCAGTTCTCGTCCCTCCCTGGTCGGGATCGGGTGCTGCTTGGGTTCTTCGGGTGGAGGGGTAGGGGTGCTCTCATTCCGAGTGTATCCAGCATTGCGCGATTGGGTGGGAGGGTTCTTGTGAATTTCGAATCTCGAAATTCTGTCCGTGACGGTAGTGCCGTTAGTCCCTCTATCCCGCAGCCATGGCAGTGGCTTGGGGTTACGACCGAACGCATTGCGTGGTTTATTCCTCAAGGCCGAGGAATCCGATTGAGAGAAATCGGGCGTCTCTGGTTCTTTCTTAGTATCCACGGGCTCTTCATAAATATGATCATCGGGGTTCCTGAACACCCCCTTTGAGGAATCATTGCTGACGGTGCGTGGCTTGGCGACGGGCTCGATGGGCTCCTCCTCCGGTAGCTTAAAGTTCACTTTGAGATTCTTCTTCGTTGAACCAGCCAACGAAGATCGTTTGCGCAAGGAATCAGGGCTTGGGTGACTATCCGACGATCCAATTGACCCCACGGACTGACTGAATCTATGAGAAGAATCGTATCCCCGCGAATCACTTCGCACGGGGCTTTCACTGCGCCTGTCGGCGTCCGGGTTTTTATATGGCGCGTATGGGTTTTTAAATTGCTTGCCCGGGTTCTGATGCATCCACACTAGCTCTGTGGCCTCGTCCTGCGCTGCCTTGTGTAGACCCACGTCATCCTGCACATCCATGTTTTGGAGGGCCTCACGCAGGGACCGAGCTTCTTCCTTTTCATGACGGCGTTGACCGTCTTCTTGATATGAGGGCGCTGGGGATGGAGGGATTGGGATGGTGCGGGATTGCACCTGTGCGGGGAAGACATTCTTTCGAATTGAGTGTGTTCGTGGCTCCTGTGCTAACGGACGGCCCATGGCCTTTGGAGACATCTGGGAGGTTGCTCGGCGATGAGACATGGCACTCCCCGCGCGGGGTTGCACTTCCATTTCATCCTCGACTGGGTGCATCGAGAAGGCCGAGGATGCCCTTGGGGGCAGACTGTCGGGGACCGCCGTGGTCGACGCCGGTGCCCTGCCTGGATATGGCCGGGACCCGGTTGGACGAGCTGGGCGGTTGGCCCTTAAGTCTTTCAAGTACGTTGCTTTTTCCCAGACATGTTAGCTTGGCTCCCCCTCTGTCGGCGGAGTGACTCACCAACTTGATCATTGGACATGAAGGAGGGACCTGGCGGCGAGACTTTGCGATTAGTTTGTTTGTGCATGATTCCTTTCCCAATGCCAGGATTGGAAGGATTGCAGCAGAAGATCAAATAGGACTAAGATGAGAATAGACTAGTTGCGATCTATGATTGACGGTCTGAGCTGGCTAGCGTCTAAACAAAACATCTCGTCGGCCCAGGCGACGGATGACTCAGCATTTGGGCAGCTACCTAGGGCTACCATACCACGTGGATCTATAAGACTACAACCTCTCTTTACTTCGTAAGTATTGTCGACTTAAGTAGTTATTCTATAGTCATTCTATATTCCAGTGTATTCTGTTCTAGATACACTTAACCTACATGCTATACCTCCAAATAAGCTCGAGACATCTCCGCATCGGCTTCTCGGCACAAGACCCCACTGTGCAGAGACGAGAACCCCTGCCAGACTGCGCCAGACTGCGCCAGACTGCGCCAGACTGTGCACAGGGCTAGCGGATATAAGAAATTCTCCTTACTGAGGCCCTCTAATTGGCCCAATGTCGCCGACTGTAACCTCACCACGGCTATCTATACTGTATACGTTGAATTCGGTCTCTAGTCCGACATCTCCAAATTTATGATTTCGCTTCCTGTTTTTGTATTCTTAACTTCTCACTTTTCCATATACCCATTTCATATATCCTCATATATCCAAGTTTGGCATTTTCTCATTTTCTCATTTTACATTCTTCTTCGCCTCATGTCGGGACGGAAACGGTAACCGGTTCCGGCTCATTCGCACATACTTAAGAACTTAAGTAAAACGTCAGGCATCTCTACGATAATGGCAGATAATGCCCCAATCGATATTATTCGGTCTCATCAAGATGACTTAGATCGAGAAAGTGCACGACAAGAACAAAAATTGCATCCTCACTCGCCCGCGGTAGAACCCGATGAAAAATATGAACGCGATGTGCCTCCAGACGGCGGGTACGGCTGGGTCTGCGTGGCCTGTGTCTTTTGGATTAATGCCCATACTTGGGGTATCAATAGTGTACGTTGGCATGAACACCGAATTTCTGTCTTTTCTCTGTTTGGAGTGTTAATTGACCATCGCAGAGCTACGGGGTGTTCTTGAGCCATTATCTCTCTCATAATGTATTCCCGGATACATCACCACTCTTCTATGCCTTTACTGGCGGATTAAGTATCTCCTGTGCCCTGCTAGTAGCACCACTAGCCACACACTTCATCCACAAATGGGGCACACGCTTTGTGCTCAATCTGGGGATCTTCTTCGAGACCCTCTCCCTCATTGGATCTTCCTTCGCCACCCTGAAATGGCACATCATGCTGAGCCAGGGTGTCTGTTTTGGCTGGGGAATGGGCTTCCTATTCGTGGGAAGCGTGGGAATCGCCCCGCAATGGTTCAACAAACGTCGCAGTGTCGCCATGGGCATCACTGCCGCAGGTTCGGGTCTCGGAGGCCTGATTTACTCTCTGGCAGTTGGGGCCATCATCCCCCGATACGGCCTGGGCTGGGCCTTCAGAATCTTGGGCATCATTTCCTGCGTCGTGAACTTGGTCTGCTGTAATTTGCTCCGGGATCGCAATAAGGCTGTGGGGAGTAGATTCACGGCCTTCCATTTGCCTTTGCTGCGTCGACCTGAGTTCTTGCTCTTTTTGGGTTGGGGTGTGTTCAGTATGTTGGGTTATGTGGCGCTGTTGTTTAGTGTGGCCAACTTTGCTTTGTCAGTGGGCCTTTCTTCGCATCAGGGGAGTATTGTTTCGGCATTGCTGAATCTGGGTCAGGGTCTTGGTCGTCCTTGTGTAGGGATGTTCAGTGATCGCTTGGGTCGCATGAATATTGCCACTTTGCTCACTTTCCTATGTGGCTTGTTCTGTCTGGTCATCTGGACTTCGGCTGATAATATGGGGGTCGTGTGCTTCTTTGCTATCTTGGTCGGTACGGTCTCGGGTACCTATTGGGCTACTGTCTCGCCAGTGCTGGTGGAGATTATTGGCATCAGGGATCTTCCGTCGGGCTTGAGTATCACTTGGATTACACTGGTTTCCCCGTGTACAGTCTCTGAAGCCATTGCACTTCAGCTTCGCAGCAGCTCTGGTGGTGGAACTTCGTATCTCCGAGTTCAACTGTTTACCGGATTCATGTATATTGGTGCTGCCTTGTGCCTTTGGCTGGTGCGTGGGTGGAAAGTCGGCGAGATTGAACGTGCGCAGCGTGAAGATGCCATGCCTGTGGCCCCCTTGACCAAAGCTGAAAAAGAAACAACCGGGTCTGTGGTAAATACTCCTGCAGAGCCCGTTCAGACGGCTCAGTTGTGGTCTCCTGTCAGCTTGGTGCGCAGGATGGTTACCATGAAGCGGGTCTGAGCATCTATAGATGTCTGTATATATCCATTTGGAATGATTGAGCAAATATATGCATCTACAAAGTCACAAGGGAGATCAATGTAATTTTGAGAAGAATTTGATACATGAATGAACATAAATCGTTCACTACTTAATGATTAAACGCCTTTTGATCCTATTTCTAAGCTACATGGTCATGTTCATGCCTCGATAATCAAAATCCGCACTCTTCTCTTGCCAGCGCCACGGCCTTCTTCCTTGACAGAGCTGACGTTGACACGAACCCGTTGGAAGAGCTCCACCGTCACACCCCGTGTCTTAGCTGAACTGCCCTTCTCTTCAACGTGAAGAGTGTACTCTTCACTGTCAAATTCGGTGGTGCGATGAGCCACCAGCTCGCGTCGCTCGGCCACTGAGCGGGCTCCAGACTCGCCGGGCAAGACAAAGTCCTCCAGACGAACGACACCTTCAATACCGAAGCGAGGAACGAAGATGACAACACCGTTCTCGAATACACGCATGACGTATCCCTCTTCTTCGATACCAGCATCGACACCGTTGGCCGCCATCTTCTCTCCGCGTGCCTTGAGAGCCTGGCCCACGTAGTACTCGATACTGGCGCGTCCGGCAAATTGCGCATTGCGGTGACGGACATTGATATTGCGGCAGATGTCTTCGAGCTTGTTGCGAGTGCAGACACCCTCGATGACAGCGTGTCCATCTTCGCCTTCGTATCCAATGGCAGAGGACAATTGACGGTGAACCATCAGATCGGCATATCGTCGAATGGGAGATGTGAAGTGGGTGTAGATGGGCGATGCGAGACCGTAATGGCGGAACTCGGATTCGGCAAAGGCACCTGCGCAGAAGTACTCTGCAGAGGTCATGCAACGGGTTGCCAGGATACGGACCAGGGTGTTGAAGAATGGGTTCTTAGGATCCACGCATCGGTCCAGAGAGTCAGCCAGAGCTCGGGAGCTCGAAACATCGAGCTCCATGTTCCGCTTCTTGGACAGTTGGTTGGTGAGATCTTCGAAGTTTTGCGGTGGGGGAGTAGCGTGTCGGCGCAGCAAGGCTGTCTGCGAGAAGGACTCGAAGATCTTTGTGCCGACTGTGATATTGGCGAGAAGCATGAACTCTTCGACTAAGCTGTTGGTGTCCAGCATAGCCTTGGTCTTGACGTCTGTCAAAGGATCACCACCTTCGTCATCACCGGTCTCGATGCGGACCTCTGGAGAAGCAAGGTTCAAAGCACCAGCGTCCATACGCTTTTGACGGAGAACCTTGGAGAACTTTAAAAGGTTGCGCATGCTGTCAGTCAGTTCGTCCTGTGCTGACTTATCGTCAATGCGCAATTGGGCTTGCTCGTAACTGAAAGCCTCTCGGGAGCGGATGACAGACTTGGTGAAATCAGAGGACACGATTTCAGCTTCAGGGGTCATCTCCCACAGGACGGAAAAGGCGTATCTCTCGACATATGGCTTCAGTGAGCACAGGTCAGTACCAAGAAGATGTGGAAGCATATCGATACGCTTGTCAACAAGATAGACCGTAGTTCCGCGAACACTGGCCTCGGTATCCATAGGGTTGTTTGGTTTCACGAAATGCGACACGTCTGCAATGTGAACACCGACTTCAAAGTTTCCATTCGGTAGTCGCCTAGCATGGAGGGCATCGTCAATGTCCTGACAACCCGGGGGATCAATACTGCAGATGAGCAAGTCACGAAGATCCCTCCGCCCATTCCATCCTTTGTCTTCCTTGGAGGCAGGTACCTTCCAGTCGTGTCCCTCAGCTGGAAGACAGTCTAGCACAGACTTGGGGAATGGCTTATATTGCACATCATATTCAAGGAGAAGTGCCTCGGTCTCGGCACCCTTGGTTTCCAACTCTCCGAGGGAACGAATAAAGTGACCGGTGGGGTATCTCGAATCCCGGTCCCAGGCATCGATAGTGACAAGGATGCGCTGGCCAAGAAGATCGCTGGCCTGTCTGGTGCGTACTCTGATCTTGGGAATACGCTTGTCCATGGGCAACAAGAACACATTTTGCTGTCGCCGGCCTGAGGACTGTGAGCCGGCTGAGCTTGAGTCGACGTGACCGACGTATTGGCGCCAGCTGCGCTTGATAACACCAACAACCTTTGCGGTTGGCTGCGGCTTTCCTTCTGAATGTTTGCCATGGGCCTTCTTCACTTCCTCCTGCAGAGCCTTTCGCTCTCTGTCAGTCACTACAGCTTCGGTTTTCTCGCTATCGGGATTGTCATTGCGAGTAACAGCCTCTTCATCAACAATTTTCGTAGAGGGAGTCTTCCACTGATCTTGGGGCAAGATTTCCACGACGACAGAGTCACCAGCGATAGCGCGGTTGCTGTTATCCCGTCCCAGGATGAGGAGCGGCTTGTCGAACGCCGAGGTTTTGACAGAGCCTTCCAAGTAGTTGTAGGGGGACACATTGAATACACCTTGGTGCAGTGTCCCGGCTCGCAAACCAGTTGTGAGCTTGGACATGGAAAAGTATTCGGGGTAGAAAAGATCGCCCCGGGCTGCCTCTTTGGCATCGCGCGCGTCCTTTGAGTCGCTGATCATGTCCAAAAGCATCTCTGATCCCTCCAACCCAGAAACGTAGTCGGACAAGGACAAAGCGTGGATATCTTCAGCCTTGGCCTTCCGTAGGTTCTCCTTGTCATCTGTCAACACCACAATCGCCGGAATTGACTTCTCCTTCTTGCTCTTCTTTGCCGATTGTTGCAAGTGAGACCCGTACCAGCTTGCGACCAAACGCACAGCACGATCATTTCGGTCGTTGATCGTTTCCTCCGGGCCTCTTCGGACATGGGTTTCGCGGCGGAACTCATTGAAGAACAAATAGAAGCGTTTTTCGTCTGATTTGATCAAGGCCAGAAGACGGTTGTAGAGTGGGAGCGATCGGTTTCTCAGTTCCTCGAGGACGGTTTGGAGGACAATGACATCATAAAAGGCCCCGGTGTGTTCGAAGAGATCCATTCCATTCAGCAGCGCATTTGTATCGGGGACCAGATAGTGACCTCCCGGGAATGCCGTCGTGCCCGCGGGGCGCTCAGATAGAACGAACGGCGGAACTGTTTCGCATCAGCCACCGGCTTTTTTGTTGGGAGGGATACACTTACTGTTTCCATTGGCATCAGCGGGCGCAATAGAGGGACATTGTGAGCAGATCTTTGAAGAACATGGAATGTCCTCTCTCAAGTAGAGCTCGCGGACAATCTTTTGCACCTTTCCACTTTTTGTGGAGCGCACAAAAACTTTGCTAGTGACATTTGCAGCCTGCGGGTTGGCAGACAGGTCTCGCCGTAAGCTCTTCATTGTATCAGAGACTCAGCTTTGGTACAAGTTAAGAAGAGTGTAAATCGTCAAGGGAAGTTTGCAAGAATGGGTTATCGGTGGGTCCGATAAAAGATGGCTGAGTCATCATCGTCAATTTGGCGTCGAAAGATGCAATTGACACCAGAGGGGATATATATATATATATTTCTTTTTTTCTCCTCATTCTGTACATATTCTGTGCATATTCTTTTATCTTCTGCAACTTTAGAATACCTTCAATCATCATGGTTCTTGCGGTAGGGAAGATACCCCAACATTCGCCAGTCCTAACTGACGCCACTATAGGCCGTGGGGCAGATATGCTCAACTGCCAGTATTACTGCGAATCTGGCACAGTGTCGATTGCTGGTGCAAAATGCGGCTGCTGCAGGCGCAAAGGTATTTACTGATTAGGTATCTGATAATTGGGATTATACGACTCATTTCAATCAGGTATTGTTTCTTCCCGAGGCAGCGGACTATATCGCATCCTCGGCGGACCAGTCATACTCTCTGGCTCAGTCGAAAGAGCGAGAGAGCTTTGTCTCGACTTTACAGCAAGATGCGGCTCAACAGAAGCTTCATATCAATGTGGGAATCCATGAGGTCGCCTCGGAGAGCAGACTGAAGAATTCATTGATATGGATAGACGACCAAGGCGCTATTATCCAAAACTACCAGAAAGTTCACTTATTCGACGTTGATATTAAGGATGGTCCTTGTCTCAAGGAGAGCACGTAAGTGTGGTCTTTGGAGGCCCAGCCCTAGACAGTCTTCGACTTGGCTGACGGTGAATGCCATTTCCAGAAACGTCCAGCCGGGCCCACAGCTTCCAAAGCCCTTTGACACGCCCATAGGGCGTGTTGGCTTGAGCATTTGCTTCGATGTATGTATTAATCGGTGACCGCATAGTCTTGGACACCGCTTGTTCGGGCCCCTTACTCACACTCCACTCCCTATCTAGTTACGATTCCCAGAAATCAGTCTGGCCTTGAGGCGGCAAAATGCTGAGATCATTACATATCCATCTGCATTCACTGTGCCCACGGGAAAGGCCCACTGGGAACCATTATTGAGAGCGAGAGCTATTGAGACTCAGTCATATGTGATCGCAGCGGCCCAGGCAGGCCCCCACAACGAGAAACGGCGGAGCTATGGCCATTCACTCATCATTAACCCATGGGGAGAGGTGGTAGCAAGTCTAGGTGACGAACATCAAGAGCCCCAGATTGCGACTGCTGATATTGACCTCAACCTGGTGGCAAAGATCCGGCGTGAGATGCCCTTGCTTCGGAGGAACGATCTATACCCAGAACTCTGATAGCTTGGCATGGACGTGAAGCAGAGTCCAGTACTGTAACTTCGGCTTTTGATCCCGCCTCTCGTGGCTATGAGCCTTAGAAATCGCTATATGCTGTTCATAGGTTGTCTCGCAACATACTGTCAATTATAAGCGAATTTTTGTTACCGGAGCACCTATAGCCAACATAATGAAAAGCAACTTTGGAAAAAGCGTAAAGTTGTACAGCAGAGAACAAAAGAGAATGAATGAGCATGCAAAAGAAAAGTCTGTCTAAAAACGAGACCGGAACATCATATCTGCCATCGCAGGTAGTACAGACATCAACCGAAAGAGTCCTCTCCGATCTCTATGTACAGCGTACAAAGTTGAGCACTTATTTCTTAACCTTGGAGGGGTCCTCAAGGATACCCTCGGCCTCCAGTCTCCGACGGGCCTCTTCCAGAGCCCATGTTTGTATACTAGAAGAATAGTTAGTGATTGGGGTTGTGCGGGTGAGAGTTGAGGCTCTAGATAAGGCCTCCGAGTTCCACATACGAGGTATCAGGTTTGAAAACATATGCGACTCCAGCGACCAGGAAGCTTCCAATGAAGCCATAGTACCAGATGTTCTCCCAGCCTTCCTTCTCGTACTTCTGGCCGGGCTTGACACCGAACAACCAGCCGGTTGGGGGATCGTAGTGGTCGCCGTGATCAGCAGCACGGAGGCTGGGTTGGGTTGAGAAGGCACGGGTGGTCTGTGGCGTGCGGAGGAGGCAGCGCGCCCGGAGGGCGTGCGACAATGGCCGGGCAATCATCTTGAAGACGGGGGTGAAGGAGGATTGGGATCGGCCGAGGTATGATAGTGGCAGGCGAATTGTCGGTAGTAGTAAGGCCGGAATATGAGTCGCCTTGGCAGTTCAGACGACAAGAACGGTCTCAATTGTTACGGGGCGTCGTCCAGATGTGGAGGGGTGGTTTCGGCTTGGTGTTGAAGCCGTAAAAGGCCGGGAAGCTGTCCAGTCATCGCACTAGTCCACATTGGGCGATTTTCATTGTCCGCTTTGGCGCCTGCTATTTCAGGCAGAAAGTGATGCCTAAGAAAACGGGTGTCACCACTACACGCGCGACGCGTTCCTATCACATTGGGATGACAGTCGGATTCACTCAATCGTCCCATCTTACAACCGTGTACACATGCATTCTGAACAGCCACAAAACTGCACGCTCTGAATATTTACCGGTAAGTTGTACGGAGTATTGTCGAGCTGGATCGTCTCCATATCTGACATTCCCTCGAGTATCCCGCGGAATGTACCTTCTCCAATTGTGAACGCGTCATTGAATATCTGCAAATGCAAGCAATGGCTGCACATAATGCATACCCGATCTCTTCCAATTCACGAACAAAACTGAATGCGTTTCGCTACAAAGACAACCAAGGCCCGAACGATATCCCTACGAATGGCGCAGAGACAATCTTTCACGACCCCAAGAAGAATCGCCAATCCGGACCCAACGGCGCGGTAGAGCCGATGCAGAAGTCAGTCGACGGGGGCAATCTTCCCTCTGGTGAACCTCCATTGCCAGAGAGAAAGCCCACCAAAGAATGCCCCCAAACCCCCGGAAACAGAATCCCTTTGGCCGACTTGATCAGCAATGCCGAAGACTCGTTCGATCCTGCCCCCGGGCCCGAAGTAACACCAGTCGAGCATGTCATATGGCAGCACGTACCTGCCAGTTCGAATCCATCCTCTCAAACACCGGCAGGTCGCCGAAAGAAGCGACGACACAGTTCTTCCCCCGCGGGATCCCCTTCGAATGGCAAAACGAAAAAGGGCCAAAAGGAGCCTCTCGATCTGCAATCAATGCAGGCGCTCTTCAAAACACCGCAGCATGATCTGGCTGCAGACTTGTGGAATAACTACATAGACAAGAACATGGCTGATGGTGCAGACGATCTTCCTCCTCCTCGACTTGCGAACCTTCTCTCCTCCTCTCCTCAGACACCAGCCTCTGCTAGAACCAGTCGAGATTCCTCGGGACTAAGGCGTGCCATGAGTTGTAACACTGAATTTCCTACCTCGCGGACAAAAAGGCGTCGAGTCAACAGGCTTGATGCTGGAAGCTTTGCACGAACCAGCAGCAATGTCGAAGCCGGGAAGCCAAAGACTTCAAGAATCAACTATCTCATGGACAAGATTGAGAAAAGCATACATCTGACTCCAGTTGAAATGGGCCCGCCAGGCTCTTCACCTCTCCGCCAGCAGATTGATGCGCGAAGATGTCGATCTTCTTCCCCTACCAAGGACCACAGGCTTCGAGGAATTGAAGAGGATCCAGGTGAGAGAAATTGTTCACTCGCGGTTGGGGAGACAAATTCTGTGCGGATGCCTGTTCTTCAGGAATCGTCTTCGGAATTTGGGGGTGATGATTTAGATCAAGATTTCATGGACTTGGCCGATGCGGCCGCGGATCCATTTGTTGAAGCCCCACGTACAATGCATGAGACGACTTCTTTGAACCCCGTTGGCTGGGGCGTTGCTGCAGCAGAGAATCCTCATGCGTGGAATTCTCAAAATAATCCAGAGCCGAACAACACACCTTGCATTCCTCTCCCGACAATTAATGAAACAAAAAACGATGATTCCGATGAATTTGATGACGATTATGATGATGACTTACCGGGCAATCTGGAGGAAATTCTCGCCCAGTGTGACCAAAAACCCCATCCAGTCAATGGCTCAAATCCCACCACCAAGCCACCACTAGTCAACGGGGTGAAACCCCCGGATTCCCTCGTCAATGACAGCCTCACTGGGACGAACCCTGTCGTTCCAGGCGCTAAGCCTGACCTGGCATCATCAGATGATGAATTCGACGACGATTTTGACCTGGAGGCCATCGAGCAAACTATGAAACAAGCGGGTGAAGGAAAACCGGCTTACGTTGGTCACTCCTAACTGGACTCCCCTATATAAATATTTGCTAAACAGTCAAACAAATAGAACGCCAAGGTTCGGCAAGCTATCAAACGGTATCAAATCGTTGAAGTTATGGAGAGCACGTATGTTACCCCTAAGGGTCGTACTCAGCCAGAGCAGGTAGGCCATGCAACTTTTCTTCGGCCATGATTATTCTCGCTGACTTCAGAGCCAGGCCCTGCTAGTTGAAGATGAGAAGACCCGAGATCGGAAGGTCATCTCGTTACGAGAGTCGTGGGCCGACAGTCCCTGCAGCAAAGATTCATTCCTTCACCTAGTCGGCGACTTCGACCGTGATGGCCAATGTATTGTGGACAATGCAAACAACATGATCATTCTTCACCCTGACCATCTAATATCCGCCACCGTTGTGGCGGATTCTACTGACTGCCAACGGCGAGCCGTCCTTCAAGATCGAGTTAAGGTCATTGCAGCATTGGAGAGACCACAAGCTTTCGGAGTCTTCTTCCATGAGGTGTTCCAAGAGGCTTTAAAGGCGAACACATGGAACATGGAATCGATAAAAACACTGGTTGAAACTATCATGGCGAAACACGTTGAGGAGTTGTACTCGATCCAGATGAGCATACCCGAAGCTGTTGAGTATATCATGAGTAGAATTCCAGCAGTCCTTGACTGGGCTGATACATTCCTCCACGTCAAACCACAGGTAAGTTTACACTGCAAATGAATCTTTGTCTGAATGACGACTTTTGCTAATCAATGCTCATAGGCAAAGTCCGTGGTTGAAGATCGGAATAGTTCTAAGCTCAATCTCAGCATCAGCAAACTTCTCGAGGTGGAGGAGCATGTGTGGTCCCCGATGTATGGACTGAAAGGCAACATTGATGCAACCGTGCAAGTAACTTGCCGCGATGGTGAAGACGAGAAGACCCTGGTGGTTCCACTGGAGCTCAAAACAGGGCGACGCGATACAAATCAGTCTCATAGGGCTCAAACGGCTCTCTACACATTGCTTATGTCGGACCGATATGGTGAGTTCTGCCAGAACGCTGTGCTATGGCATTGCTTTTACGACCCATCACTAATGCTGATTAGACGTCGATGTCACATTCGGACTTCTTTACTACCTCGAGTTGACCAAAACCCTCAGCATTCGTGGTGTTCGACACGAACTTCTCCAAATGATTCAGGCTCGAAACAACCTGTCTGGCTACATTCGTGAAAGGGAACAACTACCTCCAATGTTGAAAAAGTCGCGTGTATGTTCACGGTGCTATGCTAAGACTCCTTGTCTCATCTATCACAAGCTCGCTGAGGATGGTGATGGCGAGACAAGTGGGCTTGCTGAAGACTTTGACACATCGGTCGGTCATCTAAACGACCGGGATCGAGACTTCTTCCGGAAATGGGATGGTCTTCTCACCAAAGAAGAAGGCAATTTGGTCAAATTCCGTCGAGAGTTGTGGACACTATTGAGCAGTGAGCGGGAAGCGCTTGGCAGATGCTTTGGCGACGTTGTCATTGATCCACGAGCCATGCACGAAGAGCAGGCAGGAACGAAGATCAATCGTTACCACTATACCTTTGTCAAGCGAGATGCGCCTCCTGGATTTTCTTTTACCGACTCTCAGATCACCACCAATGAACCAATTGTCGTGTCTGATGAAAAGGGCCACTTTGCTCTCGCCAATGGATACGTGGTGCACAGCAGTAGATCACACATCAGGGTTGCAGTGGATCGCAAACTCCACAATGCAAGATCCAGAACAGTCGGGTTTGATGCTGTCAAGAACCAATTCTTCAGGGGTATCATGGAGGTCGGCAAAGGGGAGCCTGCTGCTCTAGAAGACCCTCAAGAACAACTTGTATACCGAATCGACAAAGACGAGTTCAGCAATGGCATGGCCATTGTTCGAAACAATTTGATTTGCATGATGGACAAGGATCTTTTCCAAGCCAGGCAGTTGCGACGACTCATCATCGAAGGCGAAGCACCCGCTTTCAAGACGACCTCGACTGCTTATACCCTCTCTGATAAAATGAGCCTGAACGTTGATCAGAAACAAGCAATCGACAAAGTGATGAGTGCGAAAGACTATGCCCTTGTTCTTGGAATGCCAGGAACTGGAAAAACAACCACAATCGCTCAAATCATTCGGGCTCTTGTTGCCCAGGGTAAAAGTGTCCTTCTCACTTCTTATACACATACTGCGGTCGACAATATCTTGTTGAAGATCCGAGACGACAACATCCACGTCCTACGTATCGGTGCGGCGACCAAAATCCATCCTGATGTGCGGGACTTTGCGGACCTTGCTGCAAATCCCAAGTCGACCATTGAAGAGCTGAAGAACTCATATGAAAAGCCCCAGGTTGTAGCCACCACCTGCTTGGGAGTCAATCACAATATCTTCAACCACCGAATCTTCGATTGCTGTATTGTCGACGAAGCCTCGCAGATTACACTCCCAGTCTGTCTGGGTCCAATTCGTATGGCAAGGACCTTCATCCTGGTTGGTGATCACTTCCAACTACCACCTCTTGTGCAAAACAAAGCAGCCCAGGAAGGTGGACTGGATGTCAGTCTCTTCAAGTTGCTTTCGGACTCCCAGCCAGACTCCGTCGTCAATTTAGAACACCAATACCGCATGTGCGAGGAAGTCATGTTACTTTCAAATACTTTGATTTACTCGGGCCGTCTCAAATGTGGCACACCAGAGGTAGCAGCCAGTTCCTTGGTGATCCCCAACATCAACGCCCTCGATGAATACCATGCCGCAGATAAGAGCGACACATTGTCCCAGCGAGAGGCTTGTCCAGGTGTCCCCAACAATCCTTGCTGGCTGCGAGATCTATTAGAGCCATCCGCTAAAACACGTCTGGTGAACACCGACCCCATTGGACCCGCAGCCCTCGAGATAGCGCAAGGAAACCGTGTCGTAAACCACATGGAGGTATTCCTCAGCACACAACTCGTGGAGTCATTCATCGCCTGTGGAATCCCAGCCCGCAACATCGGCGTGATCACTTTCTACCGCAGTCAACTATCACTCCTCCGCCAAAGCCTGCGACACCACACCCCAGACCTGGAAATGCACACAACAGACAAATTCCAAGGCCGCGACAAAGAAGTCATCATCCTAAGTTGCGTCCGAAGCAACACCGATAACCACGTAGGTGAACTCCTACGCGACTGGCGCCGTGTCAACGTCGCCTTGACCCGCGCCCAAACCAAACTCCTCGTCGTCGGTAGTAGATCCACCCTCCGTGACGGCAATGACCTCCTCCGCCAATACGTTCGCTTGGTCGAAAGCAAGGATTGGGTCTACAACTTGCCTGCTACCGCGGTAGACAACCATGTCTTTCCCTCATGGCCTACACAGTCACAATTCATGTCCCCCGGTGCTGCGAAGACTCCTGGCTCTGCGAAGAGGAAGTCAAAAACGAAGTCTGAGGTGGAATTGTCTCCTTCTCGGTCTTCTCGTGATCCCTTGAGTCCGCTTGGCTCCAGGCAGTCTGGTTCTGGTCTTCGGAAGCCTGCAAAGACAGGTGCGAAGTTGTTCAATGGTACTTTGGTGGTAGGAAATCGGCCTATCTTGCGCGACATAGTGAATGACCTGACCGGTTAACATCACTGGCACCTCAGTCATGGATTCTACCATCATCTTTCAAGCGAATTGGGGCGTTTTGTATCGGGATAGTGTGCGGGTCAGTGGAATACTGGAAATATAGGCGTCTTTGGCAAATGCCCCCTGGGAATCATGTACTCTCTTATTGATACAACAGCCTGTTGGTTATCGGCTTTCAAATATCATTCGACATCAACCGAATCTCCCTTTCTACGATCCTTGGCGTGCTTCATCTTTCTGAATCTATCCACTGGGCATACAATCCATTGGACTAGGCACTACGGCGAGTGGATTTTTGACTCTCTGAAGTTAAGAATAAAAGTTCATTTCCTAATAACTATCCATTTGGTGAGTGAGTACATATTCATCATGCCCTGTATGGCCCTTGACAATCCCCTGTTGGTACAACCATGAAAAAAAGAACAGAAAACACAAAAGACAAGAAAAAAGCAAGAAAATCCGCCTCATTATTCATTAGATTCATTCACTCATGATCATTCTCATAGAAACCACTCCCCCTTCCTCCACTTTCATCAATTTCTATTTCAACGGGAACTTGGAACGCTTGACCTGAGGTCCGTTCAAAGAGGGACTGTTGCCGACAGAGCCGCAATCACCAGCCGCCCACTGGCCGTTGGAGCTTGGGTGACCCATGTTGTTGCCGGGCCCGGTGACGTTCATAGCAGAGAATCCTCTCTTGAGGGATGCACCTGACGAGTAAGATGCAAGAGATGGTGCGCGACTGGCGGGTCGGGCAATGTAATCATTGTTGTGTCCAAGTTGGGCTTGGAGAGCAGTCTGGGACTGCTGGACTGGGAGGTATTTGGATACAACCGCCTGGAATTGGGCTGCGCCCTGCAATTGGGGAGCAGCTTGGTACTGAGGAGGACGCTGAGACTGCTGGGCACCTTGCAAAGAAGGAGTGCCCTGTGGTCGGATTGCAGTCTGTGGTGGGGTCATGGCCTGTGCCCGAGGAGTGTATTGTGGCTCAATGGCAGCCTGAGATCGAGGGGTACCCTGTGGCTGAGTGGCTACCTGATATTGAGGAGCTCGCTGGAACTGAGGAGTGACTGGGCGCTGGAGAGGCATCTGAGGCAGGGGAGTGCTATGCATCTGGGGGGATCCCTGTTGCTGGAGAATAGCCTGAGCTTGGTACTGAGGAGTGACCGAGCGCTGGAGAGGGATCTGAGGCAGAGGAGTGGCCTGTCGTCGGGGAGTGCCTTGTAACTGAGTGGCCTGCAGCTGAGGACTAGCCTGAGATTGGTATTGGGAAACGCCCTGCAACTGATGGGCCTGTACCTGGGGTTCGATAGCGCCCTGCATCTGGAAAGCGCCATTCATGGGCTGCATCTGGGGAGCGAGCTGCATCTGGGGAGCGAGCTGCATCTGGGAAGCGCCATACATCTGGGGGGCAGCCTGCATCTGGGGAGCAGCCTGCATCTGGGGAGCAGCCTGCATCTGGGGAGCAGCCTGCATCTGGGGAGCAGCCTGCATCTGGGGAGCGCCATACATCTGGGGGGCAGCCTGCATCTGGGGAGCGAGCTGCATCTGAGGGCTGCTCTGCGACTTGGCGGCCAGACTCTGTGGAGTGCCCTGTGGCAGAGAGGCTTTCTGCAATTGAGGAGTGGCCAGCAATTGAGAAGTTTCTTGTGGCTGAGTAACTGCTTGCTGGTTCATCTGCTGCTGCATCGAGTTTTGCTGTTGAGCCTTAAAGATTTGCTCCTTTCGACGCTCGTTCTTTGCCCAGTTTACCTTCAATAGTTCCCATTCCTGTGCAAAGATCAAATGCTCTGGGGAGCCAGGTGGGTAATTCGAATTCGCAATGAGCTGCCGGTTTGTACGGAGTCTGTCAGCTTCCGATTGAAGATGCGCCGTTTGTTTGTTGATTTGATCAAGGAGGTGCGCCATGGTATTTGCCTTGCGGGCCTGGGTTGAAGCCTGTAGCGTGGCCTTTGAATTTGCCAATGGTGTGTTCTTCGAAACAGACTGAGACTTGGATTCAACTGACGCTGATGATAGCTTTGCCATGTAGCTTTCCTGAAGCTTCTTGATTTTTGAGTCACCTGGTATCATTCCGACATCCCTGAACTTGGCCTGTGGGCGAACATCATTCTGAGGCTTTGACTTGGGAGTAGGAGGCAGCGCCCGTGGCATGTTGCCCTTTGGCTTTCTTGGAGCCGCCCAGTCTGTCTGAGGCATCGGAAGAGCTGCACGCACCGTGGTCTGACCGGGGGTCACAGTGGTCGATTGAGCAGGGGTTTCACATTGCTCCTGGACCTGACAAGGAGTCTCGTAGGGGTTCCTAGTGGGTGCGGGTGGCCCGGTCATTCGAAAAAAAGTATCAGTGGGAGCTGGGGCAGCAGAAACTGGAGCACCCGTCACCTGCGTGTTGTTCTGGATGTTGTCGGTTGCTTCCGTTGCTGGGACTGGCGCGAGCTTTCGAAAAGCAGGCGTAGTTGGCAGTGGCTGGTCGGTCGACGTGGCATCAGATGGCTCTGGAGCCTTGCTGCGAGCTTTGCGTGGGGTAGACTTTGGGGCCGACTTTGGAGCAGAATTTGGGGGTCTCTTCTCCGTTGGTGTAGCTTGATCGCCTCCCTTCTTCTTGGGTGTACGCTTTGGTTTCTTGTTCTTCTCAGGGGGCTGCTTTCCATCTCGAGCCTGCGATTTCGGAATTTCGTAGGTGAAGACTTTGAGAGCTTCGGGCCCAGTGGGTGCAGGTGGCGCAGAATCAGCATTGTCGACAGCGACGACAGAGGCAGCGACATTGGGCGGTTTAATCGACTTGCTAACCTCAGCCGCAGCCGCAGAGGTTGCAGAGGATTCCTGACTGTTCGAGATGGAAGTGGGCGGCGAGACGGAGGATTGGTTGATTGGGGCATCCAGGCTACCGGTATCAGCTCGTTCATCATTTGGGCAACATAGACAATTCTCGGCATATTTAGATGGGTAGATGTCATTGTCAGGTTCGAAGTGAGGACGAGGCGCAAGATCAACGTTGTCAAGCGAGACCAGTGTGTCAAGCGGACTGACGGTCTTTGGTTCAGCAAAATCTTCGGCAGTCGTTGGTCGAGGTACGAAGACTGTGTCGGTGTATGATTCCAGGAAATTGAGAGTGGCTGGTCCAAGAACGGGGTCCGAGGGATCATATGTAGCAGACCGATAGTTAATACCAGGGGTTCTCTGATTCTCAGTCTCCGTCTCCTTCAGGGAAGATGAAGAATTAAAGACGGAGTCAGGAACGTTGGGCTCCTGGTGGGACTTGGTCCCGTACGTATCTGGGAGGGTCAGGACAAGCAACATGACATGAAGCGATGTGGGGTACTTACCAACGATAACATCACCCCCAAGTGGTTTGATCACTTCGTCAACACCAATCGACAGGTTTGAGATAGGACCAACGCCATCCCATTCATCGTTCAGATAAAGGGTCAGCAACTTGACCATGTGCTCCTCTTCCTCCGGGGTCAGCTCGGCAATTTTGCCTCGAGGGGGGACCTCAGCGTCCATCTTGAACTCTAGATAGGAAGAAAAGCTGAGTAGCAGGAATGCAAGGGGAATTGGGAGAACGAGATGAAAAGGGAGTTGCAAGGGAAGAAGATGAGAGAAACAGAAAAAGATGGAAGACACAGATGTGCTGAGATAAAACAGATCAGATGAGGAAGATCAATTGTCTGAGAAAGCAATAATACAGCCAGGGCTGTGGAAAAGCAAAGGAAAAGAACAGAGAAAAGAAGAGCAAACGAGAGAGATGGAGAGTGGGGGGAGGAGAAAGGAAAGAGAAGAGAAGAGAGAGGGAGAGAGAAAAAGGGAGATAGAAGCTCGCTCAATTGGGCAACTACCTACACAATGGAAGCCCCCGTTGCTTCCCAGCAGGTGACCTTCGTTCCTTCCGCCAGAACAGTAAACCCGTCCCTTCCTTCCACGGCTTCTTTCCCCAGTGCGGAAGCGGCAAGTGCGAACCACGCCGGGTTACTGTGTTTAGCCCTATTACCCCATTAGTATCCTACACACCCAGAGAATCGCGAGAAACTCACTGCAGAAACACTCTCAGGGCCCAATGGCACGAGATAAACCCATGCCACTTCAAACTGACCAGATCGACACGGGTTTCCTCGGCATCTGGCACGGCGTATCGACTAAGGTATGGGTCGATATCATCTTCTTTGACCCGGGGAGAGTCCATCTGGACCAGAGCAAGCCATTCCGCCAGCCCCCCGCAGTATTCTTGTGCCTCACCCTCTGACATGCCTTCCACCGCATCCCCGGACAGTCGAGGCATGGCCACTTGCTCATGGTCAATTTCTTGAACCTCACACGTCGCCAGCTGGGGTTGAAGCTGATGAATGGGCTTGTTTCCAGCTTCTTCTAAACCAGCGGGATCTTCTAGATCACAGAAGAGCCAGGCCAGTGATTGAGTCAGGACATTTGAAAAGGCCCATACTATTCTGTCAAACCCTTTCTTGCCGTGCAGCATCGAAGGCAGCCGCAAGTTCAATTCCACCACTGACAAACGTTAGTGAGAGATTCGGTTTTTCCTATCAGACGCGGCCTCCATACAATATCTTTCTTTGGCATGCTTTCTGCCTCCACTGCGGATGACTTTGCCCGTGAGACCTGTTCGCTCATATATTTCCTTCCCGAGCTCCATTCGCAGAGTTCCTACATCTGCGTTAGCTCGAAGTAAAGGAAATTCCCGGGTTCAGTCGAATGAACAAAGTGTACGAACCATCACGGAGCGTGAAGACATTATCTGATCCCGACCGCCCTTCGGAGATCATCAAGATATTCCCTAGAGCCGAGTTAGATTGTTGATTTGCTGGATGCGAGCACGCCGCCGGATATCTGCTGATATGACGTTCCATCCCACAGAGCCTTGCTTGAGCTTTACAGTATCATTACCTGATTTGATATATGTGTTGAAAAATTCATGCTCCAGTAGGGATGATGGTGACATGTAAACCCGTGCATATCGGGGTTTCTCTAGTTTGGCGAGTGCTGGTTTGATCTGGGGCAACACCTCCTTTGGTATTATGAGTTCAACCTGTTTATGATGAGCATTGTCCTGATTAAAAGGCAACATCACTCACCGAATGTAAAAATGGATGGTTGTGGAATGTAGAAAAGGGCGACCTCTTGGGGATCTGCTTTGGGTCGACAAATGCCGGTAACTGAGATATCGTGGTAAAGCATTTTTCGCGCCTTGAGGCATCGTCTACTTGATCCAACATGTTGTAATTCGCGATGCTCGCTGGACTGGTTTTTTCGACGGGGTGAGGTTTGATTAAGCTCGGGACCCACCCGTGGCTTTCGTTTTCCTTAGTTGCTGTTGGCTACTTTGGTCTTGATTGTATAGTCGTATATTTGTATAAGTCCGTACTTAAGTACAGTAATAATGTAAGTCACCTTACCAATCTCTCCCAGTCTGAAATTGAGAAAAACCGAAAAGCTCCAAAATACTCCAAAATATAGATCCTATTAGCAATGAAAGTCCCTTGCTATTTCCAGTAGTGAATACTTTGATCGACTTCAGGAGGTCAAAATATACTGCCAGTTTGTGTCGAGAAAAAAGATGGGCACAAAGTGGCAGATAGCACCTGGGCACCTCGCACCTGGGCACCGCTCTGACAACTCCCCAAGACCTTGGAAAAGCAGTCTCACAACAACAATTCTGCCAAGTCAAGATGGGAACAGACCCGTCACCGCCTGAGGCCACACGTGAAAATGACGACTCTGGCAGTATCCGAGGCGGTGTCGCGGCACTCAACATCGCTTCACATACTCCAACTGAGGCAGATGATACAGACTCCCTTTCCAGTGCAAGTACAAGGACCTTAGTTCTGTGTGAATTGCCCCCACTGGTCCCAATGGCGCCCATGCGTCCTGATCTCCTCCACAAGGAGCAATTTGCCCTGGTGTTTGGAGGCGTGAAGACCCAGAGCTACTCCGACCCAGCTGCCAAAGGTCCTGGTTCCCACACGTAAGCTTGATGTGCATGCGCATGATGTGTTTCTTTTCGCTAATACAGTGTTACAGTATTCGCACACTGGCCTGGAACCCCACTGGCCAACTGATTGCCACTGGGTCTGCAGACAGAACATTGCGCATTTGGAACCCAGATCGCCCCAACTTCCGATACTCAACAGACTTGCGTGGCCATACTGGTGCCATTGAGAAGGTTCTTTTCAGTCCTGTGCGCGATGCAGAGCTGGCTAGTTGCTCCGCTGATGGCACAGTGCGCTTCTGGGATGTGCGCTCCAAGACATGTGTGAGCCGACTGGATGTTGGTGGGGAGGCTTTCACTATGTCTTGGTCTGCAGATGGTAGTACAATGGTGGTTGGCAAGAAGGTAGGTGTCTATTTGGAGATCTGCAGTCTCCTGGACCTTTCTCAGAGAGACAAACTCACTAACATGAATAGGATGATACCCTAATCCCCATCTCGGTCAAATACCCTTCCGCTCCGACCACACACCCTGATGGCATCAAAGCCTTGAACCTCCCCTCTACACCGGGCACCACAACATACACGGCCCTCGATCCTCACCCCCAATCTGTCCAGACCAATGCCACTACTTTCCCTTGGTGTATGCCAACACCAGAACACCCGGAACAACACATATTTGTTACCACTGGCGAAGGCAAAGTCAAGATCATGGAATATCCTTCTTTTGATGTGGTACACACCCTCAATGCACACACTTCAGCTTGTCTTTCAATTGCACTCGCCCCAACAGGCCGGTACCTTGCGGTGGGAGGAAGCGACGCTCTTATTTCCCTGTGGGACACGACAGACTGGATCTGTCGCCGCACACTCTCCAGTGAGAATGGAGGTGCGATCCGAGGTGTGAGCTGGAGCTTCGATGGCCGCTTTGTTGTGGGTGCCTGTGATGAGCTGGGCTGTAGTGGTAACGGCCTTGAGATCTTCCATGCAGAGTCTGGGGATAGCATCTACACAATTCCGACTGCTGGCCACAATGCGGGTGTTTCGGCTGTTGCATGGCATCCATCACGATATTGGTTGGCTTATTCAACTACAACGGATGGACCTGGTAGCTCCAATTCTGGGGGCTTAAAGATTGTCGGTGCTGCGGGCGGTGGTCTGTGATCTTGAATATGGCATTTAACAGGTGTTTTTACGGTTTCTTTTCCCCCTCACGCAACGCTTATCTTGCATTGATATGTACTATGAAATATGCAGGTAGCTTTCAGATATTACGAATGGACGTCTCAAACTATTACAATTGACTTCCTGTAGATCACTTTACTTGTCATGTTCATGTGGTGGGTAAAATCTTGATATGATGTGATTTAGAAACCATTGCTCCTAGTAAAGTGGTATATATGATATTCAAGAGTGAAAAGCTCCGTCCCAAAAGACCGTTTGATCATTCATCGTCGTATCATGAAATTGCAGAGTTTGAACTCGAACACTGTTGTAAAGGGCCAAGGCGCAGGGACAGAGGTTGCTCTGGGGGACGTCTCAAGTCAGTGAACAGACCGACCTGTGTGGTTCCTGCAAAAGTCTTTGTTGAACCACACGGTCAATGCCTTGGGATATCATTCCAGGCAGGGGAATGGAATTGAACAGGGACATAAGTGAGATCAAGGGCGATATTCTTTTGCCATGATCGGAAAAAGAGTTGATCGTCCATCAAGCCTATCTGAGCCCATTATCCTAGACCCCGGGTGACTTGTAAAATGGATGTATTCAAGCCAAAGCGGACAAGCCAAGGACCAGTATCCGGCAGCATGCGCGGAAGGTGGAAGGCAGTGGTGTTGTCTCACTCACAGGTTTATGTGGCTGCAAAGCACATAGCCCTCATGATGGACGCCAGTTATCCCAACCATTGTTGGCTCCGTTTGTTGGGGTTTCTCCCAAAATTTGAGTCCCCAATATCTGCGCCCATTGTGAGTCGGAGAAAGTCTCCATGTTGAGGCCCCCCAAATCCTGGTTGCTCATCTGAGGGACTTGGCCTGGAACGCCCCATGCAGGCGGAATGGAGAATGAATTTGATTCCGTAGGAATCACTGGGCTTTCGGAGCTGCTTGAGTAGTATCGAGCTCCCATGGAGTTCATGCCAGCTGCTTGGAAATTCTGGTTTTCGGCAGGTATGTGCATCGAGTTGAGTTTCTCGAATGATAATCCAGGTCCGGAGTTGGAGTAATTGGCTGATTTTTGCTTTTTGCTTCCAGGCGGTGCATCATCGTTGCCAGTAAGTGAATATGAGGTGTTGGAGGATGAGTTCAGGGTAGAGGGAGTGGGGTGGTCTGAGGGCGGATTGTTTCGGTCACTGAGGTTTCCGAAATCAGGTGAAAAGTCTAGATCCATGTCGACAATGGCCCCCGGGCCATTTTGTTCTATGTTTTGAACAGGGGTTTGATCAAATGGATTTCGGTTTCCGTCACCGGTGAAAGGCAGTCCGTCGGCAGAGTGAATCGTCGACTCTTTATGCCGACTTGGAAGTGAGGTTGCTGTAACAGCAGGATTAGGTACTTGACGGGTAGGGCGGTTTGTATTGCGCTGGGAAGGCTCCTCTGCTGGAGCTCCTTGTGTTTGACGAAGGTTTGAGAGGGGAGAACACTCGACATTATCATTGCAATAACTCTGCTAGAAAGGTAATGTTAGCTTTTCCTTACAAAAAGAACCACACAACTTACTAGCATGGAATGTGCGGCGTTCTTTGAAATATTTCTGTCATCCAAGGCCCGGATGCCAGTTCCATCGAGGTCAACATCCAATTGCACTAAGAAGGACTCGGTCAATGGGTTTTTTCCTTTCATGGCATTCAGAGCGGAGACAAGGAACTGTAGTGAGGATTGGACACTGGAGTCTTCTGGTCTAGATTTGAGGTACTGCACAAACACACGAGCAGCAATGTACAGGCAAAATGACATGAATGGGTTCAACTGGAAACTGTCAGTAAGGGCGATATAGGATGGGTCACATGAACCTACGCTCGTCAGATCAATATGGCTGATCATCTTCATGATACTTGAAATTTGGTTTGCTGCCACAAGACACCTGCGCTTGCTCTCTGTTGAGATCTGATTCGGCATTTTGTTCTTTTCTGCCTTAAAAATTGCGGCTTGGTGGAGACAAATTGTCGAGGTGTGAATGCTCATGTTGGCAAATATGACGTTCACATCTGACATGCCACTGGGAAGTCGAAGATGATCCGGCAAGGATAGTGCAAGGTGAAGAAGAATATTATCATGGCTTCTGTGTCGCTTCCAGAACTCCCCATTGAGGTCATGGTCGTTGTCATGGGGCCGAGGTCGATGAATGTGCACCAGATTACGACCGAACAGACTCGTCAGCACCATCACACATGCAAAGGGGGCCATTGTAGAGACGCCCTCGCCGTTGACGACATCACTTAGACGAAGCGTTCGTTGGGGTTTGCTTTTCAAGAAGGACTCCTCGGAAGCAGGCAGGTTTGTCATGATCTAATTCCAGTCAGTCGCCACAGACCCAGGGGCAACAGGATTCGGAGACTCCAACTCACATCAAACTCATCAATGAGGACAGGCCAACCAGTTCCGACACTCGCGTATCTGTCTGTGGCAAATGTCCCCCAGAAGACTCTCCTGCGTTCCTCGCGCTCTGTCCAATCTCTTGGTGGCAGGATTGATTGCTTGACATCGAGACCAGCCCCATCAAGTCGATTCAATCCCAGCATCAGTGCCAGTCTCGCAGCTTTACCAACACTCAGCCAGGCACGCGGGAAGTAAATCATTCGGAACTCGTAGGTACCGATCAGCACCCATGTTTGACAATAGGCTAGACTGACAATATTCTCTCCGAATCCCTTCATTTCATCTCTTTCGGCGTACTTGCGTGCCCGGTGGTAGAAATGATCATGCAGGAAGAAGTACTTGTCACTGACCGATGCAGCCTGGCACCACATGATGTAGCGCAGACACACCGGTGGCCGCATGTTAGGTGCTAAATCCAAAGCTGCATAGTACCGGGGGCGATGGATGATGGGCATCATGGGATAAATCTTCTCAAAGAACAATGCATCACTAAAAGATGTCTCGAGTTAGAAAAATGGAATAATTTCCATATGGATACTGCGCAAATCACATACAGTTCTTCGATAACATCCTGAGAGGGAAGTGGCTCCTCCAATCCTAAACTGATCAGATCCCATTGAGAGTTGCCACTTGGTCCCGTATGCTGGGCCGGGACGAATAACGATTGACTCATCTGGCCTGCGCCAGGTGCGTTTTGGGATTGGAACGAGTTATCCATGTCACCTCCAAAGCCCCCCAGTTCCCCCAGGTCTGATAGGTCTGGCAAGGGCATTATGGGTTCATCACCCAATGGTGCGTTGAACGTGTTTTCCAACAGCTGGGGTGGGGAGGGTCGTTGGTTTGGGTCTGGATCTTGGCCTTTGAGGAGTGTTTCTACCTGGGCTGATGCATCCCTCATTGTCAGCGTTCAAGTTCCTCCAGCGGTGCTTGATCATTTGATGTCAGGGCCATACCTAATCGTGCTTCCAGCTGCTTAACATATCCCCGCTTCGGGCCACTCTTCTTGCGCACCTCATCATATGCGCATTCGTGACCCAGCCTTGAGCATGTGCCACAACTTGGTCGTCTCCCATCGCACCTCAATTTCCTCCTGCGGCAGACGACACATGCGATGCGCTTCGGGCGGGGCACAAAGTTGCTTTCGCCAGCACTGCCATCATTGGGCGCACCATTCTCGGTCGAGGCGAATCCCATTTGAGGGGCTCCGGACTCTGGGTATACAAAGGCGTCGTGGCCCAACTCGGGTGCCGCCATGTCGCAATGTCACGCTGAGTAATAGAAATCGATGAGGTCAGAGCCTCTTTGTCCAAGCAAAGAGAAGTAACCCAAGGCGTCAAGAAGCCCAAAACATCCAGGTCATTGCCAAAGGAAATGCCGGGGGTGTGGGGGGAGGGAATGGGGAAAGGGACCTTAAGAAAGTTCAAATGTTCTATGGATGACGGTGGGCTTCGTATCAAAGGCTCCGCCTTTTTCTTATATAGTTGCACTTTTTTCCATAAAACCCCCAGTTAACCCCTTTTTTTCACAGGAAGAATAGAGAGAAAAAGGTCTAAAAGAAGTTCTATTACATTCCATGTCAAATCAGAAAGTCCGTACAGTCCGTGACAGGGATCGACATGGCCACGCATGTAGGAGTTGCCTGGGGGCTTGGCAAGGGTCTTAGTTCGTATACTTAGTTCTACTTACTATTTTAAATAGTTACTCGGATACTTCTAAAGTTTTATGTTAAAGGCAAATCTCGACTTCTCTATTTTATTTTCGCTTTGAATGTATAGGGCCGGGAGCCTATTGTACAGTCCTCGAAGTTTCAATCGCGCAAACAGAGTTCCCAGAAATAGTGCAATATGGAATAAAGTAAAGACATGTGAAGAGGAACAAGATATCGTACAGTCATCCTCTGCACAGGGATGAGGTATAGGGTAAGAGGTAGGAAACAATGCAAAGACAACACTGGAAGGACCAATGCAATGTTTAGTTGTAGCCACGACGACGCTTGCCTTGGTTACGAGGTCTGGCGTGAACGACAGCCTTGTTGATCTTCCACTTAGGACGGGTCTTGTAGCCGGATTTGGTCTAGAAGAGAAAAAAGAACAGTCAGATGGGATCAAGCGAGCGGAACCAAAAGCGAAGATACATACCGGAATACCCCAGGGACTCTTCGGGTCGACGTTACCCTTGGACTTTCCACGACCACCACCGTGGGGGTGGTCCATGGCGTTCATGGCCAAACCACGGACGGTCGGGCGAACGTTGCGCCAACGCGAGCGACCCGCCTTTCCGAGCTGAGTGTAGTGGTAATTAGGGTTGCTGGCGATACCAATGGTGGCACAGCAATCCTTATGAATGAGTCGGATCTCACCACTTGAGAGGCGGATCGTAATGTGCTGAGCCTGGTGCTCATGCTTCTGTCGTTCGCGCACCGTCAAGGGCTTCTTTTCAGCCTCCATCTCCTCCTCCTGAACTGTTTGCTGGCGCGAGTCACTACCCTTGGCAATGACTGTGGCGTGAGTGCCGGCACTGCGGCACAACTGACCACCCTTTCCGGGTCGCAATCCCAAGTTGAAGATCAATGTGCCGACAGGGATCATATGCAGTGGGAGGCAGTTACCTCTCCAGGCAGTTCGGGCTGCCAAAACACCAGGATCCACTGCACCACCCATACTCTGCCATAGATCCGCCGGGATTCCAGACATATAACTCTGGACCACGTCGCCGGCGCGCATGCCATCCGCGGCGAGGATGTAGCTCAGTTTGCCAGTCTCCTTGCTAGCAGTCAGAGCGATATGAGCGCTACGACCGGGATCATACTCAATACGCTCAACGGTGTGGGGGCCCGGGGCCATGCGCAAGAAGTCGACAGTTCGGACCCTACGCTTCGCACCACCTCCGTGATGGCGGACGGTCACTCGACCCGAGTTGTTTCGACCACCCTTGGCATGACCACGCTTGGGGAAGGTGAGCTTGTGCACCGGACGGCCCTTCCACAAGTGATCGTTGACTGGTCGCCGCAAATGTCTCACACCGGGAGTGCGTGGAGTGTAGGTGCGCAGGTTCACGCCGGCCGAGGCGCGGGTGGGTGGAGGAGCGAAGGAGATGTTGGGATCGATGAAAGAGTTGATGGGAGTTTCAATTGGTTTGGGCTTGGTTTCGATTTCGTTCACGATTGTCGAGTAGCCACGAATGGGTGAGGGTAGAGAAGGTAGACACCGAAAGGGCAACCGAATGCCCCGGAGGGCGATTCGGGTTTGAAGCATCTCTGCCAAAGAGGGGGGAAGAAGAGAACCTATAGAATGGGAATAGGTTCAAATACTGGTAGATGGGAAGTCTCCAGCCCAAGGTAGTGAATCGACAACCAATCGGGACTCGGATGCTCTCTCTCTATGCGTTGCGGAAACAAAAAGTTCGGGTTCTCCACGTGACCTGGCAGCTGAGCCACTAGTGTGGCACATGACTGTGGCGTAGTGGACCATCGGGGGTCCACGTGACCTGTGACCTAATACTTTACCGCGGTGACAGTACAAACGCCCTGGTTGCCGGGCAACGGGTTGTTTATCAGCGACGAAACTCCCGTTTCGCCCGCGCCCTCGCGTATCCACCCTGTACCAGCGGTAATTTGTACCTTACACCCTAACCTCATCTATTTCTCCCCTTCATTGCTGGATCTACTACTTCTTCTCAACTCCAGTCCTTTTTCCTTTTTTCTCTCTTGCTTCTCCTCCATTCTCCATTCTGCATTTCCATAGGGTTACCTGCATTTTGTACAGCCCAATATCAATTCGGTCAAGATCCACACGCGACTGGGTGGGGCGCCTTTCAGGTTGGGCCTGTTTTCGCGCTAGTCCAGTAGGGCCAAACATCGCCTTGCCCTCTCAAGTTCTTCATTTTCCCTCATTCCATTTAAAGATACATCCTTCCCTCCATCCCCACCCTTCAGTCCGCTGTTTATCGCGTGCGAGCACCGGCCGTACCAATCGCCCAACTAACTCTCTTACTCTGGATACCTTTTTTTCCCGGATTCGCGCGTCGTCAAGCTGGACAACCAGGGTGTTACGCGGGTCTCGTCATAAGTCAACATAGTCTGATATTGGACTTCAAAACAACCATAACATCTTTCATCTGTCTCAAAGCTGCCTGTATACAACAGCGCAGTGTAGTTTCTGCAGAACGACAGCATTGTCACGCGTGGTACGTGCACATCAACCTCAATCCCCTGGTATGAGGTCCCCACCGAGGCAATGTTGCCCGGAATGCTGACATGACCTTCCGAGCAGAACAGGATTCTTTTATTCTTGTACCCTCCCTGCTATTCCTACGCGTTCTTCCTTTCTTCTTCTTTCCACGATGCCTCAGGTGAGCAATTGAAACCGTTCATCTCGACGCGTTTTTCGTCCCTGCCGTTTGATATACAAGCTCGACTTTCGAGATCAAGGTGTATCTAACGTCACAGTCGGACTGAAACTGACACCACATTCAGGCTCGCACCCTCCGTACCCGAGGCACGATGAATGAGAACGATGAGAATGGACCCTCGGCACGCGTCACCCGGGCCAAGAGCGCCGCCCTGACCACCGATGCTGCTGGAGCTAAGAAGGCCATGGGAGTGAAGCGAGCCACCACAACCACAACCACCGGGGCTACACGCGCCCGCCCCGCCCTGGGAGATGTCAGCAACGTCAACAAGACCGAGACTGTCGAAGCAAAGGCTGGCAAGAAGCCAGCTGCCAGCAAAGCCGGACTGACATCCAAGGCAACTGCTCACAGTGGAGGAATTCAAAAGGTCAGCCGTACCAGTTCTGCTCGCACATCGAACCGACCTCCTCTCGGGCCCCGCGATTCCAACAAGAAGTCCAACGCCACTACACACAAGCGCCCTCCCAGCAAGGAACGGTCTACCCAGGATCAGGAGCCACCCCGCAAGAAGCCCGAGCTGGAAAGCAAGCCCCCCGCGATTCCCGAGGATGATGTGAAGATCATTAAGCCGGCCCCGCAGGCATTCCAAGATGCCGTGCAAGATCTGGACACTGAGGACCTGGATGACCCATTGATGGCTGCTGAATATGTTGTGGAAATCTTCGATTACCTGAAGGATCTCGAGATCATGACCTTGCCAAACCCCGAGTACATCGACCACCAACCTGACCTTGAATGGAAGATGCGTGGTATCCTTGTCGACTGGTTGATTGAAGTGCACACCCGTTTCCGTCTCCTTCCTGAGACTCTCTTCCTTGCTGTCAACATCATCGACCGTTTCCTGTCTGCCGAGGTCGTCGCCCTGGACCGCCTCCAACTCGTCGGAGTTACCGCCATGTTCATTGCCTCCAAGTACGAGGAGGTTCTGTCCCCCCACGTCGCCAACTTCAGCCACGTCGCCGACGAGACCTTCTCTGATAAGGAAATCCTCGATGCTGAGCGTCACGTTCTTGCCACCCTCGAGTACAACATGAGCTTCCCCAACCCCATGAACTTCTTGCGCCGTATCTCCAAGGCCGACAACTATGATATCCAAACCCGCACTCTCGGAAAGTACCTGATGGAGATCAGTCTTCTCGACCACCGCTTCATGTGCTACCCTCAAAGCCACATCTCTGCTGCCGCCATGTACCTCGCTCGTCTCATCCTTGAGCGTGGATCCTGGGTATGTTTTTGTTCTCTTCCCGTTTGTGTTGATTGTTGCTAATTTTCTCTTCAGGATGCTACCCTTGCCCACTACTCTGGCTACACTGAGGAAGAGATTGAGCCCGTCTTCCAGCTCATGGTTGACTACCTTCACCGCCCTGTCTCCCACGAAGCCTTCTTCAAGAAGTATGCTAGCAAGAAGTTCCTGAAGGGTAAGTCGATCTATCTCCTTTCTGCATTTTCTGTCACTAACTTTCTCCCCAGCTTCCATCTTGACTCGCCAATGGGCCAAGAAGTACCACCACATGTACGTCGACGCAGCCGACTCGCTCGTCAAGGACGAGCAGTAATTGTACCATTTATGATGTGATGCTTTCTCCTGTTGCGGTGATGTCAGCGCCTTTCATGACTTTCGCGACGCCCGAGCAGGCCGATTGAACTCCATATGTTGGCATTTCATTGTGCTGGTATTACCTCTTTGCATATTCTTACGACGACTTGATTAAATTTGTGCGCTTCCCGCATTTCTGTTCTGTGGAAGGGGTGTTTGGCGCTCGGTCTTCACTATTGTTTATTGTTTCTTTTTCCTGCATGGGTGGCTTTCGCCCACCTTTCTCATCCGTGTTGCAGGCGTCGGGATTTATTCAAATCGCAATTTTTAACTTCTTACTGGTGTGGACACATCTCTTATTTGTGGGGGTTCTTGACATTGGAAAGTCCGAGAAAAAAGAGCTGGGATTTCGTGGTAATTGGTTTTTGTTCTGCACAGTGTGTCTGTGTCCTTCAATTTAACTTAGCCGAGGTCTTTACTGAGTAACTTCATACAACTTCTATCTCTTTTTTTCCTTTTTGAACTACTATTTTACTACTACTATTCTACTTCATTATGGATTGCCCATTCTGCCGCATTGCTGCCTCCTACCCCCCAACGTCATTCACTGACCCTATTCATCCCACCAACGATGGCCCCTTATCCCACCTCATTCTCTCCACTGAACACGTCCTGGCTTTCTTGGATATAATGCCCCTCACCCGCGGACATGTTCTAGTCGCCCCGAGACAGCATTTCCAAACAGTAGGGGATATGAACGTCCAGACCGGACAGGAGGTAATCCATCCAATCTCCAACTTCCAATATCTCCAATTCCTCATATAATCCATCTCTTCAGATCGGCAAATGGCTTCCAATCCTGTCACGGGTAGTCATGAAGACTGTATTTGGGGAAGATCCTGATAGACATTGGAATGTGGTCCAGAACAACGGTATGTCGTGCCCTTGCTTGTTTCATTTTCTCCTATCGCATCTCCATCACGCTGAATGAGCGCAAGGAGTAAACTATTGAATTCCGGTTGGTTACTGGGCTCAGGATCGTCATATTTGCTCTCATACGGCATACAAAGATACATTAAAAGGAATCAATTGTTCCGGGCTAACGGGCAGATAGGCGAAAGAGCAGCACAGGTCGTGCCTCACGTCCACTTCCATATCATTCCTCGGCCTGCTACTGGGGCTAACCAAAGAACGAGCTTTGCTATGTTCGGCCGTGGGCAGAGGGAGGAGCTCGATGATGATGAGGCTGAGGTTTTGGCCCGGGAGATTAGACTCGAGCTGGTTGATGAGGTGAAGCGAATTCAGGAGGAGGAAGGCGTGGACTTGGCTGCAGGTTTGATTCCTGACAGTCGGGGGAAGCTGTGAATCTGTAACTGCAAGTGTATCCTCTTGTTCGCTTCTCTTGGTGTTCCACTGCTCCTTCCAGGCTTTCGAGTTCCCTGTAAGTATACAGATCATGTCAATGTCCGCTCATCTTTTTTCCGCTCATCTTTTTGAATTTCGTGCCATATCTTTGTCTTCGTGTGCATGAAATCATGTCTTATTGCGACGCTTCAGAGCCTTCTCCGCTTCTTGTGCCGTGACCTTTCAACATATGCTTTTTTCTCAGTTAGCCGATTACTGCGTTGCGGTTCGATAGAACGTACCACTCGTCGGAAAGCATTGAGCTCATTTGCGTCGTAGCCTGCGTCGTCGGTCTTTTTCCGAGCCATTGAGACATCTGACTTTTCTCCCTCGGGAAGACGACGGTAGGTAATCAGTCGACGAGCCCCTTTTCAACGGTCAGCAGGGTTCGGATTCAGCTTTCACACAACATACAATTTCCAAAGTCCTGAACACAGACACTGACAACCTCCAAGTCCTCGTGCATGGGCACAGGGAACTGGATTTTCTCGTCATTGGATGTCGGCATCCACATCGACAATCGACCATTGGTCACCAGCGACCGGACGGCAAAGTTGAGCACATCATTCTGCAGGGCCTCGAACCCATATGGCTTTTTGGGAGGAATGAATCCAGGTCGACTGCTTATGTGTTAGTCTCATAATGGCACATTGCAGAATCACAAACGTACAGATGAGCGGGAACCCCGTCGATGATCACATTGACAGGTGTTTTCCCCTTGCGCTCCCCCAAGACTCGTAGTCCTTCACGAACACCATAAGGCGGATCACAGACAATGCCATCCAAGAACCCAGTCCTTCGGAAAGGAGTGTTCGTCAGATCCGAGGTCAAGGTGTCAATGAACTTGCTCTCCGTCTTATATTGGATGAAGTTCTCATAGACTCCCAGCTTCGACCGGTCTTTGCCCCGGAAGCTCCGCCCATCGATATCTGCTCCCATCGTCAATGCTCCAAAGTGCGCGGCGCAGACGATGAAACTGCCCGTTCCCACAAAGGGATCAAAGAATAATTTCCCGGGTGCAGCTAGGGCCATGTTCGCCGTTACCAGACTCAGTTCTGCATCCATGGATGTCGTGCTGATATACCGACGTTTCTTGAGGTCGTATTTGATGAAATCTTCACGACAGCTGGTGGCTAGTTTGCGTCCTAGATAGATTTTCCGTGGCTCTTCTATCCTTGATACTTTCAGTGTCGCGACTTCAATGTCGTCAATGTACTCTTCCATCACATGGAACTCTTGCTCGGGGTTCTTCATCCGAATAGGACCCCGGAATCCCATGTACTGGAAAGAGCGCATCAGTTCGCCCTTTTTCTCTGCACTGCGCGTCCCGGAGAAGCAGCTGAAGACGAATTTCCATGAGACGTTGCTGTATTCTTCCCAGAGATGTTGGGATCTTTGACGGATGTCTTCATGGAGTTCTTCATAGGTTGTGCCTTGGCCCCATAGTTCAAATACATCCTTGGCTAGAATGCTGCGTTTGACTGTGGCCGCGGCCGCAGCTGCATCTGGGAATCTCACAATACAGTGGGGGGACTGTTTCCATGTTAGTTATATTCTTGACAGGTGATGGTGTTCATTTGGTTTCGAATATTGGTCTTTCGATCCATAGCGATCGATATATATAGGGATTCATACAAACTGGTTATAGGAAAGGATTTCGATATTGGCGCCTGCAATTGTGGCACAGGCCTCAAGTTCTGGCCGACGAAAAGTCTCATGAGTCTGAGCAAACCGTACGAGATAATCCATGGTGAATCCAAGTACTTAAGTAAGGTGGTGCTTAAGTGAAGTGCCGAGGCGGGGTGGTTTTTTTTTTTTTTTTTTTTTTATTTTTTTGGTTGTTTATTTACTTCTCTTCTTTTTTTTAATTTTTAAATTTTTATAATTTTATTTCTTTGACTCTACTCAACTTTGTACTGAATA